AAACAGCTCTCAAAAGTACCTTTTGTCCTCATTTCATGACAGACAAAATAGTCGCTTTTATTTCATCACGCTGGCTACATACATGTACATGTATACCCGAAAAATGACGGAAATGTCTTCGAGCATTCCACAACCTCTTTAAGTTTGTTGCACTGTGCAGCAGGATTAACAACTAGCTCTCAACCATTTGTCAACAGCTCGATCTTTGGGAGACAAAATTTTGACCGGGCCCCCGAAATTTGTTCTTGCTTGGTTCTCCCAAATAATAACACCAAAAAAATGCCCAATTTTTAAAGGATGGTTGTGAAGATGTGTATATCTGTGTACTTTTAAATTTGCTCTTTCCAATTAACGTCATTACATTAAAAATGTGTTATGTAGCACAATCGGGCGCATTCCAGGACGTACGTAATGTCCCTTTAACACTGTTCAAGACTTATGAAAAGAATATATCCAATAGGGATGGTCCATTGAAGTTGTATATGAAGTGGAATATATATACATGTGCATTTTTGATCCATCACTGAACAAGATCTACCTATGTGGTACATGTAGAACAAGATTATGTGACTTGCTAGATTTAATACTTTCATTTCTTTCCTCTTTGCAACTACGATTTTGACCGGCTATCAACAAGCCTCCCGCCTCACTTACAATTCCCCTACCCATCCAAGCACAAAAACAGCTTGGGGCTACAGTACAACGACTGACAATGACGTTACACACTACTCATAACCAGAGTCAGAGAGCACTGCAAAACTGTGCTGTGATAAGCGAGTTTGGTCAAATCCAACTGCGCATGTGCACATCAAGATTTGCTGATTTTCTTTCGGGATATTTTTCGTATGCGTTCAAAAACATAGCGGGGTACCAGCAAAATTGAAGAGATCATCGTATTCTGAAGTATGACATTTTGCAAAAAAACCTTTGGACAGCGAAGTGTTTTTAGGTGTCTAGTGTGTCAAAACTTTTGTGCGAACGAAAGTTCCATCTCATTTCGATTGCAAAAAAAATTGCACAGAATGCAGATTTGGTTACCACGTCCCTCATAGCTTTGTGTGCATTAATATCTGCCGCGGTTATCTCCCCCCCCCCCAAAAAAAAAAATCATCAAATTTTGCCGTGCACCAGACTATTTTGGAATACCGAACTGGCTGTAAATACAGAAAATGCTAGTCACAAGAACTATGGGAAAAGATGATTCTGATTAAAATGACGCTTTACTACCGGTTCATCTACAGAATCTGAATACCGCTGAACATTGCAAATCTCGTGGGAGGAATATCCATTACCAGCAAATGGCAAATGAATATATTATTCAATTGTCGGCTGGGGGATAATAAGATTAATTTGCTAGACTGAATTACTGCAAATAAACATCGTAAATGCCATAAATGTCCAAAGGGATTTCTATAATTGCCACTGTAATCCCCACGCAATGTAATTGATCTGATTGAATGAGAATGAAAAATGTGAAAAATGTATGTAATCCACTTGTTTGCTAATTGTAAAGCATATAATTTATGATGATTTTTACATCATGCAAGCACTACGGTGGACATGTTTATATGGGAAACGGGGGGAAAATATGAACATAATCAGGCTCTGGATCAGATTTTGTTTTAAAAGTGTCTTCTCTCCTACTGAGACGTAATCTGCAGTTGCCAGATTAATCATGAAGTGCACACATGCCCAAACTGTATGTCATACATGGTGATTTTTTAACATGCGGGATTTTTTCTCCCTTTTTTAGTCAGTGGTAATGTTTCATCTGTGACCCTCCATCACAACACCAATCGCTTGAACCAATTTTTTGAAAACTGGGATGTTGAGCTCATTGGAAAGAACAATGAATTTAGCTTTCCAAATATCTGTAAATGGACAAAATCTGACAGAGTTATTGGCATTTTCAGTTCCTTATTTTCAGGCCTCGGTCAGAAAGTTTTTAAAATCTAGAAAATTTTTGTCAAAGTTTCACAAATGAGCTTCTCAGGAAATTTACAAATGAACTTAAATGAAAGTGAAATATATTAATTATTCTAGCTTCTAACATCTAAATTAGCATTTCGATAATTTTGCCTAAATGTATTATAGGCTGTATCTCAAAATACGGCCATGCGACGTCCGACTGATTTTGTTCAGGAGGGTCACAAGCTCTAACCTTAATGGGAAGAAAAAGAATTATTTCTATAATGTGCATGGAGAATGAGAAGCGATCGCTCATTTGTTTATAGAGAGAAACGGCTAGATCCCTTTCAGTGCTATTTCAGGACAGTTGTCGCTGATGCAATGACGCGTCCTACCGAGTCTGGGCCTAATCATGCATTTAATTAATTAGGTCCAGGGATCATTATGTTAAATATGCCATCAGTGGATGGGATGTAGCCTTTATCACAATGGAAATTACTGCATAGTGGTTTTTCAATGTGTGTTATTTACCATATGGTCACCATTGCTATAAACACACCAGTTGCCCTGATCATTTCGAAATTATATATTCTGCAATTTGTCCCCAACAAAACATATAAATATGAAAAAGGCATACATGTACATGTAAATCCCTAGACCTTTTATGCACAAAAACTGCATTAAAAATTTAGTACAGGTAGGCCTGTATGTGCTAAATTTTTAATGTACATGTATGATCAAAAACAGCGAAACGTTTAAATGTTTCGGTGTTGCTATAATGTTGTAGAATTTGAATGAAAATCAAAAGTGCTTTTTTTCTTTTTCTTTTTTTGGCTCTCATAACGTACATGTATTTCATTTATTGAGTTATCCATGGCCAATGAAATGAACAAAATGATGTATGCTTCAATGGGCAATCAGCATCTATCACATTGATTATGCACAATGCATAGGGGTGTTGCAGACTTTCTACATCACATGTGCAACTCAATTTACACCAACAACAAAATAAAACAATTCACATGATAAGACACAACAATTTTCTCATAAAATATTTTGTTCAGACAATTTTTACACTTGACTTTTAGTATTACAATACGTTTTGCAGATGATACTTTATTCACTTTTATGCACATATCAGAAAAAAAAATCTGACGTGCTGCAACATGCACTAATCATTTCCGTCTTGCCTGCCTAGGGGATTATCTCTTATGAACACTTGAGTGGCTTTGAATTTACATGCGGCCTCCACCACGCAAGGTTCTCCGAAGTAATTAAAGGGTTTGTTGAGGCAGTCATTCTTATAACTATAAGCATTCCTGCTTATGCCAAATCTTTATCACCCACTACTGTATAAATTTGCCTTAATTATTCTAAATCTGGTAATATTTGTTAATTAAAGTAATCTAATCTAATTACTGTGAATAATGCATTCCGATGTTATTCTCAAAACTGGTTTGTTGTAATGAGATCCAATTTTAGGCCAATTAATTTTTTTCTTTTTATGATTTATAATTTTCAAGTTAATTTAGGTTAAAAGAACAAGAGAAATAAATCAACCAAATAAATCATCAAGTAACTGGTCAAACTAAAAGAATGTAACATTTAGATCCAATTAATTTTTTTTTAAGTCTGTGGGGAGTCATGCCTATGGATGTGGGTTTTGTATTTTTGAGGAAGTTTCAAACAAAATTTTAAATATTTCTTAATCCATTTTGTTTTGGTTAATTTGTTTTGTAACAAATGACAATCTGCTCTTGATGTTTGAAATGCAGTGGGGAAAAAAGATATGGATGGATGCTACATTGTTTTTAATATTTAAACTAAAAATAAGACTACAAACCTTTTCTGTACTTGAGTTTGGAGAATGCCTCGACTCCGTTTGGATGTTGTTATCAACCACGTTAGTTGTGATGCCAGTTTCCCTCATTTTACTAGCTCCTGAACAAACCGGTGACGACCGGCCTCCAATATAATTGCTGTTACTGTGCGGTGGTTTGATGCCTTCCTCGTTCTTGACTGCATTTAGCGGGGGCTGGTGAAGATGTGGTCCGGTAGGCACCGAGAGAGACTGCAAGCGGAGGGCTGCTACCTGATGCCCGGGCGGTACGTAGCCATCCATCCCACCACCGTGACTGACCGCGCCGCTGGGCGGTAGTCCCGGAGCAATCAACGGCGAGTTGCTCGCTCGAATCAACCGCGGTGCCAGGCCTGCGTCCGATGTCATCTTCATTGAAACGGGAAGCCGTGGAACAGTGGTCATTAAAAGTGCAAATTCAATCGATACAAGAGGACAAAATATCCGACAAGGCGGTGAACTGATGGTTGTCAAATTACGAGTTCACTCGTTTTGCAGCGCTGCAATGCAGACGACACATCACTTGAGTTGAATTGCCGATGGAAAAGCACCACTAGCACTACATGTGCAGCATGCATGCAGTGTCACTGACTGTGTGACGCGTTGCCTCGTGTGCTCCGTGATTTCTACCGATGACTTTTTAACGATCGAAATCTACCGTCAGCCCTCAAGTTCAATAAGTGCTCTTCATTCAGTGAAGTACTGATTAAGACTTTTACACAAATGTACTATCCTATTTGCTCGCCGAAGGGAAACATCGTTGCATTTCCTCCCGGGGTACAAGTTGATAAAAAAAAAGTCTGCCGCTAGCGCTTCGACATCACAAAATCGAAAGTGTCGTACGTATGCCAAAGTAGTCTGGTGCTCCAAAGTGTGCGTGCGAGGTTATCATTTCTAAGAGACTGGATATCAGACAACTCCTTCAGAAAACGGATGTGATGTACTGCCCTCTCGTGGCAAAGTAACACCAATCAAAACTTTTCGCCAATGAAAACACTCACACGCCAGACCAAAATTATCGAAATAGAGTGGACGCTTAAAACATCAAATCTGAATTAAATAATTAAAATATTTACGTCAGTTAATATGCACGAGTGGTTTGAATGATTTTTTTTTATATTTTGGTTCTTTATTAAATCTGAACGATGAACAAGTGATGAATAAGTAGGCCTATTTGCGGATAAGAAAATTAATAAAAAAGTACATGAACATTGAACGGCAAGAAAAACCACACTTTCAAAAGAAAGCAAACTACATAATCTTGTTCTTTTATTGTACAGGCACTAGAGCCAAAACTCCATTTTTTTAAACTACAATATGTGAAAAAAATGTTTTACTTTACAACAAACTATATTGTTTTTACCTTTCAAACGTTAGGCATAAAATAACATGTGAAATATCTTTATGAGATGTCTTCACTTCCAAAGTCAATTTTTGAAACTGTAGGCCCTACGCAAAGTATCTAAATTTACCTGTGCCAATTTGACGTGAAATTCAATAGGGCACACAATCACTCAAAGTCGGCAGGCACGCTTTCTTTTAAAAGCGTTAGCAATGGAATCAAGTTTAACTAGTCCCAACAAATGTGCATACGTTTTCTGTTTTTCCAATAAGTATAGTAGACAAAATTTCCACATGTTAGTTGTTATGCACCCAGCTAAGCAAAGCACACAAAGCAAATATGTACCTACTACTTGAAGAGTGCTTATTAAGAGACATATTATCAGCAGTGCAAGAGTGCTTATTAAGAGACATATTATCAGTAGTCATCCAGTTTTCAATAACTCTAAAATTCAGACAGAACACAAACAGTCCAGATGCCTTAAAATCAAAAATAAATACTTCACCCCCTCAAAAACAGAAGCAGAAATAATACACGTGTTAACAAGTCTGGAATGTGTTACCAAAATGTATACTGTTTCAGAAATGATGCGTGAAAGGCATATCCTGAGGCAACTTGGTGCTCCGAGGCAAGTGGTCTCAGAAAACTTACAGGTTCTTATCCTTGTGATGGTGCATAAATAAAATCCAAAAATATTTTATTTTTTCGGATTAATAACTGTACCATAAGATTAACTCCAGACAGAACGTCTCTGTCAAACAGGTTGAAGATGAACAAATCGCTTTCAAAAACAGTCCCACATCTTCATCAACAAAATCCACAACTGTACACTTCAGCCATTGTCCTGTTTAAAAAGCTGTTCCCAATCAAATCTAAAAAAAAAAAAAAAAATCGTGGTAGAACCGTTCAACTTTATAATTTCTTTTGCCAATTCAGCGATAAAAGTTAATTGTTAAATACTTGTATATGTTATACTTTTTTTAATACAAACTTGGCATAAAAGCTGAGATAAATTATACAATATACATGTCGTTTTGTTTCCCCCATTGTTTGAAAACAGTTTGATGGGAAAACTTGGACCACAAATACTCTTTTTCAAGGAAAAGTCATGAATTTAAAAAGACACTAAACCCTCTTCTGGTGACCTTAAACTTCTTACCAAATGTAAATTACTGAAAAAGTAAGAATTAAAAAAAAAATACTTGCACTAACCCTGTAACTCCTTTAAATAACTACTGTAGCCTCTATATGCCCTCAGTTACTGTGCAAAGTTGATACCGTGCAAAGCATTTTTTTACAAATTTCCTGAAAAATGTCCACTTTTCTCCAGTAACTTAAAATGGAAGATAAAATGTCTTTCTGATTATCTTTTTAAGAAATAAATAAAAATAAAATTATTCAATGAGTTGTTCATTGTAGCACATCATTTGTAGCACACTTCGTAGTAAGCCTCTGATTGGACGAAAGGTTTTGAGTTATCCAAGGCTATTGGCTGTTCACTGTAGCACACAGTCTCTTTTATCACTGAGCATGAATTTGATTGGCCAATAGTAAGAAGACCTGAAAGTGATTGGCTGAGAAAAAAACGTGACAAATACAGACCAATCTAGGCACAGAATCACTGTATGCTAACGGAGGCCCCCAGAAATGGCAGAATGATTGTACACGCTAATTTTCAGAATAACCGCCATGGAGTGGTTATTTTGTACAGTGCTTGTCACATGCTTCCATCAATTCTGGGGTAACTGTGTAAGTGTCTTTTTTATTCTGTGCATAGATGGTCTACAAAGGACGAATTTTCTGGTAAATTGCAGTAAGAATGTTTGAAATTATGTCAACAATGTTAAATGGCCAATCCAGCCCCTAAATTCCTACAAAAATCTTTCATCAAGTTTACCAAACATATACCAAGAAATAACTCAAAGTAATTCAAGCACACTTTAAAAAACAAAAAAATCTACAAATGTTCGTTAATAAATGCCCTAAATCCTCCATTATGATAGCAATAGTAATTTTGCTGTACAAAATGTATACTAATATTTTCATAAATGACTTGACATCTATCACAAGCACCTGGGTGTTACAATTACAAAATAAAAAGACATTCACACAGACTTGACAAACATAACGAAATCAAGAGTTAATGGACATGGGTAAAATTCGTGTGACTCGACCCGTACCCCCAAAGCATTTTTATGCTAGCAAGTTATACAAATCTGCAAAAAAATGCAACGCTGCAGTAAGCAAATGTCACCTTCTTCATACATTCAAAAACTGGAACTTCAATCCCTTTGAAAAGTCAAAAAGGCGGTGTTTTCATGTTTACATAACTATACACGCCCCCCCCCCACCATGTCTTAGATAACTTTCACATTTTGTCGCTGTATACATACTGCCTGCTAAACAAGCTTGTAACAAACAAATTGCACTCAAAATGCAGTATTTTTACCCCAAATGTGGTAGGCACAAACAAGGATAACTCAATTTGTACAGATAATTACTGTTTATAAATGTGCTTTTTTTATACAATCATGTAGGCTAATGTGATTTTATCTATAACTTGTAAGGAAAAATACCTTATTCATAATTAAGACAGTGGTTAATTAAATTTAAGTTAATCAGGCAATGCTTGGTAAAAAAAGAAAAAAAGATTTATAACAGCACAACATGAAAGAAATATCAATATGAAATAATCATGTTCATCTTCTTTTTCTGTTAAATAAACATTAATTCTCAAAACTGTTTTATGCATAGTCCAGCTGTGACGTTTCTCTCAATAGAACAACGAAAAATAAATCAACAAGAAACGTACCATTTTAACTTATTTTCATCTAAAATATGCTAGACCCTTGGAAAAAAAGTTCGGAATAAAAATAAAAAACAGAAAAACTAACACAACTGCTCTTTTAAAAACACAAACATAAAATGTGTCTTAAATATCTTAATACATGCATAACATGTACCCTACATTGAATGGCAAATTACTGTCTTAATCAAGCACACTTTAGATTTGTATATTCTTACGAAAATAATGTGATTGTAGTGCAATATATATATAATCTTTCATCAAAGTTAATATGTTAATGGAAAAAAAAGTTAACAAGTAAATTTATTAAGATGTAATACTGTTTACACGTATGCAGTGTCCGTGGACCGTTTGAAGATGTAGTTATGTACATTGAACTGTAATACAAACGTAATTTTAAAAAAGGCAAGTCCAATAGCAAAATCTTTAGCATGTTCGATTTTTTTTTTTTATGAAAGAAAATGTTAAGCCACTTTCTGGCCAAATGTAGTTAAATTTGCTTCCTGCACCATGAAGTGACGAATGCGATAGTTTTGCCGCCTCACTAAGTGATGGATCGTCTCTTACATCACTAGGTGGTGTGGCAAATATCCATGATACATTACTTTGTGGTGCGAACAATAAACTGAATGATAGACTCTCAACTGTTTTCTGTTATTTGTCTGCAATTAGAAAAACAAAGAAATAAATACAAAATATCATAGAGTTGTACCTTTTTATGCAACTTTTAAGATATTCGTCTCCTGTGACCTTTTAATGAAAAATTTATAAAAACTATCAAAGTAGATGTTAGTTTTTAACTAGAGCTACATTTGGCCCCTTCAACTAAGGTGGCAATGTCTAAAACATTTAAACTGAAACAGAGGAGGTGCTCAGTGCTCTGTGCTCTATCAAACTAAATTGCTGAGTTGCGTGAAAATAGTGTCAAAATATGGATAAAAAATTATCAATTATATCAATTTTGTTTTCGTACAATATATATATAGATTAGATTTTTGTATATATATAAATTTTTCACTTTTCATCACTCTCGGAAGGCACTTGTGGAAGAGTTGGACTTGGTGTCAGTGATCACCGTCTTAGCGCTGAGGTCCAGGCGTAAGCTGGTTGAAGGGCTTCTCACCTGAGTTGTGCATAGCTTTTGTCTTCTGGCTCACTGGATTCCTCCCCTTGCTTTTCAGTATCTGTTTGTTGTGAGCAAGCAGTCAAAACATTTAATGTTTTTCTCATTCAAGATAAGTCTGGATTTTTTTAATGGTATTATGTTTAATGGTATTATGTTCAAGAAGGGATAAGCAAATGTAAGGCTGTGTTTAAATTACTTTTTTTGGCTGTGGCTTTAATGTTGCCATTGACAGGATGCTGTGATTATTCATGGTCATAGCCTGTAACAAGCCAAGTCTGATTTGAGCTGTTGGAGCTCTTTGAGAAATGTTGTCACTAGAGGGCTCACTTCAAGCTTCTTCAATCAAGGTAGGAAAAAGGTAAAAAAAAAAAATCTGTAATGAGCAAGTGTGTCTTTTCAGGCTGTGGTTTATCTCCGGTTTCAGTGGCATGAAACGACTGAGAATATTTCTATTCCCCCCTGGATGAGATGCTAGTCCATCGCAGGTTACTCCCCAGCTAATGCCGGTACCCATGTATACTCCTGGGTGGAGAGAGAGAGGGGGGGGGTGAAGTGGCTTGCCCAAGGACACAACATATGGCTAGCAGCTGGATTCGAATGCCTGACCCTCTGATAGCGAGTCAAGAACCCTTACCACTAGGCCACACTCTCCCGGTAGCAAAGAGTGCAACTGAGATAATTTTTATGTGACGGATGGAACGACAGATGACGACGTTAGAAGCGGTGAAAATTTGGGAAAAGTTTTAAAGTTTGACAGTTGGAGAGAAAGAAAGTAATTCCTTCACAAGAATTGGGCAATAGACCTTTATCATGCTGCCACCATTTCAGTCATGTTCCCAGTATCCAATAACAGTACTGAATGATAATTTGTTTGCGCAAAAAGGAACCAGACTATTTTCCCTTCCAGCCTCGCTTTGGTTACATTGATTTGAATGGGAAAAAATCAAGATGGCCGCAACATGATAATGGTCTACGAAAGACAACCAAATGACGAGAACAAAAGAGTGATGAAATGCAGTGAATGGGATCAAGCACACTGGCAAAAAGAAAAAGATGTAAAGACAAATTACAGTGCAAATAATAAAGATTAATTTTAAAGATTGATGAGATTAGATTTCCAGGTGAGTTGGTTTAGATACCTACATGTATATAAATCCAAATACAGTTAAATCCGCACATTAACACACAAAATGTCCAATTATGATGTGGGGCACTGGAGAATGCTCTTGTTTACACTCATTCACGGACAATGGCTTTGATGATTTATGATCATGATTGTAAAAGCTGTTGTCCGACTGAGCAAAAACAATGTACGTGTGCTGAGCTTAGGGCTGCTTTCGCATGGATCGTTCTTCCAACTCTTGAGAGTAAATGTTGTTAAAAGCCAAGCATAAAATGGCTGCTACAATGATGGTATTAAATTCATCCTAATAGATCGTAGTTTAAATGTGGGTAATACATGAAGTTTCTTTCAAATTTTGACGATAAATAATTCAAAAATAAAATTTTAGAAACAAACATGTAATGAGAAAAGAAAGAAATCTTCAGGTATTAAATTATTCTAAGTTTAAAACGTTTAAAAGCAACCATCAGAATAAAAACAAAAGGCTAAGTTTTTACAGGGAAAGTTAATGAGAAATAGGATGTAATGTGACATTCCGTCAGTATCATGAGTGCACTGCATATACGCAAGAAAAAATTAAGACAAGTATTTTCCGCTTTACTTACTCTACTTTTGCAAACTGCGAGCAAATCTACTTAGCAGAACTATATCAGGAAAAGAAAACCATATGAAAATGGGCTGGGATGAAAACTATTTCTGTTTTGTTAATATGCAGTTTAACACTACTAGGCGTGGACGATATTTGTAGTGACAAAGTTTTCTGATACCGAGCACTAATGAATGATGTTGTCAAAATCACGAAATACCAGACAAAAAAGTTGGTATGGTATTTCAACCAATAGGAGGTTTGCGGTAACACCATGTGAATGATATCTGTTTGTGAGTTACGTGGTTCTGAGAAGGAACCAGTTGGTTTAACTCGACGTTTCCAACAGTGAGAACTGTTCCTCATCAAGAGACTTCTGGACTCTTGCTGATGTAGTACTGATACATTCCGGTATGTCCTACACCAGCAAGAGTCTGGCAGTCTCATGATGACGAACGGAGCATACTGTTCGGAACATCTAGTTGGTTCTTTTCAGAACCAAACAACTAGAGATATCATTCACATGGAGTTACCGCAAACCTCCCATTCAATGAGCATGTCAACCATGCAAACCCTTAAATTTCATTTACAATATGCTCTTTAAAATATGGCCAGATGTGTGCAAAAGACCTTTCAAATAAGAAAAAGCTTGGCTAGATGCGCATTTAGATAAGACAGAAATTGTGGAGCTTGATTTCTTACAAGTCATCCAGCAAGGCAATTCACAAAGGTTATAACCATCGGGGAAAACACTACCTTTTCTCAATTTTTGTGTCCTAAAACAACTTCCCTCACATCTATCAGAGAGAACCTCCAGTCTATCAACTGCTCCCAAAGTTCTTGGCAATCTGCCTTTGTAGTATTTTACGTTTTTAGTTTACCTTGCATATTCGTTCATCGAGTAGTCCTTAGGGATCAATGGAGCGGAGCGATCGTTGGTGACTGTTTTGCGTAGCTGGACAGCCGCAATTGCGCTGTTGGGAATGACAAGAAGAAGAATAAATATGGATTAAATCAAATTAAAGGTCAGACTTGTCAATAAACTGCCCCCCCCCCCAAAAAAAAACATCATGGGTCAGTCTATTGACAAGCTGTGACTATATACTAATGCACATTTTGTTTTCATTTGAAGCAACAGAATTGCTCAAATCTTGACAACCGTATGTACAGCTAACTAGTTGAAGTTGCAGCTATTAACCCCTTAAGGACGGGAAGCGGTCATGGCCGCGGCCGCTAATCCTCATTGGAATGCAGTTGCCAGCTGTGGTATGCCGTGGCACACGGCTAGTTGGTAGTTCCACAGCTGCTGCTTTTGTGCAGTCCCGCTACCACACAAAGGCTGTGCAGTCATGCGGGCCACTTGCTCTATGTGTGGAGGAATGTCCCAATTACACCCCGTCCTTAAGGGGTTAAAGTTGATGCTATATATATTTTGAGATAAAACAGCTGATAAAACAGCTGTGACCCAAACTTGCCTGCATTGTCTGTTGACCCAGTTTGACTAAAACAAAGTATTTGCTTGACAAGTGGAAGTGAACTCTCTGTGACTAAATACTAGGGGTGTACATGTGCCAATTTGGACACACTCTTCTGCAAGCCAAGATTGAAATTCAGGCAACTGGCAACAACCTACACAAACTATTTATTAACAACAAAAGAAAGGTCTATACAGGTATCACAAGTCCTAAGTTCCCCCCAACATTATTCTTAATTAATGAAATAGAAATGCACGATTTCAACAATATCCCAAATGCAAATGACAGAGGGCACTCTTCTGCCCATCTTGTGAGAAAATGATAGAAATCCAATCACGCATACCAACACGAAGCTCATTTGAATGAAAAAAGTGCCAATAAAAAAAGTTGCAGTAAATAGCATTGCTCCAATGTACTGGTTTGAGTGATCTTGCAAGGCAGGGTAGACTTTCATTAATTAATAACTTTACCTTACAAAAAGTTTCCTTGTTTAAAAGGATGTTTAACTAAAACAAGACACAATCTTGGTAATCTAACAGATAATTGCAGACCTTTGAATGCAAAGATGACAAAGAAAATGCAAATTAAATGTAACATTTTTGAAATTTCCCATGTAAAAACAAGAGTCTCTACTTGAAAGAGGATGAACAAGAAAACCAATTTAAAAAATGTTACATTCAATTTGCATTTTCTTTGTCATCTTTGCAAAAGGTCTGCAATTATCTGTTACATTACCAAGATTGTGTCTTGTTGTAGTTAAACATCCTTTTAAACAAGGAAACTTTTGTAAGGTAAAGTTATTAATTAATGAAAGTCTACCCTGCCTTGCAGGATCACTCAAACCAGTACATTGGAGCAATGCTATTTACTGCAACTTTTTTTATTGGCACTTTTTCCATTCAAATGAGCTTCGTGTTGGTATGCGTGATTGGATTTCTATCATTTTCTCACAAGATGGGCAGAAGAGTGCCCTCTGTCATTTGCATTTGGGATATTGTTGAAATCGTGCATTTCTATTTCATTAATTAAGAATAATGTTGGGGGGAACTTAGGACTTGTGATACCTGTATGTGACCCACTGAGGCAAAATGAGGAATGTCCCTCAAAACCTTGTTTGAGTTATCAACGTCTGAAGTCGGATATACTAAAAAAATCATGTCAAAATCGATATTGGTTGTTTCGTATTTTTGAGTAGCCAATGTTTCCAAGATTCACACTTTACATTTTTTGGGGGGAAAAACTACCCACAAAAGTGAAAAAAAGCTGAAGAACATTTTTCACTGCCGTTGGCGCAGCAATGCGTGTCTTTTTTTTTCAAAGATATTTTTCTCGAAATGAGGTTGGCGAAGTTTGGCAGGACACTGTTAAGGTTCCTGCAGCATATCTTTGAATAAAGTAAGCTACAGAAATATATTTGGTATCATTGGAAAGCCAATGATTCGCACTTAACATGAATTAGATAACTTGAAAAGTCAAAGGTGGGGGTTATTCCTCATTATGCTATGGCAGGTCACATATGAGGCAGGTCCCTATTCTATTCAACTCCCCCTCCACTTTAAGCCCCACCCACCTATCTCCCTCCTCCTCTTCAATGCTGGCTGTATCCCTGGATGGGTGGGTGGGCAATGATGCCGAGCTGGACACGCTGCTGGTCGGCGACCTCCGACCTAAGCCATTGGTGCCATCTGACACGTGACCTTCGACCTGAAAAAAGTGAGGTCAAGGGTTACATTCATATTGATGCTGTTCTACATTCACGACATATTTCCTGCATTCATAAATCTTTTTGGATAAAGATTGTGAATGATTTCTGTTTTCTTAAAACTGCTGTCCTCATGCTCTTCAACAAATTCAATTTATTTCTCCTGACAAATTTTCAATATGTACGTTTTTGGAGTGAAATAAGATAATTACACACTTTAAGCACTGCCTAGTAAAAAAAACCACTTTCTAGTTGGGCAACATTTCTGAGCTGAAATGTAAGTCCCAAGTATGTACCCGTTACTACTGTTAAAATATGGACTATGTGCACGAACAAGGAATAAAAGCCTTTGGCTTCTCCTGACCCCTATGCCGACACTTTATATCTATCTTCAAATAAGTTGTTCCAAATGTAATTTATGATTAGTTTTCCTTTGCAACTTAATTAATGTTACTACTCATGTGTACATGTAATATATTATTGTCAGCATGAATAAACAATGAATAAACAAGAGAAGTAGAAAAAAAATATTACAAAAAATGGCGCTTTGAGAATACTTTTGAGAGCCCCAGTTGGAGGGATGCATTGGGTGTGTGTACTGGTTCGTGCACATTTGGCGCGACGAACGCACTTTACTCATTTTAACCTTTAGGTAAAGACCATAAAAAGTGATTAAAGCTAACCGGGGATCCATGCTGGTCAGTCGGCGCCCCCTGCAACAGCGAGTGTGGCAGCGACATAGTAGAGGCCGCAGGTACCACACCGGGGCTCTGATGGCCGCTGTGGTAGTCTGGTGACGGGTACTGGCTGCGGCCGTCCAGTATGTTGTCCATGCTGGCCGCCATGCCCTTATTGAAGGCCGGGTTGGTGCTGAGTGGAGGGAGAGGCGGGGGACTAGACGGGTTAGGAGGCTGGATCTGCTGTGGCAAGGGGCTGGGTTGTGGAAAATGAGAATAATAAATAAAAGCTTGCAAAAATATTGAGTAACTCAGTACTTAAGGCGGTTCATACCTCATGCGAATGCGAATTTGATGGCACAATGCATTTGCTGCAATATTCTTCGGATTTGAAATGTGTTCAACTTTTGCAAATTCGCAGCCCGAAAAACCTTTCACAAATTCGTGTTCACGTTCGCTTCAGCACAGAGTTTCGGACTGGAACTTAAAACTAGCATCAGAACTAAACTTAGAACTTTAGAATCTTGGAACTTTCATGTATTCAAACATCAAACGTTTCTGCTTAAAAGGTAGAATTAGCAAGAAAGCAATCACGAAGGTTTATTTATGATGTTGACACAGATTATGTTCCAAAATCGCAAACTTTCAGCAAATTCGCACCATTTGCAATTTTTGTCATTACTGTTTTGAAAATGCACTCCACAATCACACGCTACTTTATAAAAAAAAATTTCCTTGATCTTGATATGTACAAATATGCGTGGAACAATGTTAACTTACCTGGTTGCCCCGTTCTGTTGGTTTGGTGGAGTCTGCAAAGGGTGGGTGTAGGCTATTGGGAACCAGCCGCTGCGCTTGGTGCGGTAGTTGTGACCGTAGTACCAGCCGTTGTTCTTTGGTCCAACCAGTCCAATGATGTCACTCTTAATGAAAGTTGGACAAAAAGATGAACTGTAGATGGCGTATTAACTTATGCAAATGACACGAACTATGCCCGACTGTTTTTCAAGAAAATATAATTGTATTCATCAGTCTTAATCAAAATTATTTGTGGAAATGCGATCATAAAGAAAATGTTGCAAGTAGAGTTAAGACAAAACAAAAAAACAATGCATTAACTGTACTTGAAAAGCAAATGCCCTTGGGCACATTTTCTTGTGCTTGGCGAAGCACATATTTATTCCCATTCATAAATACCTTTTCAGTCAAACAGTCAAAACAAGTCAAAAAGTATACATTTCTGATAATTTTGTTCAACAAATTTACTTCATGTTTTTTTTAAACACCCATCTAGCTATGTTATGGTATGTGCCTCTCGGGAATAGTCGTAAACAACTCCTTATATGGAGATTGGCGCGAGAGTTGTATGTACCTACCGCGCGATATGGCGCAGAACGCAGCTGTGCTGGTGTAGTGTGAATTAAGGACTATGAAATACGAACTCATTGGTAGAAGTGCCCATGCCTATAACCAAGGATTGTGAATATTCAACCAATAAGACTGGCCATGTGACAAACTCTCGACCAATCGGAATGGGTAATCTGTCTTAGGTATTTATGAATGATTGTTTTCTTCCAAACGATATAATTTCAGATGAAATAATATCACTTTGTACCAGTCCTATCTTCACTTTGAGCAAGACTTTTTTTGTTAAATTGTGAAATTAGGTACATGTGTTTACAGGTAACTGCAAGTATTCCAACGTGCCTTGAAGGCCAGAGCCCAATTTCATGGAAAATTTTGCTGAGTAATTTTAGGCGCTAAGCATGAGACAGCCGAGTACCAATCGCAAGCAATACACATTACATGACATTATAGCTGGTAACCTATTACTGCTGAGTATATATTTGCTGAGCTTAGCAGCTTTGTATGATACCTCCAGGAAGTTGAGCTGGCTCTCGCTGTTGGCAATGTGGCTGTATATGGCCTGGACTTTGGTCATCTTCTGTGCTTCTCTGGAGATGTTTTCAGCGCCCTCGGAGACTCGGCGCAGGTATGCATTCTGCGGCAAGGATGACACTACACCTGGGTGTGAACAAGGAGAAACGTTCCAGCCAAACTCCACACAAAAAGACCATTGTGACTTTATATACAACTGTTGAGTGGCTCAGTGTGGAATGGGAGGAATATTATCTCAAGGTAAAATCTGGACTATTCCATTTCACGAGGCGAAGCCGAGTGAACTGGAAAGGTCCAGAATTTACTGAGCGATAATATTCCTCCCATTTCACAATTTAAAGCCACTCAATATTTATACTGACATATAGATCCTTGTCATTTGATATTCGAACTTTTATTTCAATACAAAAATGGTGGAAATGTATTTCTCTCTTCCAAACCACCCCTTCACGAAAATGTTTGAACCCAACGCTGTAGCGCTGGCTCTTTGGAACAATACGCGCTACGCGCTACGCGCAACGCTGAACGCGCACACCAGCATGCATTTGCACACAAATACCGCGTCGTGATCCTAACTGTTCAATAGTATTTCCCATTCCCCATGGGCGGATAGTACTTTTTGAGCCCCGGCGTGTATGGCAGTAATAACGAATGTTACGTGATGTGAGTTCTACAATCAAATGACAAGGATCTGTATGTCGGTTATATAAATACAAATATAACATGGTTTCAGGGTGGATAGTTGATATTACACATGTAGCTTCCCTTGGCGTAAGACGATGACAAACAAACTTCTTTCGCCATTGCCTCGGGAACTATTTTGTCAACTTCAAATACCGAGGGAGCTAATATTGACTATCAACCTGAAATAAACCATGTTATATTTGTTTTACCATATCTCATTCATATTCACCTAAAATTTGTCAAGTTTATACATCAGTTGTCTTTGCAAAACATTGCTGTGCGCGTGCCTTGATCTTGTCATGTAGCTAGGGCAATGTTTGCGCATGTGCACTACCTTGTGAGTCCTTCAGTGATAGCTTCATAAAGTGCATGGGTGGTAGACAAGTGCATGCTGAACCCTTGTAACAGTCTACTACGCAAAACAATTTTGAGTATCTTTATTTGGTTCCAACAGTTTCATGCTTCAACAAGATTCTGGAGCCTGCGATAGAGCCAACGCTGGAGACAAAGCCAAGATTTCGAAAATGGCAACCTCTTACCCTGGGGGAGTTTGTGGATCATGGACTTGCTGTGCCGGATCCCGGGGCCTTTGTCTCGTTTGGGATTGGGCAAAGTGGCGCTGTAGCTGGCCGCTGCGTGGGCATCGGCCATGTCGGCCGAGGCTGGTCTCTCCGGGGCTTCCTAAGAACCCGATTGAGGAAACAATATCAATATTAAATTCAGCAGCAGGATCAAGCTGCAGAGATAAAAAGATTTGAGCTTTAGATTTGTGCTTTGGAAGCATCTCGGCCAAAAACTGGGCTGAGAACTTTGGCCAGCCAAGAATGTCGTGTGCAGTTCTTGGCACTGCTTGACAGTTACCAGACAATAAAATATGTGCCAAGTTATAGGCAAGTTCATACTCCACCAAAAGTGCAAATGCAAACTGGTTACGTCATGGCAAGTTTTCGCACAACGAATTCGCAGAAGTTGAGCACATTTTTACTCTCCCAACAAAATTTCAGCGAATGTTTGATGACAACAAATTCGCTTTGCGTTTGCTTGAAGAATTAACTGGACTTTAAGCAGCAATATTTCTGCCAACCACTACTGAATGCCTACATGTATAATACTTCCTTGTTTTGCATTGAGAAATTACTGCTGAAAGTTGCTTTTTTTGGTTGTGCTTTGCTTTCTGCTTACACACTTGTGTCAACAGTTTTGTAAGCGGAAAATCAGCTTGTGGCATTTAAAGACAGACAATTTGCAGAGACACAGTGACAGAAATGACAGGAATATTAGGCAGCAAAACTGGACTACTAACATGCAAAAAACTTTTGAAGGCGCAAATTGTTTCAAGGGGGGTGGAGGTATACTCTGCTCCAATTAGTTTCTTTTATTTCATTCACATATCTTACAAATTTAAACTCATCTCTATTGGGCAGGTAGGTCAATCAAGCAGGGAATAAATTTCCTACTTTTAAAGAGTGACAGGTGGGGGGATGGATGGGGTGGGGGATGGGTGGTGTGGGGTGCGGAGATGGGTGGGATGGGGGGATGGGTGGGGTGGGATGGGGTGGGGGGATGGGTGGGGTGGGGGGAACTGCCCTTTTCCTCTGGTTCTGCTACCAATGCTGCCATAAAATTTGAATATGAATCAAATTAGATGAAGCATGTTTTAAGGAAGATATCCAGCAAGTTTGATTGAGGAGTTTGAGTGCGAGCACAGACAAAAGTTTCAACAGAGTGTAAACACTAAATTATTGAGAAATTGTTAAAAAGGAAGACAGCTGCTAACGTGAGAAAGTACAGGAGATGCTCGTCCTTTCTCCTTCTGTTCCTCGCTCTGGGCGAGCAGGATGTTGCGCTCATACAGGCGTTTGGAGGTCCTCAGTTCCATCTGGAGGGGATTGCCGAGAGGGCCGGAGAAGACCTGGAAGAAAAGCCAGACAGTTTTGCAAAATTCTACGGCTAGATTTTTTTTTTCAGAAATAGACTAGATTTGTGAAGAGCAGGGGTGAATGTTTCTAGGTGAAACTTTTGGCTAGTGTTACTTTTGATGATGTGTTTCACATCACTGCGAAAGATACAGGTGAGTGAGAAATTGAGAAGTACAAAGACAAAAGTTCTGAAGTGATAGCTCCACGGTTGTTCCTGTGTTAAGGCAACATATGTCATTAGTAGAAAATTGCTACAGCAATGCTCATTATCAACATATTGCTCGGAAAATGGTCAGCTTGAAATTGAAAATAGACAGAAACTGTGCAAGAGACAAGAAAATGTGTAACCCCCCACAATGTTCAGAAAGTCTTTGCATGCACGTTTTTGCAATAACACTCTGTACTGATGATGTCACACATTTTTTACACGTGTGTTTTCTATGGGAGTCCGGTGGGAATGACGATTTGGTGGCCCCATAGAAAAGTGCACAAGTAAACAAAGTGTGACGTCATCAGTACAGAGGCTAATTAGGAAATTAGAAGTGTAAATATTTTAATGCTTGTCTGGATCAATGCGGTATCTTTCTAGAATCTAGCAGAATATTAGTTAAAGATATTTTTGTAGGATTTAGGAAAAAGTTGTCCATTTGAAGTCGATATGCAGAGCAAAGTGTCAATATCCTCAAGCGAACATGACATAGTCGATCCATGGCAACGACAGTGTGATACTATCCCATATTGCACTCCCGTATCGCACAATTTCTGTGATGCGCGCACTATTCCTGCTGCATGTACTGGTACGTGTAATCAGATAACCGCTGAAAAGTACTGAGCGTCAAGTTTGCTTGAAGATAAATTCATCAGCCAACTGTCACTCGTGGAGCACAGATAATGTAGTGCGTCTGTGTCGCATATGGGATGCAGGGGCACTACATTATTCGGTGTTCCACTTGTCGTACAATAACATTTGTTTTGTATTCTCTAAATGTAAGAGGGCATATACCGTGTTAAGTATTTCGTCACACTCTTCGGCCAGTCTGTCAGGCTTGGCACACGACTCGGTCCATTTAGGCATCCGATGACGTAAGACACTCTGTGCCTACAAAAACAAAACACACACAAAACACAGAGAGAAATTGTGCATCTGGAAGCCAGCCTGAGGGAGCGATGGTCATGTATCTGGAACCTGTAAACGCATTTTAATTAGCGCAATATGTAAGGGAGCAGTCTAATGACCAGCCTGGCAGCGCATGCACGATGTCGATGTCGAGTGATATGGTCTGACGTTATTTTCTCTCAGATTTTTCGCTTGACCATCCAAATTTCCCGGAGAATATTCGTGTCGTTTGAGATCGTAAGTGGGTGCAGAATTCTCAAGCCTTATGGCGTTCCTGACGTAATCTCCAGCTCCACCCTGAAGGATATTTTTGAGAGTTGTAAGGGGATCAAACCGTCATCTGCAATATTAGCAGACATTTGAAGAAAATAAAGAAAAAACGCATCGCCGCACCACTTTTGGGGCAAGCTCCATACCAGAAACCGGAGACTCATTTTTTTTGGCCTGTGAAAAAGTTACCCCAAAAGGGTTACAAAGGAGGGGGCAAAATTCAAATTCAAATCAGTCGTGTGTACTTTGTGCAACACGCGCACAAATTAGTACGTGCACGGGGTTTGTCCCTCCCACGGAAACTCTAGAAAGTCAGGTTGCAAAGCGCCACCTACTGTTCCCGCATGGAGTAAATAAACCAAGTTAGTTTTGTACTTACTTTGCTGAAGAATGCCGAGTCATTCTTGACTAGGGAACAGTATCTCTCCACGACATGGCAATATCGTTTCCTTTCGCCCAGCCACACCTAGCAATGGAGGGATGAAATACAGAGAAAATGGTGGCCTCAAACTCAAATGTTACCACTACTGTATGTAAGGTCATATTCCTTTCTTGATGCTTTCAACCCGAATTTAATAAATATATGTACCTGCGACAGTTTACCCATTCCTACTGGCCAAGAGCCCGTCACGTGGGTGGTTTTTAAACAGTTGATAAAACACCCGCTTGCTTGATTTTAAACACTTTTCCGGTGTCACATGAAATTTGGACTCCTATGAAATCTGGTCCCTTTTATCCTTTTATTGGTTAAATGTTCGCAATCCTCACGTAGGCATGCACAATACTACCAAAGAGTCCGTATTTTGAGAGTCCTAAAATCACACTACTCCAGCATCGCTGCATTCAGCGCCACATCGCGCGCGTGCACCCATCTCCATATAAGGAGATGTTTACAACTACTTGCATGAAGCACATACCATAACATAGCTAGAGGGGTGTTTAAAAAAACATGAAGTAAAAGTATTGAACAAAATTGTTGGAAACTTATACTTATGAGTTGTTTTCACTTTTTGACTCAAAGGTATGAATGGGAATAAATATGCGCTTGGCCGGTATAAACGAGTACCTTTAAAAGTGGCTCAGGGGCACGGTCGCCAATAATGTCCCTCACTAAGCCGGCTTTAAACGTACTTGTTTAAAACCAGCCAAGCACATATTTACTGCCTTAGACCCTTAAAGTTATGAAAGAGCACTGCTACTTGTGACGACCTGTGATGATCTGTGAATGACTTGTGATTCCTTGTGACGACCCGACAACAATTCTCTAGGATCATCAAAGCAATCTGCCATTGTGAAACCTGTGCTGCTTCTTGTATTTGCGACGGCTTGTGACTGACTTGCGATTGACTTGTGACTGACTTGCGGCTGACTTATGATAACTTGTGACCACTTCTGACTGGTCTGTGATTGACTTGGGATGACTTGTGATAGACCTTGTGATGGACTCCTAGGTAACTTGTAATGAATTGTGATTGACTTGTGATGACTTGGGACTAACTTATGGTAGCTTGTGACTACTTCAGACTAGTCTGTGATTGACTTGGGATGACTTGTGATGGACCTTGTGATGGACTCCTGGGTAACTTGTGATGAACTGTGATTGACTTGTGTGGACTTGGGACTGACTTATGATAACTTGTGACTACTTGTGACTTGTCGGTGATTGACTTGCGATGACTTGTGATGGACTTTGTGATTTACTTGCGATGACTTGTGATGGACCTTGTGATGGACTCCTGAGTAACTTGTGATGAATTGTGATTGACTTGTGATGACTTGGGACTGACTTATGATAACTTGTGACCACTTGTGACTGGTCTGTGACTTGCGATGACTTGTCATGGACCTTGTGATGGACTCCTGAGTAACTTGTGATGAATTGTGATTGACTTGTGATGACTTGGGACTTTCTAAGACTCTCTCCCTACCTCTCTCAGACCGTCACTCCGGAAGTCATACAGCTGTTTAGTCAGATGTTGCAGTTCCTCTGAGCTCTTCTGTTCCTTGTCGACGTATTTCTCGCTGTGGTTCTTAGAGGCTTTCTTCTGGATTTTCTTCAGTTCCCCTCTGCATTTTTCAACAGCCTGTTTGAAAAGAAGAAATAAAAGTAAAGTTAGATGAATCAAATCAAGTTCGCTTGGAAAGTTTGAAACTGGTGGTTTACAAGACAGAATTTTTTACTGGTACAACATGATTGAAAATTTTTGTCAAATTTGGAAAATCCATCTAGCAAGCAATTTGGAAAAAAAAAAAAAAACCCAAAAAATGAGGAAAATAGAACCTGTACAGGATTTTCTACATGAAAAAAAAATAATGGCATACTAAACAGTTTTTAAAAAAATGAAATCATCTTAAAGATGGAAACTGCATGTCTGATCCTTTCGACATTTCAGTCAAAGACAGTGAATTAAATATGGTCCATTTGTAATAAAATGTATATTAAAATTAACTTGGATGATTTTGCAAGTTTAAAGCCCTATCATCCACCATGGATTGGTCATCCATGACTTTGCACTCAATTGTGACCAAAGAGTGCGCCGCAACTAACAGAGAAGATTAACATTGTCAAGTGTGAACTGACGTTTTGACAGTAAGAAGATGTTTCCGGGTTGACGTTTGACTTGACACAATTCAGGATTGACCCCGATCAATCAAGCAAGGCAGGCATGTACATGTACTAGTCTCAACAGAATATTGAGACACGGGGTGAGAGGGGATTCAAAAAAGATACATCGGTACGGTGCTACTGATATTAACTTCTTGTGTCCACCATGCCTACATGTCAACTGAAAATGGCGCCCTCTTGAGATGGCAAGCTTTGGATATCTTTTCTCAACATTACAGTGCATTGTTGTTATCCCACCGATTTGAGCCATTTGAAAAAGGGCTAGATAGCTCAGTGGGTAGAGCACCGCCGTGGTAATCTGGAGGCTGCTGGTTCAGATCCATCCCTTCCTGCATCCAAATACCCAAACTCAGATGCGTGCCTCTCACGATAAAGCACACTAAACGTTTGTGCACATTCGGTTGAAAACTGGGCCCAATTTCACGGCGCTGCTAAGCACACGATTTTCTGCTAAACAGAGCCTCCGTCTATTTCATGGCGACCGTAAGCAGAAACAGCAAGAGGAATGCTTACTCCAGAGGAAAAATGTGCTCAACTTTGTGACGTAACAATAGAAATCTCCATGCACGCATAAGCAAGCAAGCATGTCTAAAGAACAGGCCAAATTTTATGGTGCTAAAAGCAAAAAAAAAGTACTCAGCATTCACCAAATTTATGAGCTAAGCAAAATCAGCTGACAACCAGTCACAAGCAAATCACATGACGTTTTGGCTGGTAACCCTTCTTGGGTAAGCAAATACATATTGTGCTAAGAAGCCCCATGAAAATGGCTCCAGATGCTAGTGTCACCAACAATGCAAATTTCATCTATTTTTGGTACAATAAAGGTGATTTCTGCATAGTCTGCATGTTGGGCACGTGTGGTCTAACGGTGGAGCACAGGATTCATGATCGAGAGGTTGTGAGTTCTAGCCCCATCATGGCCATGCGTGTTGTACCCTTGAGTAAGGCGCTTTACCTCAATTACTCCTCTCAACCCAGGTGTTAAATGGGTACCGGCATTGTGCAATGCTGGGAAGGTAACAGACTCGCTGTGGAGGAGGTGTGGCGATCCCCCCACAGCAGCATATGAGTCTGGCCCAATCGCTTCAAAGGAGAGATGGGCTCTCCGTTCCTGTGAACACAGGTTCGTCCCCCTTTACCCTTTACCTTTTTCTGCATAGTCTAGCCTCAATAATCAAATAATACGGACGACAGACAATGAACAGGCACCTTTCAACAGCGACTTTCCTTTCCAAACCACACCCAAGGATTGTCAGCTGCCGTTCTGATTAAATGCAACAAAGTGACCCACAGCACTTCCTGATAAAATTTCCTCGCACTTTTAATAACTTTAAAGTTCACTTAGAAAATAATGGCATTAATATTTTAATGCTTAGTTTTATGCACAATGGGCAGTGTGCATGTATTTTTCAGACCCTCAAACAAAGTTAAGTCACAAACAGGAAAGACACGTTTGTTTTGGGTAATTCTAGCTTGGAGGGTTGACCTTTCGTTTTGGGTTATTTCTTCTTTTTTTGCATGTGATATTATTACCTGACGCTCTTGTTCGGAGGATTGTCACTCTAAGTACTCACTTCCTGCTATGGAATAATTTGGTTAAGGTCACAGGTCACAGGTCAAGGGGCAAGGGCAAAACATTTTTACATGGCTATTTTTGCCCAAAATACCTGGTTTAGTCATTTTAGAACGAGAGGTATCTGGTTTTCCAATTTTTCCAGCCCCTGATTATGTTGATAGACATTTTGTAAGGTACACATACAGACCAATCCAGGGGCATGATCACTGTAAACCATTGTGCTTGCTACGGTACAAAGCAAGTGCCCGTGACGGATTATCTGAAGTGAACAATAGCTAGCACAATTACGCGTTGGCCATTGAAGGGGGCCTTTGGTACAGAATTGATAACATGCCCAGATTGGTTTACAGCATTTTGGGGGATTCCGTGTTTGTAACATTATCTTGCAAAATACATGTAAGACAGAAATGGGCATGTTTCAAATATGAGCTGTTGGTGATTCTGAAACAGAATTACATGTACAAACGTACATGTAAATCTCTTTGAAATGTCATAAGTTTTAATGTAGTTGGACAGTCACAGTTAGTCATATTCAAATTTGTAATTTTCTTCAATTTTTTTTTTTGGAGGGGAGGAGGGTGCCTTAATTATAATTAGATGATAGTTACTAAAATGTTCCTGTAGTGCAACATTTGATTTCATCAATTTTAAAATACATGTGGCCATATACTGAAAATTATAAAGATTGTATATTTGAATAAACATAAACAATGATGGTAAAACAACAAATTAATATACGCCATATTTTGGCATGCCCATCACACTTGCTTACAGAGGTGTTTACCAACTCCCCCCCCCTGTTAAAACTGGCGCCGGTAGCAATTACGCGACTCCCTTATATCGCAGGTGGATATTTTTCTTTGCAATTCATTCATGTTTTTTTTTTCATAGACCGGCTATTTCAAGGCAGGAAAGCCCGTGTGCCTTAGTCATCTGTCTGTTGTCTACTTTTAGCCGCAACTGATTGTCTCGGGGGAAAACTTGTAGGCCTTTGCATGGGAGGAGGACTGCATGATAGCCTTAAGCCTCTGTTGAAGACGGTTGGACAATGTCGGAAGAAATAATGTAATTTATGAATAGCTAAGTGACGGCCACACCCAACTGTCCCAATAAACATTTAACTTTGCATTTTATTTTGTTAATTTCTTCATTTTTTTACAGAATCTTTTCAAAATAAAATAATTTGATTTTTGAATTACTAAATGTATGAACCCTCACCTAACAGAAAACTTTGCACTTTTTTAAAATCAATTAATTTTTTTTTTTTACTTTGTTGTGAAAAAAAAAAAAATTTTAATTTTTGAATTGGTACATGTAAATGGTATGATGACCCACCCCACAACAACTTTGCAATTTTTTGGTTTTATGAAACGCAATCTTTTCAGATTAAATTAATTCAATTTTGAATTGCTAAATGTATGATCCTTCACCCAACAGAAAACTTTGCACTTCTGTTTTTAAATATTTTCATTTTTTAATGGACAAGACTCTTTTGTACTTTGTTGTGAACCAACCATGGTCACACATCAGCAAAGGATGCATACATGTACATGTAGATCTGTTTCCATACAATGAAATGCTTGGGAAACCACTGAGATGTGGCTTCTCCAAACTGAGCAATTCAAAGTCTTACTGATCAAATTCTACGCTACCTCCATCCATTTTGCCACATGTTAGTTATTTTGCGCTAGGACCCTTGTTTTTAGGTTTTCCTTGGAGGCGCGCCATTTCTGCGGGATTTGTTTTCTATGAATAATAATAGTTTTTTAGTCCCAAATGCAAGTGTTATTAATGCAGTTGTGCGAATAGTGTGGTGCATTTACATGTACATGTACTACACAAAAACAACGAAGGACGAATGGAAAACTGCAGGATGCTATGGGGATGAAATTGAACAGTTGCCTGTTTCGAGGCAAACACTCAGTGGCACTTCATGTGAACAACGACAACATCTCCCAAATTTTGTAACAAAAGCTCATTGAAAATGTATATGTTATACTTTACAACTTAAGTCCATTTTATCCATGCTTACCAGCAATTTGTTTTTCCTTCGGGGATACATTCTTTTTATTAAAAAAAAAAATTCTAAGAGAGAAATTCCAAAGAGGTCAGACAAAAAAAATGTGCTCTAAGTAATGTTTAATATGTTAACAATGTAAACTATGTTTAATATATATATGGAAAAATATTTCATTTGCTTGGTGCTGGCAGTTCTAGTAAGATGTTCAGGTCATTGTTTTGTCAACAGATCTCCGAGGCAACTGTTGATGGTGCCAAGTTTGAGCTAGGCTTCACCAGGAAAAAACAGAAGAGACGAAAATAGATTTGGCCTAAATTCTGATTCAATGCTTCCGCATCTAGGCAAACAAAACAAGTGTCCATTTTTAGCAAACAAGGCAGTACATGACAGATCCTGGATAACAGCTGTACCGTACAATTTTTGCGAACAAATTATTATAGCATTTGTAAATGAGTAATTGTGCATGCTGTAAGTAGAGTTCATGCAAGGAGCTTACAAACATGAGAAGTTTGAAATGTCCTCTCAGGCTCAATGATGTTCTTGAAAGACACAGAAAGTAACCAAATTTCTGAAATGTCTTGAGTACAAAAAGTCTGAAATTTGCTCATTAATACCCACTCATTGTAGTGTCTTAAAAATGACAATCCTCATGTGAATTTCAGACATTTTGCCCCCCCAAAAAAAATTCTGACATTTTAGGGTTTATTTTGAAAGTTCTAATACAGGTAGCAGAAAAAACACATGCTTTCCAGCACCATAAAATTAGGCCCTAAAATCCGAAATTTCTCAAGAACACAAAGTCTGAAATTTGCGCCCATTCATTGCAGTGTCTTCAAAATGCCAATCCTCAAGTGAATTTCAGACATTTTGCCCCCCCACCAACCCCCCCCCAAAAAAAAAATCAGACATGCTTTGCAACACCATGAAATTGGGCTCCAGTAAATATTTACGTGAATATTCACCATATTGGCTCACCGCTATCATGTCTGTGTACCAATTCGCAAGGTCCCATGAGTATGAACATCATGTGGCTAACCACTTCCCACAGTGCATCATGATCATATTAATCACCGCAAACCTCATGGAAGTGAGTAATAACTTGCGAAGGGGTTCAGACAAAAAATATCTGTCAGAGTCATCATGGGTAGGCCTTCGGTCAGCTGAAAACTCCTACATGTGTACATCCAGGGTCCATAATTTTAGCTACAGTTGACAGTTGAAGTTAAGATTGCAAAAAAAATATTATGTTTCTAGTCTTAAAGGGAATGTACATCATTGGCTTTTGCTTTAATTTTCAGAAACGAACTATTTGAGGGGTTAGTATAATAGATCAAATTATTAATTATTGTTACACTGACATGTTTGAAGTTTTGTGTTCGAAAATGCTGGAAAACCAAGAAAAACAAAAAATGTTCAAGTAGTCTGGCTCCCTGACTCCACTGAAGATAAAATAAATCAATTTATAGATGCCGGAAAATTGTACGGTAAGGGAACCAATGTAGCTGGCCTGCACCCATTCATGAACATGCGACCAATAGCAAACAAAATTTGGACTGAAACAAAATGGTAAATTTGGAGCAGTAGTTGAAAAATAGTCAGGTGTTTCCAACGGTGGTCGGCCGACCACCGTTGGAAATGTATACAAAAATATAATTTTCTTGAAAATGACTTCACACCAGGTGCCATAATCTTACAGGATGCTTTAGACTGTCATTTACCAACATCCTAGTAAGGTATTTCGTAAAAACTTGGTAGTTTTATTTTTCAATGTTTACAAATGTTGTATTTCCCTTTAAGCTGTTGGTTTCTGTTTCAGAGGGTGAGTCAGAATTTATCCGAGGGCAAATAGATGTGCTTAAGATCAGTCATGAGCAGTGGTTTCTTTTCTTATCTTCCAAAGCTATGGTCCGGATTCGCTTCCTGCCCTGGTCCATATTTAGATCGGGTTTTTCAGCCCCTGCCTGCATCTGTGGCTTTTTACCAGAATGTTCTTCTGGGCTTTTCCTCCGCTCCCACCTCTAAAAACTGTAATTTGGTCTCCTTGTCGTCTCTCTACAGCTTTCTTCAGGGTTTCGGGCTACAGTGCCTAGGGTGCTTTTGGGGAATCCTTGGTTTATTCCCAGAAATACATAAAAAACAAATAAATAATACCGTAAATGCATGCATTCCAGAGTTGATGAAGGAATTCAGAACTCTCCATTATTGTTGGATTCTGTTGGGTGTTGAGGAGATTCATGCACAAAAAAAAAAAAAAAAAAAAATTTGGGTTAAGAGTAAATTCTTATTGGCTGTTTCGGCAACCGGCCGAAACATCCTTTGTTTTCGCTAAGATTTTTTTTTTTTTTTCTTTTTTCCTTCCCAGTCATTTTTGCCCATAGCATAATACAATCGATAGAATAATCCAGGGTCTTCATTTTTTTATATTATGTGCAAAATCACGTGACCCTTCCTTCCGGTTGAAACCAGAAGTGCCTTGTAATTTAAAATTGGTGAAAGATGTGAACTTGCTTTCAACGATGTATGCTATGGCTAAGTTGTTATTAACAAACACAAATATAGTTATAGATGAAAATTGATGCGACGTCATCATGACGTCATCACGTCACATGTGGCGTCATAATTCAAAGCCCTATGGGAATGCAATCACATATTATATGCCACCAGTTATCATAAACAGAACTACACATCATTCCTGGATGGAACTTAATATTGAAACTTCACAAAAAGTTAACGAAACAGCCCTGTGTTTGTCCACAAACATAAATCTAGTTTTGGTCTTAATTCTCTATGAATACTTTTTTAAAAATCTGATTTATTCCTAAAAAAAATGAACTATCAAGGCAGTGGTTACAATGTGACAAACTGTTGGAAATTTCAATAAGCTGATTTGCAGAGAACACTGCTTGGCAAATTTGTTTTGATCAAAAATAGGCGCCATATAAAAAAAATGGTCCCAAGCAGGATACATGCATTTCATATTGAAATTTTGGCTGGTATCCTGTTTTTGCTAAGCACTTTTTTCTAAGCTCAGAAAGTTTCCGTGCTTAGAAGTGCCATAAAACTGCTCAATTATGCAACGTAATTTTCCCTTCATGCAATTGTTTTTATTTGTGACGCCCACACCTTATGCTAGATATCAAAACATGTTTTGATTTTCCTTTTTGGTTTAGTTGAGTCAGTGTAACGCAATCCCGCGCATACCTGGGCCTATCAGGGCAAAGGGTTCTTGTATTATCAGGATGTTATCTATAGCTGGCAGGAAGTGGCTTAAAGTGGGCTGCTGTATGACCCTAAAAATTCTATCGCTGTTTTTGTGTTGCCTTTCTACATTATGAGCTGGTTTCATACATGTAGTTTGTTCAATGCCAAAGTTTGAGTCACTTTTCTTTTTCCAAGGTTTGGCAAACCGCATCACATGACAAGTGGTATGTGTAAGGAATGTGGCATTATTCCAAACTATGACATCATTGTTTGTATTAGCTGAATCACGAATATTTGGCCGATATATTTTAATTTCAATAAAAACACTAGTTGATATTGTACGGTAAGTATAGGTTTCACATCATGAAGGGTAAAATTTCAAAATGAGATTCCTTTTGCACAGGGATTTTAAATGAATCTTTTAAAATTCTTTCTAACTCCTCATAATTGTCCTTATTATTTTACATGTAATTGGATAACACACTTTGACCATTTTTTTTTAAATTTTGAAAAATTCCCTTAGTTCTAGTAATACTTCCATGATAATTTTATCCTAAAAATAGGTTTCCACACCAAAAAAACCTATTAAGCCCTTCCCCTAAACAATTTGGTTCTAGAAATGGCAGATTTGTTAAGAATTCTGATTTGGAAAGAATCCTTTTCTCATGATACATCCCCGCTTGCTACCCCCCAAAAAGGTAAATTGCATAACAACACAACAGTAGACAATCAGTCACAAAACTAGACAACGCATGAACAAACTGTCGGCCAAGACTCAGAAGACGGAAGAAGAAGAGGTAGACCGAAAGAAGAGGTTGAGCTACAAGACTGCAAGAAAGACTGGACATCAGGCTGGAGAAACTGTGGACAAGCACTGTGACTAGTCTAATTCAGTCAACAGACAAAAAGCAGGCAAGTGGTAGGCACAGCTGGCTTATCAATCACCTGCAGCCAAAGCATCGCTGTATCAAGCTACATAAACAGTCACAGCCAGTCAATCCTGCTTTATGTAGGCTGGGAGCTCTGAACTGTTGAAAACAGTCACTTGATTGATTTCGCCTGCAAGGACAACTTTGCACAGAATGCATCTACGCATAGGAGGGTTTAAATAGAAATTGCAGCATTGCTAATGTTGCTAACATTGTGACTTTGAGCATGATCCCTGACTATAAATGGCATATATGCGTTAATGACTTCTGAATCTCTGTCTGCTAGTCCGTCACTGATGACGATGACTTGCCCATGCATCATGTTAGAGTAGCGTGATGATGAAATTGGTGATGTCTGCGGTGACTGAACAACCCGATACGTGATCAGCAAGAACCAGCGGATGTAGTGCCAACAGCTGAATGCTCACATCTTTTGAACAGTACCCCTTAAACAAAGACACTGACAAACTGGAGTACCGCAAACATATGGCTGGATAGCTCAGTTGGTAGAGCACTAGTTTGGTACTACGGAGGTCGCAGGTTCAAACCCTACTCCAGTCAATTTCTGTGTTCAGTTTCTAAGAAAAGGGGGTACTCTAGGATTCATTTGATGCATACATGTTCTGTGTGTGGTCGGGATCAAAATAAAATCTTTCCCAGAAACTGTGACTGATTACTTATATCAGGTACCTCAGCCTTGACTTTGTTCTCATTGATGTAAGACTTCTGAGCCTGCAGTACTGCCTTGTAGTCAGCATCCAACTTGGCTTCTATGGGGTTCAACAGCTCCTTCCTGAAGGCATGTAACTGTGAATAGAGCAAACATGAACAGGTTGGCCTGGGTGGGTAGGCATTACATTCACTGTGTGGACTTCCAAACAAAAGAGGTCCACATAAACCAGGTAGAGGCGACGTTGTGTGGACTTGGGCAAGTCCACACAGTGTTTCCCCATTTCTGGAAAACAGGTTTAGAGGCATTTTCGGATTAGGTTTATCTGTGGTAGAATGAAAGGAAACACTAAAGGGAATCATAGAAAAAAAAATTGGGTTGAAAGAGTTTTCACAGTTTGAGAAAAATGAGTTTTTTCCACTGGTTTTTCTTAACTACACACAAAAGCAATGGAATGTCCACACTTGGTATGTAACGTAAAACATTCGTGAAGTTTACGGAGTTTAAAACAATTTATCACATGGGATTTCAATTCGGATTTTTCAAAACTTTGGTTTGAGTTCCACCGTTCGGTTTATATTTCAGCAACCTGATATTCAAACCCAACCTTAGAAAAAATATTAAGATTTCTATTTTTTGTGTGTGTGTGACACATATGCTAAATAAAAAAATATGGAAATCTGCCAAATTGCCCAATGGTCTCTGATTGCAACCGCATTCATAGGTCTTCTTGGCTCATGAATAGCATGCCCGTTCGACTATCAGAGAGTTTCCATCCATTTTTTTTTTCTTCAAGATTACAGCTCTTGAGTGTTTTTGTAAAGTAACTTATTATTTGACCAGTGAAATTTCAACTTTTTTTATCCCAAATCTGAGACCTTAAATGAGACCTTGTCGTACTGTAGTTCCATAGAAACACATGTACAGCGTGTCTCAAAAAAATGTAGAAGTAAAACAACATGGTTGGTTTGTTTGTTTGTTTGTTCGTTACTCACTGTGATTTCTCTCTCTGCCTCTATTTGTCTGTAGGTTTCTGCAATCTGTAACAACGACTGCCCTGTATACAGAAAAAACAACAAACGGAAACAAAACAAGGTTCTGTCATAAATGCATGTTTTTTTTCTTTCGGTTTTAGAATTTTGTGACATATTAAATAAATTTGCAAATCTCTGGGCCAACGGTAAAGAAAACATATCCATGCTGTGAAAATGAAAGCAAAGGACGGAACCCATCAACGACGAGTTTGACACCGAAAACTATTGTTTTAAGCCAGTTTCCTGCATTTCAGGGACGGATATGTTTCAAATGTAAAAGAAAATATAACATTAATTTAAATTAAAAAAAAAAGAGGTTGGCTTTGCCCATGGAGGAATGATGTTCCCAAAAACATACCCAAACAATGATTTAATTTTCTAATTAACTGACCTAAAATTGGGCTGAAATTGCAAACAAGTTTTTGTTATTGGTTTAATTTATGTCGTAACTACAATGCCATTCAATAAGGGAACGTCCTTTTTGTGCAAAAAATGACTATTTGGATCAGTACTCAAATACAGCAAGTGCTACACATTCTGGGGTATGTACAACTTTCATGTCTTACCACTGAAAAAATGAATTCTGAGATCAAAGATATATTTTTTCAAGACCATTCAAACTTTACCAATAAATTCGATGAAAATGTAACATCTAAGTTTTGCAATTTACATATTCATAATTTGTTAATGAACGTACAAAATATCCATGTTCATGTACTGTAAGTGTTCAAAATAGAAAGATGAATATCAATTAAATGATATCGATCAAACATTTGTGTGAATGGCTAATCATAACTAATTTGTTACTAAAGCAACCGTCATGTCACAAATTAATTTGTGTTTCATCTTTCAAACGGAGATGACAATTAGGCCTAATGATACAATTCTGTGTTAAAAACAACCACTGCTGATATTGACTCTCCCAAATAGCGAATGTGTGTATTGAATATTTGGCATACATCAGTATCTAAGGAACTCATGAATGTGAGCCTGACGTCATTCAGACATGTTATCGCAATTTAATTGGGCCTAAGACAACAATAAATGCACACTATTTATCTTGTCTGCTGTCATAAATTTTAGTTCATACATGTACAATAGATGTGTACACAGATACGTTGAGTCGTTGACACAAACAGATAAGCAGGGCTGTTGGGGCTATTTTCATTATATTGATACATGTACAAGTGCATGTACATGTACCATAAACTTGTACAGACTTGTAGAAAAGTACAATTTACCGGTACACACGCACAGTGTAAAACTTGTCAATGAGTTTGTTACTTTTTGCTGGTCCCAGAGGCCAGCCTATAGACCTTTATCATGCTGCCACCATTTAAGTCATGTTCCCTGTATCCAATAACAGTACAAAATGATAATGTTTTTATGTGCAAAAGGGAACCAGACTATTTTTCCTTCCAGCCTCGCTTTGGTAACGTTGATTTGAATGGGAAAAAAATCAAGATGGCCGCAACATGATAATGGTCTATAGGCTTTATTCACAAGTTGGCCATATTAAATTGAAAGCGAGGTAAAATCTTTATTTTTTTGAACTTGCGAATAGAAATGAAAGTAATGAAATAAAGTTGTACAAATTAATACCAGTTGGCTCTGATGAATAATTTATGTGATAAATGATACCCTAATGTTTAAAGCTACATTAAAAACTATGATGCACGGCAATGTCGTACACGCGTGTGTGAATGAACCACTATGCGATGTGTTGCACGATTTTTGAAATTATTTGCATGATAAGTCGCACGCTTTTGTCACTTTTGTTTGAAAGAGTCTTTAGTCTTAATGTACAGAACATAGAATTCTGGCCTGGTAACACCTTTGTTCAAAATGATTAAATGACTTAGAAAATCAATATTCTCATTGGAATAATTTTTCTTTCAAAAAGGTTTAAAGTTTTAAGAATTTTGAAAAAAAAAATTGATTTCTTCTTTTTAGCTTCATCAACGCCATCCCCTCAAAGTCAAAAGTGAAACCAAAAAAAGGGCAAGGCTTTATCAAAATAACACAAATTTTCAAGTTTCAGGAAATAGGAAGTCCACTGTTCAGGTTTGTTTGCTTTTTCTGTGACCTGTGTTTTTTTCTTGAGTTGTCATCGCCACTGGTTGTTTTCTTTAGTTGAAGAACAAACAGTTGGCGGGTGTCATCCAACACAGTTTCAGCTTGTTTACTACATGAATACATGTATGTCAGCTCCAATTCACATACTGTGGCCAGTCTTAAATGGATGATAAGAACACGGCTAGCTGGTCTTAAACACTTTTTCAGTGTCACATAAAATGTGGACTCCCAAAAAATCCAGTGCATCTTACCATTTTATTGGTTGAACATTCACAATCCTCACCTAGGCACACGCAATACTACCAGTGAGTCAGTATTTTATAGTCCTAAATTCACAATGCAACGCCCCACGTGCATCCTGCACGACATCGCGTAGTACGCGCGACGTGCGCGCAAATCTCCATAAAAGGAGTTGTTTACATGGTACTCGCAAGCTGGACACTCCATTATTTAGCTAGAGGGGTGTTCCACAAAACATGAACTGAACTTGTTGAACAAAATTGGGTTTTTTGACTGAAAAGTTTTGATTTTCTTGACCGAAAAGGAATGGGAATAAAAATGTGCTTTGTCGGTATTAATCACTCTGTTTAAGACTGTTAGAGTCTGGGTGCTGATAATTACCCTCGCGTTTGGCTCGGGTAATTATCAGCACCCAGACTCCAAGCGGTCTTTAACCCTAACCCCCTAGTACTGTACATGTAGTTCCTCAGGACTACCCTGCTAAATCCAACCATGATCCAACAGAGTCCAACCGGAGTTTCCTGCTAAATCCACTGTGCCTTATTTTTAGTTGTCTGCTGAATCCAACAGAGTCAACATGACATTATAATGCGGTTCAGTTGCCTGCTGAATCCAACATTTTGCATGAGGAATGTACACAAGGGGTTTACTGCTCAATCCAACAGGCTCCATCGGGTATGACATACATTGTAGTTGGATCCTGTTGGATTCAGCAGGGTTAGGGTGCAAAGTGATTAGAACCTCCCAAACACACATTTATTCCCTTATTACACTCCCCATGTGTGTTGGGCGCTCAGGCATGGAAGCGCCAAGCAAATGGCTACCAGAACCATCACCATAATTTTGAAATCAGATTGTTGTATAGGAGACAATACCGCAAACTAACTCTTATTGCCTGCTTATCAAATTAAATTCACTGAGATACCGAAACTGGGATACAGTATTCTGGAGGTTGCATGTTCGAATCCAACTCGGTCAGTTTTTGTTTGTTTTCGGTACATTTTGGCTTAAAACTGAAATAATGCACAATCATATCTTGTTTTCACAAGAAATTTTGGAACTTAGCTCCTGCAGGCATGCCAAGCGTTATGCCCCTGGGAATTGACTTTTATCGCTTCAGCATCTTATTTTCATTGCGCAGTTCAAATTATGATGTATACATGTACATGTACACACTGATTTGTTTTAAATCAACATTTCCTTGTTTATATGGAGACTTCTTGAACACTCATACACGTAGGCTAATAATAGAGGAAATACCATCCATGTAACATGGAACATGCATACATACATACCAAGGGGGGGGGAGGGAGGGGGTATGTACTGTACATACATGTACATGTTGTAGGATCGTTTGCTTTTCATGCATTTTTGTTCATTTCCAAAAGTCAGTCGATTGATCGATCGATGATAATACCTAACCTTGTGTAAATATGATAAGTAAATAAACATGTACATGTATGGATGCAGTGTCCGAGATTATGGGTGTGCTGGCTAAAAAGGTGTTAAGTACAAGTAGAATGTAGGCCTATTGTCCCAGTAGAATGTATTGTCTAATACTCTTAAATTAATCTCAAGTGTAACTGTCACGTTTCAATTTTTTTTTTCCTCACAAAAACAACAATGCCTCTTATCAAATCAAAGAGACTTTAACCCCATTTATCACATTTATTTGATACAGAGTGTGTTCTTGGTATTGTTGAACAAGTACACAAAAAAGCACTCAAAATGAAGGGGGATATGTATCAATTTCAAGTACTCTTCTGATCAATTAACAGATTAATGATCAGACTATGAACAATTATCGAGTAGACACACTGGTTATTATGTACATGTACCGGTACTATAAAAGACAATCTCCTAAACCCACAAGAGCCTTCCAACACCAAATATGGGGAACAAGTATTCACTAGATCCAGAGGGGAAGATTTTGGGAGCTTTATACGACTGAGAATTGTGGTTGTGAACATTAAGCTGAATGTCTTGAAATACCGGTACATGTATGTAGTTTATTTAAAATGTGAGCCCCCTCTGTTTGAATTCTGGATTGGCTCTTGAACACAATCTACAGATTAAAGTTCTAAGATGTTGGGAATAGTCGTCAGGCAAAAAATCTGCCAACTACATCAACCATTCAGCAGTAGACAGTTACATTTTTGTTTTTGCAAAAACTAATAAGATGTATGTATGTAAGCTTAAACAAATACTTTTCAAGAAAATTTCAGCTGAAGGAGTACTGGTGTGGCAATTATGCACAGTCATAGGGTGGGCTTGAAATCTGTTTTATCAAATTGAATAAATTGTACCACTGCATGTATGCCTGGAAAGTGTCATGCTAGAACACATGATAAAAAGTGACAGGTTTCTTGTACTGGAAGATACCCCAAAGGCAGAGTGACAGCAGGTCCTTGGTGCAGATCTGGGTCAAGACTTGTACCACACATTGGACACCTGTAAATTCTTCGAGTTATGAACTAAATACCCTAGGGTACTGAAATCCACACTGTTACTTTTTAACACTGTGCAAAATATTTTTACACACATACTTTTTAATTTATTGTTTAATGTAGGTAAAAAGGATTCGAAACTGGTTCTGGATTCAAAACTGAAAACAACGAGCAACATCATTTGCCCAAAAAAATTAATCAGTACAGAGATTACCTTTTTATCAGATATGGGGATTTATTTTGACATTTTTAACACTGGGGTTGTAAATCACAAGTCAATATTGGCAGAGTCTGTGGGTTTAGACTGGATCACAGGACTAATGAGACACAGTACGTAATGAGACTTGTTAATGTGCACAATTAGGTTTGTAACTGTGGATGATCTAAAAATTAAATAAGAAAAACAGCTCTTCAATACTTTGGATAAAATTCCAAACACTTTTTAATACCAAACGTTGTTCACAATGTGTCTTTACCGGTAGTTTCATTATTGATATTTTTATTATTTTTTTACATTCAAAATGTTCCTAACATGAGTACATATATGATAGGTGTGAAAAAAATATTAAATTATGCAATAGAGATACAAAATTTCATTAGGGCAATTCCATCATTATGTTATGTCCGTGACAGCTTTTAAAATTCAGGAAATAAACCTGAAAATGTATTTTTCAAATCTTATACATCCATCATCTAGTAATGGTCAAGGAGATTACAGACTATGAGTTTTCAATCATTTCTCTGAATCATTGATTTAATAATATCATGCTTAATTGGCTCTGTAGCATTACACTTTATTTCATTACACAGGAATTGCCTTTGAAATAAATAACATGTTACCATGCACACTGTGTCAATGGCTGTACTTGTGCTGTCCCGGGGTGAGTAAAAAAAAACGAAACCCAAATGTCGGGATCATTGTTTTAGTTCTGCATGTAGCACTTTCAAAATCTTGGATATGAAAGCCCAATTCATAAGCTTTCTTTTTGTACAAGAATCATTCAAATCACTCATACATGTACTTTTCAAGTTACTGAGTTTTAAACACAACCACCGTTTCAAAGTTCTGTCCACGGATCACAAAAAAAGTTCTAGTTCTTTCAGCAAATCGAAAACAAATCACATAAGGATGTGTGTTGATTGTTTTTGTTTTGCTAATAGAACGCTCGCCTTTTTTGTGATCTGTGGACAGAGCTTTAAAACGGTGGTTGTGTTTTAACTTGAAAAGTACATAAGTGATTTGAATGATTCTTGTACTAATAGAAAGCTAATGAATGGGGCTTTCATATCCTAGATTTTGAAAGTGCTACATGCAGAACTTCACTAACACAATGGTCACGACATTTGGGTTTCGTTTTTTTTTTTACTCACCCTGTAGGTCATTGAGTGTAAAGGTAGTTTCTTTAATTTTCTTTTTCTGGCCACACGAGCAAAATCAAATTGCATAATGCATGAAGGCAAGGGTGTGTTAAAGCCAGGGAGCCAATTATCAAGGAATATCAGGCGAAAAACTCCATTAAACTGTGAAAGCTTTAGATCCCAGATCGATAAGGTGCGTTCACAAAGCTGATGAACAGATAAATGTAAATCCTGGGGGAAAGAAGCACACTGCACTGTGCGTTTTTTTATATTTTTGTTTTCTAGATGAAGCCGTGAAGATGGTGAAAGTTACTAGAAAGAACTTAAAGGGGCACTACCGGTACGGTAGGTCCTGAAATCCCCGAAAATTTCATGTTTTGGATTGTTTACAAGTTTACCCTTACCGGGGCATTTCAATCATCTGCTTTAAAGGAAACCAACCTAATGTCTTACCGCTTCTGAGAAAAGACAAAAAAAAACCTGCTTGTTTACATTGGACACGATGGAGTACAAATACGTTTTTCCTGTCGTTCTCAGTGTGCGATGTACACATTGTGTGTCTCGGGAACAGCGGCGACCAATCACCAATGCAAAAAAAAAGTGGTTTCTTCAACGTCCGCAAAAGGCGAACACTTTACGAATGAAATCACAACTAGCATCCAAACAGCTCAAAATTATGGGGTCGCAAAAGTGGACCCCGAAAATTTGTTCTCGCACGCATAATACAGGAATAACACAAAAACACCCAGTTTTTAAAGGATAGTTGTGTGGATGTTTATATCCTACTTTTAAATGTTATTTCCGATTAACATCATCTCGTTCAAAGCGCGTTTTCTAGCCCAATTGGGCTATTCCAGGACCCAGTGTCCCTTTAAGCACTGATCATCTGTAGCAGTGGGCGGAGCCAAGGAGAACTGATCAATTCAGAAGACCAGGATTGAATTTTACATGGACGGTATTGCAGGATTTTCTGAGCATTTTTCCTTAGAATTTGGGTATCCGAAGAAAAATGAAGGACAACCCACTTTTGACAGTGTTTTAATTTTACATTTTAACAATCTTGAACCGGTCACTCAAACGGAAAAACCCTTAAAGTTTAATGGTGTGTGAATGGACTTGCGTGAATGTAGTACGCATACATCAAGTGGAAATGTGCCAACATGCAGTGTCAATGACATATAAATTGATACACATGTAATGTCAACATTGCAAGATTTCCGAAATAACCCTGGGGCCAGACAACATCATTTGTCACGGCTTTACCAAGACTGTTGAAAACCCTTTGCCAAATTCCACAGAAAGAATTGCTGGATGAAACAGTAAGAAGGATGTAAATGTACACGTACAATGTACAGGGTACATGTACCGGTATGTGTATACATGTACCATGTACAATTCTACATCTTTTGGCTTTTAAACAACTTCAAATTAAGAATCATTTTCCTAATTACCCCCAAACAACTACTTCAAAAGTACGAGGATGGATTTTGGACTAGGGGCAAACTAAATGGGGACATGGGTTACCCCCTCCCCCAACCTGTGCCCTCCCCTTCCCTTATAATTTGGGGAAGGTAAATTAACCTTCCTAAATTTCAAAAAACACATTGAATACCCCCTCCAGGAAATGAGTCCCCTCCCCCTCCTAAAAATTGGACTCCTTTTACGTCAGTGCTGTTTTGGACTGAATAATGAGGATCTCAGTCATCAATTTGTTATGTGTACAATGTACATATGTATGTGTATGTACACGGGATTCAATGGTTCGCATCATATCAATTTGACTTCTGATTTTTCATTTAAACATGAGTAAATCCTCCATGTACCGTATGTATGCATGTTACTTTATGTAAACTCAAATAAATTCAGGCATAATGATTGATGTAAAAAAATGTGCATGCAAAAAAAAATGTGTAGCATGCTTCTAATGTACAAATGTATTACCGGTATACATGAGAAGCATGCATGCACATTCGAATATGTAACTGTACAATTGAAAAATATCAGAAAAACAAAATCAGTTGTACAACTGTAGCCAATTATCACATCTCAATAAACAGAAAAACAAGCTCTGTACAGTAATTTGTCCAAAGCCTGGAGCTACAGTGTACGGTATGTGCATACAACATCGTTAGGGTCTGTTCAGTTGGAGAATAAAAACATCTGTCATAATCAGGCAGCATTTCCTCTCAGTATTCACATGACCTTGACTTCAGACCTACTTTATTTCCTTTTCAGGATTTCACGGTGTCAGAAAATGACCAGATTGATAAGGCCAAAAAAAAAAATACTCGGTCTCTGGTCAGCGCGCGCGTCGATTTTAATCATGCGCGTCACCCTTTTTTTTTTTTCAAATGAACACGGAAGCTACAACAGCGCCCTCTATTGCCGCGCCTCCTCAAATTTTTGTACCAAGGAGCACCAAGGAATGGGGAAATTGCACCAAGGCAAATGATAAGGCAAATTATGGAGGACACCAATGTAAAATGAGGACACAAAAAAGCAAAATAGTACCCACCTTGTCTGTACAATACAAGCTTGAAAAAAAAAAGCCACAAAAAAAACACACAAAAAACCGCGTCGCCGCATCAATTCCGGAACTTCGGTCTGACCAGAGACCGACTTTTTTTTTTGGCCTAGAGAAATCAGGGCAATTTTCGTTTGGGTGGAGAGCATGATGGTTGAAAATTCAATTTTAGAATGTTATAAATTTGTTATGTAAGTATTGCAGTTAACAGTGAATGCAAATTTACACATGTAAACAGGTGTGAACTGTCTAAACAAGATTTAAAAAAAAAAAAGAAAACACTAAAATTTGTCATTGGAATACAGACCTTAAGCACAGGACAGACAAGCATTTCATTTTGTTATGTTACAAGAAATTTACATTCAACAACTTTGTACACATTTTTAAAACATTGAATTACACCTGAAGCATCGTCATTTAATTAAGTCCTTGTTTCTTACCCAACTGTCTTGCACTTTTTGTCTCGCTTGCCAGTTCGCCAACTTTCATGAGAGCGTCAAAATAATCCTTCGCAACTTGTGTGACATCTGCAGAGGAAAAAAAAATGTGTTTTAGTGACATGTTTTAGACTTTAACAAATTATAGGGCCTACATATACTATGAAAATGTTCTATTCATAACTTTTGGCCAATCCGAATGGATTAAGGAACATGGCGTCCGCCTTCTAATCAGAAAAGGATTTTAATACAGAACTTATCAAAAGAAATGAAATTCAGCTTTTGGGAGAACCTCTGTCTCCACAAAACAATGGAAAATAGCTAAATTCTGTAATATTTCAAACTCCAAGCATTATTTACAGCTTTGAATGTGTTTTAATATTCTGTAGCAAAATTTACCCCCCTTAAAAAAAAAAAAAACACATCAATATCTCACAAATGACATGTACTCGTTATGCATGAACAGAATTTACAATTTCCTGAAATGAAGTTACAGATCTTTGTGAAACAGAAATTGGTGGCCCTTTGTGATGTGTCAAGCAAACATGTTCAGTCACTGCAGTGAAAATAAGGATTTTTTTTCTTTTGGGAAAAAAAAACCCAGAAAACTTTCAAGTCAAACTAATTTTTTTCCTGCTCCCTACATCATGCCTAAATGCACTCTCACTGATTTGCAGTAATATTTTAAAAATGAAGCATTAAATATTAAATGCCTTCATTCATCCTCCTTCTCAGATTACACTACACCCTTTATTGTTCACGCGCAGAGCCAATGAGCCCAATGATGTAATCGCTGAAACACTGCACATGTGTGCAATGATATTGACTGGGGATCAAAAGCAGAAAGCCATATGTCGCAAAAATGGTCACGCAACCAAAGTGCATTGCATTGGACACTGTGCCAACTGACAAAGCCAGGAAATCAATAGGGAAAAATCAAGACATCCTAGGCTGCTATTCCTGATTGGGAAACCATTGTCGTGTTATTCCTGTGTGCTGGCAAATGTACTTTTACACATCTTGCAAAGAGTGAAATAGATGCTTTACACGTGCAAATTTCTTTTCCATTGTGTACTTAATGTCATTGTCATCATGTTCTTTACATTAGTCAGGTGGCATATAATCGAAATTGTGACCGACTGGTCCAAAGCGCAAAACTTAGCAGATAGATTCTTTTAGCCCTAAAGAAATATTTTGAAGGGGTGACACCTGATGTTCTTTTGGGGCAGGTGCCTAATTTGCATTCTAAGTCATAAATAGCCTCTGTGTAATATATTTATTCCCATATTTGGGTAAAATAAAATAAAAAATTTAAAGGAGAAAAAGAGCAGTTCGTAAATTTGGCTAAACATTAGGTGAAGGGTTGCCTAACGTAAGGGTCTTGAACAAGTTCAAAGAAATCCCCCAAAATAAGAAGATTATGATTGTTTGAAATAATTATGCCTGCATCAAAATGGGGTTTTTCTACAGGTAGATTGTATATTTGGGGATTTCTTTGAACCTGTTCAAGTCCTCCACATTAAAGATTTGGGTGTAAGCCACTTGAGTACATGTTCTACACTGCACTGGAGATGTAAAAGTAAATTCACTGTAGTAAATGCACTTGATTAGTTTTTATCTAGACCTTATGCATTGTACATGTACAGCAGATTGCTCTTCGTTATTTTAATTTATTAACAATGAATGCACAAAAGGCTTAGTTGTGCCCATCCCAGCAAAACCAAACCACTGCCCTCTGACTCCCCCTTATCGCACAAGGTCTGTTCACCTGTAAACCCCACAAATTCACAGTCTACCATACTTTCCATACAGGTCCAATGCCAGCACTGTGCAGTAAACCAAGGATACTATTTTTTGTTATTAAAACAAAATCGGGACGACAAATCTTACATCAAAACAAAATTAAGCAAAATCAAGCAAAACTGGGTGTTGTTCAGGTGGAAACGAGAAACTTATTTGACTAAATCTTTACTTCTCACATGCACAAAATCAATCAAATGAAGTATTTCAATATGATGCAGTTCATGATAAAAATAATAATTTGTTTTTGGTTAGGAAAGTGAAACAGCTACTACAACCTGGTTTTGGTTCGGGTAATGTCAAGGTTTTTTTGCATACATATCTTGAAAACATAATTCCATTTGTAAACAATGCTCAACAACTTGAAACTAAAAGTGTGACAATCAAGCATTCTACATGTGTAATTCAGTTTCATTTATTATTTAAATGAATCACTTTTTAATGAATTCTGCAACTTATAAGCCTAACTGAATTTGGAAATGACACAATTTCAGTTCGAGTAGGCCCTATTTTAGTAAGCGTGCTCAAAAAGCAATAAAAGATTCATAAAAAGAGCCCAGCCCTGATTCAAAACATCCTACCTTTTCAATCAGAAATTTCATTTTCGAAGTATCATCAGATTTTTCCCCTAGATACTAGTTGTCATAGCAACCCTGAAATAAATTATTTCGCTTCAGTACAGAGTCAGTTTGACTCAACCCAAGCCTTATCTTCCAATAGGAAACCGTCGCAGATATCTACGCATGGATTTTACATTCATCAATAATTCATAATTCAATAACATTTTAATTTCATAATATCCCTGTAAAAATGGCTGTATTTTTTTTTAATAAGAATGAATGGATACATGTGTACAAATAAGATATATTACAACATTATTTATCTGATGCAGCCAGCCGTACGGGTAATTAGATACGTATGCAATTCCAGCGTTATACAAGGAAATGTAATGTCTATGACAGAACCAATTAACCATGATATCTAATTAATAATTTAGAGAAATAATCCAAAACTCCTAGTCTGCAATCTTCTTCCAATTACTAGCTGACGGATCTATAAGATTTGAAAAATACATATTCAGGTTTATTCAATGAGCTCTCAAAAGCTCCGTCGTGGACACTGCATAATGCTGGAAATGCCAACGACTGGAAAAAAAATGACATATAATCGGGAGATGGTGAAATCATTGTAGATACATGTAGCTCAGTTAGTGGGGCTAGTTACAGTGTTTCAGATCACAGGTTCAATTCTAGACCCAGTCATTCCCCCTCCCTTTAACCTTAACCCTCTAAGAGTGTGTTTGTAAAAGGCAATGGATACAAAGTATTGTAGAAACACAGCACTATTTGGGTCATTCCATAAATTTGGGGTCCACTTTTTCTCCTTCGCCTGCTACGGTACATGTACCAGTACATCTGACATCTATGATTGTATAATTCTGATAAACTCTTTCATTTAATGAGGTCATCCTACAAGAGTGATCATGAAACTATAGCTACCGGTACCCAACAAATACAACACTGTTTGAAATCTGTCATTCTTAATGATACATGAATTGCAAATTACAAAGTACCAAGGTAAAAGACACAGGAACAAATATCACACTTTGGACTTGGAGTCTAAATTTATAGCATGCCCCATTTACCCGGAAACAAACCTACCTACCAATTTACACCCAAAAAATCCTCGCTCAAAGTGAAGATAAGACTGGTATCAAATACCCTGTGAAATTATTCTGCCATAAATGGTATTGTTTGGAAGAAACTAATCGGTGAAATGGGTTTTAAAAAGTGTGCCCGTACAAGACCCAAACGAGTCCAAATGTTTTCTCTGTTTTCTAAAAATGTACATCCACTGAGCTGAAACTTCAACAGGTTAGTTGTTTTCACCCTATGAACAATTTTTAACAATTTTGTTGCTTCAAAGAGAAAAAAAATGCACCAGTTATTTAAAAGGGAAAATGTACATCATTGGGTTTTGCTGTAATTTTCAGAAATTAACTAGTTGAGGGGTTCGTCAATAGGCCTAATTGATCAAAATATTGTTACACTGACATGTTTTGTGTTCGAAAATGCTAGAAAAACCAGGAAAAACAAAAAATGTTCAAGTAGTCTGGTTCCTTGACTCCACTTTTATGAAATGAATCAATTTATACATGTAGATGACGGAAAATTGTTAGGTAAGGGAAGCAGTCTAGCTGGCCTGCACCCGATCATGAACATGTAACCAATAGCAAACAAAATTTGGACTGAAAAAATATGGTAAATTTGGAGCAGAAGTTGAAAAATAGTTAGGTTTTTCCAACGGTAGTCGGCCGACCACCGTAGGAAATTTTTACAGAAATACCACTTTTCTTGAAAATGACTTCACACCAGGTGCCATAATTTTACAGGATGCTTTAGACTGTCATTTACCAACATCCTAGTAGTAAGGTATTTCGTAAAAATTTGGTAGTTTTGTTTTTCGATGTTTGCAAATGTTATATTCCCTTTAAACGTACACGATGCTGTATTTCAAAAAAACCAATTGGGGGATGGAGATAAACACTATAATTTATGGCAACCTGTAAATGTACGAGTACACATAGGTATACAGTATTACAATGAACACTCCTTCATTCATAAACTCTGTTTCTACTTGTGATTAAGATAATTTCTTTTATTATCAGTATATAGTCTGCAGGAATAGCCCCCATAAAATATGGGTAGGGAATCCTCCTTGGACAAACAAAACTCTTCAGGAACACGTCAGAACAAAAATTTTCCAGTTACATTCTTGGGAATCCTAGCAGCCTTGGCAAGTAGAGAGCAAGTCAAGGGGATCTTGCCTTAATGTGTTTGGGGAGTAAACATCATCCAGGAATGACTGGACAAATATAAGGAGTTTACGGCCGTCACTAAAACCAACACCGCCGGCTGGTTCTGTCAACTCGCTTACGTGGAGATTGTCGCAATTGGGCATCTGTATTGCCCAATGTTCAGGGCTCTTAAAGTATTACAAAATGAGGAGGCAAAACAAGAAAGGAATAGTGCCTTTTGACCTCAAAACTCATCAAATTATATATTTTTTATTCTGTATAAGAGACAGTTCCAGAATTTATTTCAGGGTCTGAAATATTTCAGACCAACAGATTCTGTTTCTCAAAAATGTCTTGTCTTACTCAACCACTCGGTTAAGATGACACAGTTAAGAATTGATCTTAAGATCAGAGAAAGATATTACTTAGCCTTGTATTAGACAGAAAAAAATTAGCCCAGAAATATTGAACTAGCACTGAGCTGCTTTATGCAGTGCATCAGTTTGTGTGCAAATATTGAGGCCTCTGAAGAGTATGAAAATGATGCGAGTGTGACCCCATTGTTCGCTTTTTGAAGGGTGATATTTGCAATTCTTGCAACATCTGCAGTAGATTTGTGTTCAAATGCTCTATTTTCTTTCCCAAAAAATAAAGAGGCTATTACAATCCTATTTTACCAGTTGTTCCACATTGATATTTGTTCCTTTTAGGGCTGTACAACTTAAACCGAATATTTTATCATCAACTGAATATCATAATAACATTTTTTTATTCAAGTATTTGTAAAATGTGAGCGATTGCCAGGAATGATAAAAAACATATCAGTTGAGTGGTTTTATTGTTTGCCACACTTTTGTTGAAAGCCCTTATCGTGCATAATTTGAGAGCTTCCATGAGGAAGATTAGCTCAAATTTCTTCTTTAAAACGGTCCACACTGGTATCGGCCACCACTAACTGCTCTTTATATGATTTTAATAAGTTCTTTGACAATTTTCAACAAATGCAGGTACCAGTACATGTAAATTTGCAAATCCTGATCTGCAGCAAGTTCAGGTTGGCGTACTTGCTTAACTTGATTGGTTCATTTCAAAATCAAATATTTGCATTATCGGTCAAGTCCAAGTTGGAATAATCGAATAGGCCTACTGAATTATATTCGAAAAAGAACAGCCATAGTTCTTTTTTGTCCCAGTTCACCTATCAGTCCATCATTCCCCATAAACTGAGAAAGGTTTTTGTTCAACAATTTGGTAAGTACAGTACATTTCTCGGTTATTGTCAATGATACCATGGGCCTGTGGGACCGGGCCTGCCACTCCCGGTTCAAAACTAATCAAGGCTCAACAGCTACGGTTTGGCCATTGGTTTAGCAAGCCCAGCAGGACTCTGGCTCACACACAGTGACATCCGCTTCCTTGCAATACACAGCACAACACCTTTACTCAACTTCCTGATGACAAGGGGGGTTTAGTATTACCAGGATGGCAGGATCACTGCACGTAGATCACGTCGATAGAGGCTTGGGGTTTCTTAGTATTGTGACATTGCAGGGCAATGGCTCAGGGCTTAACACCAACTGCAGGAGCATAAATATTTGTCTATTCACTAAAGTCATCTCTAAATGGTTCCCAGCTGCATTGCCTGTATTCTTTAGTCCACCAAATTATCATTTTTGAGAAACCTTTTTGTTGTGGGGGGGATCCGTAACTGACCTAACTTTTCAAGGGTATCTAGCTGTACACTTCGCTACTTCTTCAACTTTGTTGAAATAATTGAACACACTTTGAACTTTGAACTTTTTTTTTGATGACCATTCAAAGCTCATATTTGTCTTGGTTATAGTTCCTCCATGGTTTAACCCTAACCCCTTGGGCTCTTTTACTAGAAAGTATCCTGAATCTGCCAAAATCCATCAATTTTGCCATGCAAAAAAAAATGTTGGTGGCCAGTGAGTCCATCAGAATCCACTAGTTAGGCGGGAGTAAATCTGTTAAGATCCTGAATCCGCCAAAGTCCCCCAACAGCTCAATATAGAGGTATCCTGAATCCATCAAAGTCCTGCAGTTCCGCTAGGCTTACAATCCTGAATCCATCAAAATCCCCCAGTTTGTGCAATATGGAGGTATCCTGAATCTGCTGAAATCCCCCGAAACAGGGGTGTGGATTTTGATGGATTCAGGTACGATGGGTTATAATGGTTATTTGCATTGGGACTGTAGACCCTATGAACAACACAGCCTCTTCTTTTGTCCACAGAGCCTGAGGTCCCGATCTTGATAAAGTACGAAGAACTGTAAAATACAAGGTTTACTACAATTGTGATTTGAGCAGATGTAGGCAACTTTTTCATAATAATACCCAGTAAGTTGGGATTTAAAGGGAATGTAAAAACATTTGCTTTTGCTGCAATTTTTAGAAATAAATGGATTTGGAGGATAAGTATGTTATAGCAAATATTGTTAAAATGACTTTTTTTCACATTTGGGCTTGTAGATGCTGGAAAAACCAAGAAAACCAATCATGTTCTTGCAGTCTGGTTCCTTGACCCCACTTAAGATGAAACGGAGCAATTAATAGACTTTGGGGAATTGTAAGGTCAGAGAATCAGTCTAGCAGACTTGTACCTCTTCACAGGTGTGTAATCAATTGCAAAGAAAATGCGGCATAACGAATTATGAAAAATTCAGAGCAATTTTTGAAAAATAGCCAGTTTTCCCCAACGCTGGTTGGCCGACCAGCGTTGGAAAAATACAATTTTTCTTGAAAATGTCAGCACACCAGGAGCCACGATTTTACAGGATGTTTAGACTGTCAATTTCCTAACAATCCAGTAAGGTATTTCGCGATAATTTGATCATTTCGTTTTGTGATGTTTGCAAATGTTGTATCTTCCCTTTAAGGATTTATTTTTCTAAATCCAGGATTTCTATTGTGAGTAAACGTATCACAATGAGCATCCTTCTTTATGAACACTTTAGAATAGGGCACACTCCGCACAATGTGAGAAGTACAATGTTCACACTGTGTGTTTAAGCACTTCACTCCACTGTCTCCATAATTTGTAGCCAAAGAACTGGAGACAAAATGTACACTGTATTGTAATGCAATTCACACAATCCATCCCCTGCAATTATTTCTGACATTTCTTGACGAAGTAATTTTCTGCGGAAATTTCTTCCCTAGAGAACCACGTAGGCGTGAACTGCAAGGGGAAACCACTCAAGCACGAAATTCACTGTGTATTCTAAATACCCATAGGATCTGATGCATAGTGTACCATGGCTGTGTCTAGTGTACTCCTGCTAATGTATCATAAAATGGAAATCGGTAACATTGGAAATGCCCTGTGCATAATTTTAAATATAATGAATAAAACTGATCAGAAAAATTAACCTAGAGCTGTGCTATGCATAAGTCTGTTTTATAAGGAATTTTTCTGAAATCAAAAGCAAACACGCACTGTGTACAGTAACCAAATGGCACCAAGCCACTTTTGCTCCATGATGTAACTTTGCTCTTGAAAAATTATCAAAAATATGTCTGTCACATTAGAATGTTTCAATGGAGATGTACTACCACTACCACAGATTAATGTCAACAAACTTTTACATGACAGACCACATAGACCTTCATGTCAGTACATGTACATAGTTTTTTTCCAGCAAATTCCAGGCAGCAACATTTCCTATTTTGTACCGAGCGGCCCAACCCACTGGACCACTTTCTGTTTCCAACAGATACCGTACCAATCAGGACTGGTTGTTAGCAGGAAGTCAGGAAGGACGGAGTGTGTTTTGGAGGAAAACAGGCAAAGGCAATGCATATCCTGTTACCAAAATTCCTCGCAGTAATATACAGAGAGATACAAATGTAAAATGCACACCGATTTGCCACACACTAAACTCTATACTGGCATCTGGACCATGAAAATACAATCTATTTGATGCATAGACACGCACAATGTCTGTGGACTTGAATAATTTGTGGGGTTTATGTTGTTGTTGTTTTTTTAAAGTTCAGGGCAAAAGCTTTTTATCTGCCAATGCAGTGGAATTCTGCGTTTCATGGTTATCTTGCAAAGCCAGATTGCTGGACCAGTTTCAGATTTCACTTTGTTGGGCCTTTCCAAACAAAGGTTTGGTTTCTGGGTTGTTTTGGTAAAACATGGAATTCAGATACGAAAGCATATTTTTCGAAAACCATTTTTCTTTTTACAAATTACATGTTAAACGATAAAAGCCACAACTTCTGGGCTTTTTCAGTAACTTCCACACATTCAAATTGTTTTTGTAGCTCAGCATGTGCAGTGTTGTTAAAGAACTTCACATCAAACTTGTTGTTTTACATCAGAACTGCTCTGGAACCAAATATGAACCCTTTTGCTATTCAGTCACAAACAGTCAAAATTCACTTCCACTTCCCCTGCTATACTTTGAACAAAGGCTAGTCACCATGTCAAGCAAAACTGTGACTAGTCAAACTCAGTCAACAGATAAAGCAGGCAAGTTGTGGTCACAGCTGTTTTACCACTCACCCTGAGTCGAAGCATATTATAGCACAGCTTAAACAGTCCCAGCCAGTCAATCCTACAGGTAATTATGTACTGTAGGCTGGGAATTCTTACAAGTAAAGTCACTCGTTTGATTTTGACTGAAAGGACAACTTGGCACAGAATATACAGGCATGACCACAACTGCATGAAAAACACAATTTCATATTTTAATGACTAGGAAGAGTAAGTTATCACTAACAGTTATTAAAAATGCCTGGGAATAAGTATCATATCAATTCCTGCAAACAATGAAATGCACTTGACCTGTACAATTTAATTAAACAAATATTATCAATGTTATTGACAGATGAAGATAAACAAATTTTAGTGTGAAGTTGTACATACTTTGTGAGACTTTCTCATACGCTCTGCCAAGTGTGATCAGGTTCCGTATCTCCGGGTTAAATCCCTCAATTGTGTGCTGCATTTAACAAGGGGGGAAAAAACGAACAAGAGAATAAATAAAAGTGTCTCTCATTTCTGCAAGACAAACTTTAAATAATGCAATCCTGTAAACTACATCAGTTGGAATGTATTGCGTTTAGTAAACATAAAATCTTTGATAGGAAAGTATTTCTTTTTTTTAAGTTATAGTTTTTGGGGGTTTTTTTGTAACTTTTCTGGCATATAAACACAATTGTTTTGTTATCTGATCTGAATAGGTAAGAAGGGAATAGAATATTTTTGGAGATGTTTCCTAAAAATGAAATAAAAAATAAACAAACATCTCACAGTGTGCTCTTAATTCTATTTTTAAAATAGGATAAATAATGAATGCATAAAAGATCAAACCAGTCCAAGCAATACTTGTCACTTTGAAAACACAAACATCCCCCCCCCCAAAAAATGGAAAAACTAGAAACAAAAAGTATGTGGCGTCAGGATGCAACATTCTTTCCGAAAATTGATTAAACAATGCAATGTATCTCCTGTAATTCCTACATTCGCAGGAATTAATACACCGCGTTGCAACACGGACTTGTGTACCTGCAAGTCCGAGACATTTGCCCGCTTGGCTTTCGTCTCCGTTCACGCCAGATCAGTGAAGGCGGGCCGCTAAATCTTCCCTCAAAAAAAATATTTTCCGGGCCTTACTTTCTCTCAAGAAAGAATACAAAACTCACCTTGTAGACATTTTCAGTCATGCGATGAAGCTGCTCGCCGGCAGACATCGTCATCTTGCTCAAAATTGCCGCAATTCAGACGGGGAGAAAGGGAAGATATCTCTGAAAGAAAAAGACACAGCAAAACGATTGTGCGTGTGCACTCAACGTGTGCAGTGAAAGCAAATGACGGTACGGCTGCGGTACGGCCGTACGGCCGTACGGCCGTACCGTACGGTCGGTGTGTCAATCATTTTCCTGCTTATTTACATGTAAGGGTCAAAAGTCACTGCAAAGGTCAAAAGTCAAACTACATGTGAAATAGTCTGGAGCTCTGTTTCAGGACGAATTTAATGCTTACCGAAAAGGGAGGTGAATTAGGATGTCAGACAAAACAAAATGGCGTCCTCCAGTCTGCAAGAAAATCAAACTTTTCGGGACAGAGTCCACGAAAATAAAGAGGTTGCAAAAACCACTGGTGATATTTATAAAAAGAAGTACGCAACATTGAAACGCAAGTGTGAGAGTATCCAATTGGTGAGTGGTAATGGCGTAGAAATTCTTAAAATGTTGTAGAATTGTGTATAATTGTTGTTACTGCACAGATTTTCCCTTGACCAGTTGTGGTATTTGAGTAATTGTCAAATAGAACAAAAACAACTTTTGGTTTTAATCGATATTGGAAAAAATGTTGCAACCTGACGCCACTTCCGCAATTGTGTCCAAAGTCTATGGAGAGTCAATAAAATGTTCTAAGTATTTCCTGGGGAAAAGTTCCATACTCGGATGTCAATTTATCTGCTGCCAAACATATTAATTGTCACCTCACCTTGTCGTTTGAACCAAGAGAAATCCAGGAAGCTGTGTAAAGGCGAAAAATTTTTACTCAAAATGTGTTTTTAGTGCACATTTTGGATGCATACGTCGTGCAGAACTAACTTGAGGCAGCCGGTCAAAACTGATTGTAGTGGCTGAAAAGACAGCGGTACGTTATACACGTGACATCAACAACCATGACGTCGCATGAGCCTGCCAATGATAGTGCAATACGTCATTATGAATATTTATTTTCTCATGAATATTTAGTTTATTTCAATGGATACTTCAAATACGTCCAAAGATTGATGATTGCAACAGCGATCGTGCGCGGCCTAGCGGTTAAGAGTCTCGTGTATCAAGCAAGCGTCAGAGGTTCGAATCCCGATGAAGTAACTGACTGATTAATAAATAGAAATTAAGGAAAGGAGAAGGTGAGAGTAGAGGAGGGAAAGTGGAGGAATAACCATAAAAGATGTAACTTTTGGCGCTAGAAAATTAATTGAAAAAAGTGACGTCCGAGTATGGAATTTTTTCCATTTCCTGTTAGTCACTTACTGACTTAGTGTTAAACAAAATTGGAAATATTTCTCAGTCCCAGATTCATGTCATATCATCATTTTTGCTATGAATGACCTTCATTGAGATGATATATGAAGAAAAAGTGGCATCAGGTTGCAACATTCTTTCCTCGATTTGATCGGCAAGTGAAGCAAACCAAAAGATATTTGATAATGCAAGCTAGTAAAGCTTCGGCACTTTTATGTCATTGACATTGGCCATTAAATTATTGGCTGTCCATGTTGACTTGATGTTCATTTTACATTTAAATAATCTTATGCCAAGGCCCTATTTTATATATGTCAAATTAAAAAAAGAAGAAATCCTCAGATTCCCTAATAACTGAAACTGAAAGTGCTATGATCAATTCAGTATTTTCTCTCTCCAGTAAACTGTAAATATTAACACAGTCACTAAAAATAATGTCTAACTTTATAGGCCTATGCAGCTTGAACTTTTTATCTGCTTATTTTAACTCAGGACAATGAAAAGTGTTTGAACAGACTGTATTATGTGAAGAAGGCAGTCCGGAAGATGTCGAGAGAAAGGAGGTAAACTAACATATTTAACTTTGAGGCCTGTGGTTATTTCAGTTTTCACATCAATGTATTGATATATTTTGTATTTGTTTGTTTGTTTGGTTGGTTATTTGTTTTTTTGGAGGGGGTCCATGAACATTGGAATTATAAGTTTGAGAAGAGTATTCTTGATCTTGAATGATTTGCTTTACAGGTTCCTGATGACTAAGCTGAATAAATACGGAGATGACTTCAAGAATGCAACTCTTCCATTACCAATAGAGGTGTGTTAGACAGCCGTCTCAACATAGAATTAATACATGCCTACTGAACTGGAGTGGTATTTAACAAACCAACTGTAGTTGGGGTTATCCTAACAACGGTCGGAACTATCCCAACTGCAGTTGGGACTGTCCCAACTGTAGTTTGGTCTATTAGTATTAACCGCCCTAGTATTTAACCTTAAAAAAATGCAGTATAGTTTCTAAGAATCATCATGGTACTTTGTGCAGACTTTCTAAAATCTCGAGGGTTTAGAAGGGTTACACTTCAGGTGTTCTGGAAATTTGATTTAAAATGAGGAGGCCAGTAGTATAGCTCTGCGACATGTCCTTTCTATTAGGCCAAAAAAAATAAATAATCGGTCTCTGGTCAGACCGAAGTTCCGGAATTGATGCGGCGACACGTTTTTTTTTTTGTTTTTTTTTGGTGGCTTTTTTTTTTCAAGCTTCAATTGTACAGACAAGGTGGTTACTATTTTGCTTTTTTGTGTCCTCATTATACATTGGTGTCCTCCATAATTTGCCTTGGTGCCCTTTATCATTTGCCTTGGTGCAATTTCCCCGTTCCTTGGTGCTCCTTGGTACAAAAATTTGAGGAGGTGCGGCAATAGAGGGCGCTGTTGTAGCTTCCATGTTAATTTGAAGAAAAAAAAAAGGTTGACGCGCATGATTAAGAGACCAGAGACCGAGTATTTATTTTTTTGACCTTACCTTGATAATGTTGGAATACGTGATTTGTACGTATCCACTGTTACGTGACAAACCCTTAAAGTGTGGTTTGCCTGGTCTTGGATAAAATTGTTGATTAAGATTTTCAAACAAACCACAAAGAGAAACTGACACGGTGCATTATAATTATTTTGAAGTTGAATAAAGCAATGGACTGGAGCAGAGTTTGAACCTGTGGCCTCCAGATTGCCGCTCAAGTGCTCTACCGACTGAGCTATCCAGCCCTATTTGTTGGTGTATCACTAGCACCCCTTGAACAAAGACATTGGCAAAATGGGGAACCACCAACATAGGGCTAGATAGCTCAGTTGGATAGCTCAACACCGGAACAGCAATCCGGAGGTAGCAGGCTCAAACCCCGCTCCAGTCAATTTTGTTCTTCAACTTTAAGACTCTTATTCAGTTCACAAGTCTCTACATTGATCCCATACTGTGCAGGATGACTCCATGTTGCATCTTATGAGCGTCAGCAACCCCATCGCACCCAAATTCCCGGCCTCCCGTGGGCTGGCCGGCCTGGTGTCCAAATCCAAGCGCAAGGCGTCCACGGGGAGACGTCCCGGCCGGCCCCGACTGATCTCGGAGATGACGTCGCGCGACGATATGCCGCGGTCGTCGGGACGCGGGGGTAAAAGGAAGAGGATGGCCTCGCAGAGCAAGCAGGAGAAAGAAAAAGGTGAACATTGGTTCTTTGTCTCTGATCAGGCACCACATTTCTAGCATTTCTGTAAGCCATGAATCTTCCCTATAAGTATAGACAGTATTTCATCAGGAAAATTAAGTAGGTTTCACCTTTATTTTGTCTTTAAAATAACGCTGTACTGGTACCATACCAAGTGAGCTATCCAAATTAAGGTCAGGAGAGACAATCTTCCTTATATTCTGAAACCCTGGACATACTGAGTGATAGTTGACAAAACATTGGAAAACATATAAAGTTTTTTGGGGGAAAAGGGGCATCTGTCAATATGAAAAAGCTTTGTTACAAAGGTGCATGTCATCAATCAGACACACCGGCTTGGAGCCTTTTGCATAAGTTATTGCATACAGTATCCATGATTTCTGTAGCTCCTGTGAGACTCTGGAATTCTGAGGGAACATTACTATCAAACTGTTACATGTTGTATTGTTGCTGCTTATTTCCAAGATCCCCTAGCACCCAAGAAGCCAGCCAACGCCTTCCTGATGTTCTGCCAGACCAAGCGACAAGAGGAGTCTTCATCCAAGGACCAGGACGGAGCAGGAAGCGACGTGAGCCACCAGGAACTGACGCGCCAACTAGCCAAGGAATGGAACTATCTGGGTGCTGGCGAAAAAGAGGTAAGGTCCCTGGACTCTTCAATACCCTAAGCATCCTTGCTCGAGACAAATACATCTGAGCATAACCGCATGGTTTCATTGGTAAAAGTTCTGTTTTGTGTTGTATGGAAACTGATTTTTTTTTTCACAAGATGTAAGGACTTTAAAGCACATAATCTACAGTAGAGCACCTTGATAACAAGATCCTTGGGACTTAACAGTTACCTTGTTGTAACAGGTACCTTGTATTATCAGTAATGGAAAACAAAGGAAAACAAAGACAAGAGACCTAAAATTGTCCTTGTTATAAGCAGGATATTGTATTAACAGTGCTCTTCTTATCAGGGTTTGACAATATGTGGAAGTTCTTACAAAAGTAAATACGATCAGACTTTATTTAAAAAAAAAATCTTTATAAGACAATATAGGATTGGAACCTACCTAGGGTAATAAGCCTCTGTCCTAATGACGTCATACTTTGTTTACGTGCGTGTTTCCCTATGGTGCTCAGTGGACTGTGGGCCCCCATTGGCTCCACAGGAAAGTGCACATGTAAACAAAGTGTGACGTTATTAGTACAGAGGCTTATTCTTACTCGAATAAAAATCACACTTGAATTTTTAAATGACTTGCATGTGCCATTTTGACAACCCCACACATGAAAAAGATTACCATTTTATGTACATTTCAATCTCTGTGTGCAGTTCTAAAAACATATATTGTGATGCCTGGCTAACTACTTACTTGCTTTCAACATCTTTCAAAACTCGTTACCCACTTTCACGTTTGGCCTTTCAGACGTACTACACCATGTACGAGCGGGACAAGGACCGATACCACAAGGAAATGAAAGAGTACATCAAGTCCAACAACCTGGAGCCTCTCCCCACAACAAACCCCATGCCACAACCCCCGACAGTCACTGTCACAGTCACGAGGACAGAACCAGTCTCAAATGTCCAATTCGTGTCCAGCGAGTTACCCGTGGTTGTCAAAAGCGAGCCCAATCCGGACATCCAACTACCCCCCTCGTCAGCTAGCGCACTGAGTGCAGTCACCACGCCAGTAATCACCACCGTCTCGAAACCAGAAACTCTGATGCCAATTAAACAAGAAGCAAAAGTGGAAACTTTAATGAGTCTTGAATGCAGGACTCCAAAACTGAAGAGTTGTTTGCAGCCCAAGTCGCCAGTGGAAGGGGACGATCCCTACCATTTTGATGACGACTGAATGTACAGCAGTTGATATAATTTTTTTTTTACGTCAAACGGCCAATACTCTAGACCCCAAAACGTCTGAAAATATTATGGAAAATCAGAAATGGCCAAGTTAGGGTCCACTCATTGATGGGTCTAAAAGTATAATGCGACTGTGCCAATTTCAGACATTCTGCTCCAATGCCAGGGCGTCAGGTTGGAGCATTTATACAGTTATATTAATATATACATTTACATTGCGCAGAGGTTCTTTCTTCACCTTTCACTACTGTGACCTGGGTTGGGTTTTCAGTCCCTACCTGATTCCGTGGGTTTTCCCTAAAATATTCTTCTGGGGTTTTCCTGGGGTTTTTTTAAGTGAAAAGTTTCATTGTCTTCTCTCTACAGGTTTCTTCAGGCTTGCGAGCTACAGTGCCTAGGGCACCTTTGAGGAATCCTTGGTTTCATTGTCAGAAATAAATCATAACAAAAATAATAATGTTATTTTTCAGGCTCTTAGAGCTACTTGTATTTCTTATTTTTGAGATCTCCATTCTGAGTTTTTGTAATTTCTTCAATTATTTTCCCCCAGTTGTCATTGATTGAGGTCATTTATCCAAACTATTTAATTTTCAGAACTCAGTTTTGTCAACAAATTGGGCACTCCTTGATTGCCTGAAATTATCCCAGTAGTGACAAAATATGTCAACTTAATTTCAAACCAGAAATAAACTTGGCTTAACTTTTAAGTCGCTTGGTCCGAAGATAAACCCAAAATCTTGTTCACAAAACAAAAAGACCAAATGTCCTCTCAACTTCTTTTACTATAGACTTCAAATTTATTATTCAATTGTCAATAATTACATTACAGTTTTAACTTTTTTGTACAAATTCTTTCGGGGACAACCTCCTTAAAGTCATAATTCTCTCTGGAAAAATTAAAAACCATGTAATAAATGTTGATCTCAAGCAGCTGTTGATTGCACTTTTTGCTGATATTAACTCAAGCAATTCTTATAAATTTTTCCAAAATTGTATTTTGTTTATGAATTTCTCAAAGTAAATCAACAAATTCTCCTCAGGAAGTCACAGGTCAACTTAAAGAAATTACTTTATACCATTCTGAAAGTTATATTTGTTTGATCCTTTTTGCTACTTCAATTGTCAAATTCCTTCATAAATCCATTTATTTGTACAGAATGTTACAACTTGCTATATGACTTTTAATATACACTACAAAAGAAAGCTCAGAATCTGCTTTAGTATACAAGCAATCAAATGTTTTTTTCCCCCACAAAGTTTAGCTGCTTATCGAAATTTCCAAACATGATTTTTTAAAACCACAAACTTTGCCAGTGCATTTTAGATCTTCCATAAAAGGTTGTTCCATTAGTCCTTGGTGACCAATTCCACACCAAAATTACAATTTTTCCTTCACATTTTGGGTTTGAAATTGTTCTTGTCTTCCCGCAATTTGGCCATGGTCTCAATTGGGTCCGACGTCCCCGTGTACTTCTGAATAGTGGGCTCCCTGCAATTAAACAAAATAAACACAATTTCAATTTGAGTTCTTGCTGCTCGTAATTTTTTTTTTTTGTGGGGGGGGGGGGAGGGGTTTCAACAGGATTTCCCTTGCAGGGAGTTGAAAGCGAAGTTGGCAAGTACCGTCGTTGAGGTCAAATGTGATGCGATCAAGCTAAATTAGTCGTTTGTCGACCCTGGTTAATTTTTTTTTAAATTTCTTTGAAATATGGCGCAGCAGATGCACGTCAAGAAAATGTGACTCCCACAATGCCGAAGCACGTGATAATCTGTAGGTAGTGAAATCATTTAAGAGAGATCTATACAGTGTGCTGCCAACATTCTCAGCATTACTGCTGTGAAAACCGCATGCTGGTACCATCTTTAGTTCAAAAATTATGGAAGTCAGAACACGAAGTGATGTGATGAAGTGGCCCTAGTTTGGCCTGAATCTCCAAATGAAAGTTCCCGACAAACGACTCATTTAGCTTGATCGCATCACAAATGTTGGCAGCACATTGTATAGATCTCTCTTAAATGACTTCACTACCTACAGATTATCACATGCATCGGCATTGTGGGAGTCACATTTTCGTGACGCGCATCTGCTGCGCCATATTTCCAAGAAATTTCAAGCAACATGCGCACCTGATAGAGTATAAGCAGTTGTAATTTTCCTACGAAGATGGCCATCTACAAGAGGGTCCATTGAGGGTCCCAGGAATCAAGGTCATAATCACAAGGATGGTTCGCCTACCTGACCCTCATGAAGGGGTTGTATTTCTTCTCATCTCCGATACTGGAAGGCACAGTGGGTACTTGCTTGGCTCGCTGTGCCTGAAACGAGAGACAAATGTGGACTCCTGGGTCAGTAAGGTTGTGCAGGTGTATACTCTGAACAGGCCCTTCGCAAGCCCGGGAGGGGAGGGGCATATTACCAACTAAGGGGGCCCACTACCACAAAAATACACATGTATGGCTTTTGCCATTGGGAGGGGAGGGAGGGGGGGGGGGGCAATTGCTCGCCAAGGGGGCACGGCCCCACCCTACCTCCCCACCCCCCTTGGTGACGGGCGTGACTCTGAAGCAAAATCAATCAAGTAACATATCTCGGCAATTGATTGACTTGGTGATGTGCCTCTGCCATGCCTGTGAACCAATAATGAAGATGAACTTCTCTAATCAAACTATGATCGATGAACTTAATTGACCTATCGCGGTAGAATCACGTTAGAATCGTGTCAACGCAGCTTGTGAAATATTGTCCAATTACATGATTTACGAATGAACGCGGAACGCGCAAAATCTGAGACAAACAAAACTTAGTGTACAAAAACTCCATAGGGTTTTCTAAGGGCCGTGTCAAACTCGCAAACGGTGATAGGTCAATTCTCCTGGTCCCTTGCCATATGCATGTACATGTATTGCAAACTATGTTACAATCTAGTGACATGATTCAACCAATCTTGGTGGGCAGGTCCCGAGTATTCAAACTAATACAACCATCATTCAATAGCATGTATTTGACCACAGTAATTAAGTTCATTTATGGCTGTGGTCCAATGGTTACAGTGTTCGACTCGAGTGCCGTGGTACGTGGGGGGGGGGGGGACATGGTGCTTGTGTTCTTGGGCAAGACACTTTACTACAATTGCCTTTCTCCAAACAGGAGTATAAATGGGTACCTGTGAAGGTAGAGACCAGAATGCACTGATCTCGAGCTGCTGCAGTAGAGACCAGAATGCGCTGATCTCGAGCTGCTGCAGAAAAATGGTCTTGTTCCTGATGAACTGGGATAATAATTGTGAAGCGCTTTGAGACCTTTGGTATAAAGCGCTATATAAGCACCACATTATTATTATTATTAATGCTTTCTTGAAAAAATCTACAAACTACAAAACCACAACATTTCAGCCGTTATGTTTTGATGGGGTGTTTTTTTTGGGGGGGGGGTCCCCTAAAAAAAAAAAAAAAGTTAAAGTCTTAGACAATCCAAAGTCAGTTCTAAGCAAGAGGAAAGCTTTACCTGCGCCCATTCCATCTTCTTTTGCAAGTCTACGTTCTCAGGTTCAACGGTCAGTGCGTACCTTAGACTGCTCACTGAGTATTCATGACCACAGTAAACTTTCTGGAAAAAAAAACAATTGGAACAGAAATGGTGACAGAGATAACACACACACACACAAATTTGCTATAAAAACCTAACTGCCCCGAGTCCTTCAAAATCCTCTTTGCCAAAGTGGAGGAATTTGGAGGATTGAGGTTACATGGCAAAAGTGCGTTACTGATTTCGTAGGATGCACTTTGTCAAAGTCTTGGGCCGGACTGTGTTGTTTTTTTCTCAGCCATGCATAAATATATGCCTGGGTTATGCTTGAAATCCTCCGTACTGCTCCAGGATGTCACTGGCCAAGCCTCAACTTATTGACAGTCACTGCCGCAGGATTTTGCGGGATTCAGGCAGTGGTCACCCCTCCATGTACCATATTCAAGAAATAATGGAGGAATTTGCAGGACTGAGGCTATATGCTATTTTTCCGTGAGGCCAATTGGAGGATTTTGCAAGATTGAGGCTACATCCTAGCAGAAAGGCCTAGGGAGTTAGGGTTTTTAAAGAACCATTTTGAGGTTGATGGAATACTTACGAATTGGAAAATTTGTTGGACCCTATAAAAAATGTCAAGTCATAATTCTTGCTCATTGACCAGAATGCAGTACTATGCACTTTGAAATGACACTACTGCCATCAAAAAATTTAAATAATTTTAAAGGTGGTGGGGTGGGGGAGAAATGTGGGCGGGGCCAACTCACCGTTTCAGGGGGGAGTTGCCCAAGTTCCTCAATGAGTGCCTTGTACATCTGGTCTGCTGTTCCCTCAAAAAACTTGCCGCAAGCCGCTATGAAGAGTGTGTCTCCTGCACAAAACCACATACGATTAAACCGTGTAGATACTGAAGCCAATATCAAGGACATTTGGCGGACGTTTACTGTGACACCCAGCGATAATCTCTTTCTTGAGAGATGCTTGGCTTGAAAGTGAAGATAGGGCTGGTCCAATATACCCTGTGATCCTATTCCGCCAAAAAAGGTTACGATCGAAAGAAAAAACCTACTGAATGTGGTTTGTAAGTGTGTCCGCGGATATCAAGCCCAATATAAAGCAATAGTGGCTGGACCGAGCCTTTCTCAGAATCCTACAAAATCATACAAAACCCGATGATGGATTCAAAAGGATCTCAGAGGGTAAGGGAAATATAACATTGTGCATTGTAATACAACTTCTGAGACATCAAAACCAATGTAAAGCAATAGTGGCTGGACTGAGCCTTTCTCAGAATCCTACAAAATCATACAAAACCCAATGATGGATTTAGAAGGATCTCGAAGGGTTAGGGAAAATAACTCACGTATTTACCTGTAAACACCGTTGGATCCGTGCCATCCGGTCCCGTGACGAAGTAGCATATGTGACCCGTTGTGTGACATGGTGTGAACATACAGCGGACGTTGAGCGAACCAATCTGGGATGGTCAAATATAGAATATGATTGAGGTATCGTTGTTATCATCACTGCACTAGGTTTGGCTTTCAAAGATTTACAACAATTAATCAATTTCGCTTGGGATTATTCCAAATCAAAAAGCAGAGTCATTGTTTACGAGTGGCAAAAAGGAGAAGTAGCTGGGTTCTACATTACTTCCTCAATCCTGCAAAATCTTTTAAAAAAAACACTGGTGGACTTTGAATATCCTAGCCTTGGTCAAGGCGCTTAATGTTATTCATCCCGGCCGTGGCGCGTAAACGATATCCTCGCTAGGGCCATGCATTATGCAGTGCATTAAAAATACAGAGCGAACTGCGACCTCAGTTGCGCACTGAACCGACAAATTATATCAACCGAGTGCGCATGTGCGTCGTGTCAACGCTTTTGCGCTTCGCCAAATTAAAAACGAACTTCTAAAGGAAATTACCAAAAAAAGTTTGTTAGACACATCTTTGGAAATGGCCTTCTTTTAGTGTTTTCTTCAAAATGACAGCTTGCCAGAAAGAATAATTTCACAGGGAGTTTAGTCCCATTGCTATCTTTAAACCTGGTATGCTTTTCAACAATAATTTTGTCAGTTACTTTTCGGCCATGCATGGCTCTTAATCATATCGCATGCTCACACCAGTTCGCGTGGGTAAAATTGCCCTAAGTACGACTAATTTTATTCTGATAATTTAGGAAGCTTACCGTCAACTTGTCGTCATGTTTGACCTTTTTATTGAGAGCTCCTATCCTGTCATCTCCGCCACACACTGTCAGTCCACTGACCAGCTTGACTAGTTCTTCATTACCGCCAGCATGGTCGCTGAAAGGATACGCAGCAAAACAAATGGACTTTTAACAGATTGTTCACGTTTGTGTTTTATAGAGGCTTTAAAACAGTGTAATAGTACTCATACTTGTGATTGAGCACATAATTTTTTGTATCCATATATGTACTCATACTCGTGAGAATGTACCAGTATTGTAGTCGGGTCACTTGAATCAAGGCCAACTCCGAAGCTCAAGTCAATTGGATGAGTCTGAGTCTCGAGTCACTTGGGTCAAATCCGAGTCCGAGTCACAGGTTATTTAGTTCAAGTCCGAGTCACGAGACATGAGTCATGAGTGCATGGACATGGACGCAAATACGTGTAAGCGATACTTAAAGCCAGAGTCCATCATTTGCAGCTATCCAAAAAGTAACTGGCGAAGCGCGCGCAAGCGTTGACACGACGAACATGCGCGTGCGGTTGCTATAATTCGTCGGATCAGTGCGCGACATGGCGTAGCTGCAATCGGTTCAGTGAGAACGTGTCTCGGATGCTGAATTAAGGCCAGATTCAAAACATGATTCAGCAACTTTTGATTTGAAATTGAGATCCTAGAATGCTCTTTTTCTCGAAATATACAGCTGAAGCTGAGCTGAAACTTCATCAGGTTAGTTGTTCAGTATCCTTCTTTAGATTTTGAGCACTTTTGTTGCTTCAAATGTACAAAATGCGGAAATTACAAATGATGGACTATACCCAGTGATGCATTGTTGTGAGAAATAGGGAGGGGCGCATTTTTTATAACAAACATTATTATTTGCAACACCACCTGGAGAGTGGTGCAGTACAGTTTGTGTGTGACGTTGCTTTAACTTTACTGTTGGGAAAAAAAACATCGGAATCATGCCCTCTGAAATGTAATTTTTTGGTAATAAATATGTGACTCGCGAGTCACAAGTCATTAGCGTCAAGTCTGAGCCCGCGCCTTTTGCTGAAGTTCCTTGAGTCAAGTCCGAGTCACAGAAGTTGTGGCTTGAGACAGACTCGGGTCCTACAGACCGTGTACAACACTAGAATGTACTCATACTCAAACTCACAACAACAAAAATTCTGTGTACTCATACTTTCTTCATACTCATGGCCGAGTATCCACACTAATATAACTGTACACATGAACAAGTTCTCCCGCTGGTATTTCAGATATTTTTTTAGAGGTATGTACAGGGAAAGATTCTATTTTCTAACACAACTTACAAGTGATGGTGAGTGGTCAGCACCGTCTTAAGTTTCACATTTTCCTCCTTTACTGCATCCACTACCTGTCATATTCGGGGAGAAAAAAAAAGAGACACAAAATTCGTCACATATTCACTTCAATTTAAGTGGAGAAATAACACTCTATAAGTACATGCACACATACATGTAAGGTGGTGTTTGTCTTACAGTCACTATGTGGACTTGTGAACAAAAGATGTCCACATAATGCAGGTTGTGTTGACGTTATGTGGGCTAAGCCGTGTCCACATAACGTTTCGCCCTCTCTGGAAAACAGGTTTAGAGGCATTTTGGGGTTAGGTTTATCCATGGCAAAATGAAGAGAAACACAACAGGGAATCATAGAAAAAAAAATTGGGTTGAAAGAGTTTTCACAGTTTAAGTAATGTTATTTTCTGTACCAAGTTTTCTTAACTACACGAAAACAAAGGAATGTCCACATAACGTATGTAAAACAAACATGTGCACACACACATGTGTGTTTTACTATACTCATGAGGACCTGATCCTTTCCTTCTTTTGTTCCCTTTTGTTTGTACTTTTTCCCTTTTCTCGACAGCTCCCATAATGTTTGTACACAAAATTCTCCCGAGGACTAGTGCCCTGGTCCTCGGGACCATTGAAATCGCACACACCCCATTGTCCCAAGTCATCAGTCTGAATGGATTTTAACCAACCCAAGCATACTGCTCAGAGTATGCAAATTTTCTACACATTGAACACATATCTGTTTTGTTTCATGCTTAGGAACCAGCTAATTCCTTGCTAACCTGTAATAATAAGCAATTCTTTTGCCCACATTCGGCACTTTCAAAACTGCTGGTTCCTACTTTAATGCAAATTATGTGAATGCAGAGCAAATCTAGTCTGCCATCTCAAAATATTTGTGGCGAAATTATTCAACTTTTGCCAATTTGAAAATTCTGGACATGATGTCACAAAATTTCCTTCACATTTACTACCGCACCGAAAATGGCCTTACTGGGACTCAACCAATCACAGACCACTCACTTTCTGCGGGTTGACCGGGTCAACAATCGCCGCTTCTTTCGTCTTCTCATCAATGACGAGGTACATGTAATTGTCCTCCAACGCAGAGAGAATCTTGACCTTCATGGCTTGTTGCTGGATGTCGAGCGTGACGGAGTGGTTGGATCGGATGGGGACCGTTGCCGTGGAAACCAAGGAGGGACTGGATGGTTCTCTGAGGCAGAACAGTTGACGACTCAGTGAATGTCCTGAAGCAGGAGGAAAAGTGGAATACATGTAATGGTGAATGCGAATTAGGACGAATATGGGCCACAATCTTGTAAACCACAGACTGAGTGCACCCAAAGTCTCCTCATGGAAATTGTGTTCGTGTTCTCTTTATAACTTTAAGAAAAAAAATTCCTCCAAAGGCAAAGATCAATAATCTTCAGGACCAAAGTAATGATTTAAGTGTTTGAGAGGGAAAGAAAGAAATCCTGAGATTCTGGTAACACAACAACTAACACAACATAGGGGCGTTCCCTCTGCCACATATTGTGCTACTGTGTGCAGAGTACTAGGTGTGCGAAAAAGGATAAATTAAAGGACAGCCACAGGATGATGGACTGTAACCATAACCTTCCCAAATCCTCCAAAATCCACTTTGCAAAAATGGAGGATTTTGCAGGATTGAGGCTATTATTATGGCAAAATTGTGTGGTTGATTTTGGAGGATGCACTGTGTTGTTTATGCTCAGCCGGGCATAAATGTAGGTCTCGATTAGGAAAGAGTTCCATACCTAGACATCACTTGACACCTGGGGCCAGTCTTATAGCGCTGCTTACCGCCAAGCAAATTTTTGTGCTAAACATAGCACAACATTTTGTTAACCTTAAGCACTATTTCACGGCACAGTGCCACTGGTCGCACGCATGGAGGTTTCTATTGTTACGCTACTAAGTACTAAGTTAAGCAAATTTTTCCTCTGAAGTAAAGCTTGCCTTTTGCTGTGCTTACTGCTTTCCATGAAATACGCTCTGTTAGTAGAAAATCAAGTGCTTAGCAGCGCCGTGATTCTATCTAGCTGGATTCTATCTAGTCAAAAGAGTAATTTTGGCAGCTTCTGGACATCGTTTTTTTTTCGTGGCACGCATATGATACATGCAGGGACTTGTAACTTGTCTAGCCTAAACAAAGCACTTCCCAGACTAGTTCCCAGTCCTCCGTTATTACAAAACTTCCCATAGTGGACAGAAAAAAGCAATAATAACAGGTTTAATTTGATTCAAATTATCGTAGTTATACGAGTACAGAAGCATAGCACATTTTCTTTCCTCTTTATATGAATTGTTTCCCTTTTAACCGCTATACAATTCATTTAACATAATTATGTCGTGCAATGTTTGTTAAGATTGGGCAAAATTCATAAATTGTGCACGTGATATTCCCACCCAATCTTAAGAATGAGCGCTCATTCTTAAGAACGCGTGCTCATTCTTAAGAATGGGCGCTCATTCTTAAGAATGCGCGCCCATTCTCGCGAATGTGCATGCCCATTCTCGAGAATGCGTGATTTTCAAGAATGGGCACAACAGCACTACTGTACTTGCGCAGCTCAGGATACAGCGCAGCATATCCCAGCCAGACCGTGATGCTGATGAGTGATTCATCACTGGCCTAATTCATTTCAACAAAACCTGAACAAAAATACTGTTATATAATCCTACATTTAATACGTACCTAAACTGTAGTAGTATTTGGAAGCAAACCGCTGAAAAAGGTATGAAAACGGACGAAATTTGGACGCACCCCCCACGACAAGCATCGTTGGCGCTACATGCCATGCCAGTGCACAGTGCATGCAGTGCGCAGCGGTTCTGGTAGACTTGTCTCAAGTCTGACGTCTGTTGTGATAATATAAGCGTAACGCCACAAGCTAGAAATTATGAGCGCATCCACTGCATGCTGGGATGCAGCGTACTCTGCTCAGATAGAAAATCAGGACCAGACTTGAGGTGAGACTTTCGTCCAGGGACCTTGCACTTCAGCATGATGCATTAGAATCACCAATCACACTCTCGGGAAAAAATGGTCCAGTTAACATGTAGTTTTGTTTGGCACAGAAAGACGGTGAACCAAAATTCCTCTGTTACGTAATCACGGTGAACGCGGTATTTAACCGTGCTCCCAGCCAACGCCCTTCACTTCAGGCTCATGCACAGATGCTGAACGCTGCTTAGACACCGTGCTGCTCTTACTTAGTCCTAAATTTACGAAGACACTATGTCGACCGAAGAGGGGCGATCCTCTGATACAAGTTTAATTTTTCAGAAGTTCAAAGACTACTTTGACGGTAGATTTGACGCCATTTCGACACCGAAGCAGGAGTCCAGTTCAATCCGAGAGCTGAGAAATAAGCTGGAGGCGAAAGAACTTGAAAGGCCCGGCAATACCGAACAGTTCGAGTTCTGCGGTAAGCTTGAGATTGCTCTGGACAGAGCAAAGTTGGCCCTAGTGAACAACCCCGACCCGGACTCAGCTTTGGAAATTCTTCAAGAAGCAGAGGAGCTGGTAGCCGACCGGAAGAAAAAGATCCGTATAGCCGACGGAAGTAAGGCCGGGTGGGTGACTGTTGCCAAGCTCGATAAGAAAGGCTCTGGCAACCTGTCTGCAGAGCAGCAAAAGAGCGTCAAGATCGCCGAGGAAGAGGCTTTGAAGGACCTCGAGAGCCGCAAGCGCAAGAGACGAGATTCCCAATATCATGGGTCTGATACGCTACACACTGCTGATCGTCGCCTTTTTCGAGGTACACACATTTTACTTTGTTTTTTCAACATGCATCATTGTGCATGTAAACCTGACATCCCATGCTGTCTGAATAAAATAGTATTATCAAGAATTATCAAACAATTGCGTATCTTGCCTTGAATTGCTGTGTTGGCGTATTAAACTAAACTGTTTTTCATGCGTATGAGCGAAGCGAAGTAGCATGAAAATGTAGTTTTGTTTGGCACAGAAAGACGGTGAACCAAAATTCCTCTGTTACGTAATCACGGTGAACGCGGTATTTAACCGTGCTCCCAGCCAACGCCCTTCACTTCAGGCTCATGCACAGATGCTGAACGCTGCTTAGACACCGTGCTGCTCTTACTTAGTCCTAAATTTTCCCGCCCTCCCCTCCCCCTTCGTCTAGTTTGTTTTCTGTCGGCGTATTTCTTCTTTTCCCCTTTCTTCCTCACAGGCTTGTCAAGCTATAACTGCTTTACCTGCGGGATGCCCGGACACTGGTCGAGGCAGTGTTCCTTCCAGTCTGGCCCCACCAATGCAGCTAATGACGGCTTCCACCAGCAAAGATCAAGGTTCAGATTCAACCCCTACTTCACCGGGAACGTCAACAGGAATATTCCAGTCCAAGCCCCACAGTCATATCGGCCATTCCTGCCTTCAATCGCAGCCACAACAGCAGAGATGTCTAAAGAATCACGAGGCACACCCTCCTCTTAATCTGAAACCTAGTGTCGACAAATTCACCGATATTATAAAGGTACCTTGTGAAGTTCAAAATTCTAACTTGGAGTCTGATAGCATTCAAGTAAAGGGTAGATTAAGAACACATAGTGAATTCTGGTCCCGTATAAGTGCTCCGAATATGATTATGTCTGTTATACAGGAAGGTTTCAGAATAGCGTTTTTAGTACATCCCCCTTCAATGTTTTTCCCTAACAATGTATCAGCCTTTCGATACTCTTCGTTTGTTACCGATTCTATTCTAGAACTGTTGGATTCCAATAGAATCAAGGAGGTCAATTCTCCCTCTTACGTCACTAGCCCCCTTTCTGTGGTCTGTCAGGCCACTGGCAAACAACGACTTATCTTGGACTTGAGTCAATTGAATTTCTATGTTAAGAAAGACCATTTCAAAATAGATGACTGGAAGATTGCAATTCAGTATTTTCAATCAAATGCCTTGTTGTTCTCATTTGACTTAAAATCTGGCTATCACCACGTAGAAATTGATCCACAGTACCACAAGTTTTTGGGCTTTTCTTGGCCTATTGAGGGCGTACAAAGGTATTTTCAGTTTACTGTCTTACCATTTGGCCTGTCTTCGGCCCCTTGGATATTCACTAAAGTCCTCAAACCACTGGTCACTCATTGGCGCTCTTGTGGCATCCTAATCGCCCTGTACTTAGACGATGGGTTTGTGGTGGTACCCCAATCTAACCTTGGTCACGACGCACACGTAAAATTAGCCACTGAGGTTTCAGCTCATGTTAAATCAGATTTACTGAACGCAGGTTTCATTTACAACATCAGCAAAAGCATTTGGTGTCCTGTCACCTCCATAGTTTGGTTGGGCATGGCATGGGATTCGCGGTCGGGTACCCTCAAAGTTCTAGATCGTAGAATAAACAAGATTCTTGCTTCCATTCTTTCACTGCGTCAATCTCCCAGTTGTAGAGTTAGGGATCTCCATTCCTTCGTTGGACAAATAATCTCCCTTTCGCCTGTTGTAGGCAATGTGACCAGGCTGATGACGCGAAACTGTCAGTCTCTGATTGCGCTACACGAAGACGAAAATACAAAAGTCTCTCCCAATGCGCAATGCCTGAAGGAAATACAATTTTGGCAAGAAAACTCTAGTCGCTTGAATAACAGAGATGTTTTTGTCTCCCCTAAGGTCAACAAGATAATATGTTCAGATGCTAGTTCCGTGGGTTCGGGTGCTATCCTATGCAATGATAACCACGTGGCACACAAAAACTTGACCTTTGAAGATATGACACAGAGTTCGACTTGGCGGGAACTTGAAACCATTCTGTTTGCCCTTCACTCCTTTGTGCCGTTCATCTCAAATTCAAGAGCAAAACTGTTTACAGACAATCAGGCAGCTGCCAAGATTATCGAAGCAGGGAGTATGAAATGCCACCTCCAAGATTTGGCTTACAACATTTTTGATTTTTGTCTGAAGAATAGAATCCGACTAGAAGTTGACTGGATCCCTCGTTCCCTCAACGATCAAGCCGACTACATCAGCAAATTGATAGATGTAGATGACTGGGGCCTATCGGCAGAGTTCTTCGAAGCAATCAATGCCAAGTGGGGTCCGTTCACAATAGACTGCTTTGCCACTTACTACAATGCAAAATTGCCTCGTTTCTTTTCCAGATTTTGGAACCCTGGTACACAAGCCGTTGATGCTTTTGCCCAAGATTGGTCGGCAGAGAATGCACTCTTAGTCCCACCTGTATCTTTGATTCCGTCTGTACTATCTCATTTGCAATCCTGTCATGGAACAGGGGTGCTTGTATTCCCATGGTGGCCCTCTAACCCTTTCTGGCCTTTGCTTTGGACAATATATAGACCCAATATTTTCGACATTTTCACTATGCCCGGGCAAATGGCCCTAGTTTACGGACGAAATACCAATTCCCTGCTAGGTTCCTCAGAGTTCAAAAGCATGATGGCTGCAGTCAAGATAGATTTTTCTTAAGGCTTTGAAGCTAATCTATTTTCTATATATTTTCTCTCACACTGTTTTGTATATATATTTTTTGTACAGATCATTCTGGAGCAACCATTTTGGGCAGACTCTCCGCCCGTAGTCTCAGGATCCAAGGAGCAGTTGTTGCATGAAGCTATCGCAGCAAAATCGGTTGGGTCTTGCCATTCTTACTTTTATAAGTGCCGCCAATTCATTAAATGGTTGGTTCAATGCAAAATCCCCATGTCTTTCCCTGTAAGCGAGGGGATTGTGGCAGCTTATTTATCCCATACCAATTCAACATCACGATCTGATAGTGTAATGACGACAACTGCTTCTGCCATTAAATGGCTCCATTCATTAATGAACATCAAGAACAATCCTATAGATTCACCTATTGTTCAGCAACTCCTGATCAGTTTTAGGAAACGTCTACATCACCCTCCGGTTCAGAAAGATCCGTTGTCTCTAGTTCAACTCAACCAAATTGTGGATAAATTTGCCGGAGATGATTGCTCACTCATGCAACTCAGAACAGCCTGCTATGTGTCATTGAAGTTTGCCCTTTTGTTTAGGCACAATGAGATTGCTGAAATCAAAGCCAATCACATTACTCCTCTACCAGACGCACAAGGTATTAAAATTGTTATTCCAAAGTCTAAAACCGACATTTTCAGAGAGGGCAATGTAGCATTTCTTCCCACCTCACAGAGTTTCTATTCCCCATATGTTATTCTGACAAGATTTATGAAACAGCTAGGGATCAGTATAGGTGACGATCAGTTCATTTTTACTCCTCTTACATTCTGTTCTGCCTCCAATTCTTACAAGCGTACCCAAAACAAACCCCTTAGTTACACAAGATCAAGAGAGTTGTTTTTTGATGCACTTAAAGCAATCGGAGTTGAAGATGTGAAACGTTTTGGCCTTCATAGTTTGCGGTCAGGAGGGGCTACTCGCTTAGCTAACAACAAAATTCCAGAGGAGCTTATAATGCAACATGGCCGGTGGAAGACCACTACGGCAAAGAATCGATACATTAAGAGAGACTTAACCACACGTCTTCAAGTGTCAAAAGCTGTCTATAACTGAGTAAAAAAAAAAAAAAAAAAAAAATTATGCCAAGTGGCATGTAGGAATGTATAAGAAGTCTTAATATGTATAATGGACTTGAGCAAGAGTGAGAATAGATATGGCAGTTGACATGTAATATGTATGACAAATAAAAAAAAAAAAAAAAAAAAAAAAAAAAGATTGTTTTCCGTTTTCTTTTAATATCAGTATGATGTTTCCAGGCAGAAAACCTGAAGGGCCGAGATGGCCAAGGTTGGGCAGTTGCCCAGTGCAGCCAATGTGGCTATGGATTAATATGTAAAAAGTGGTATGAAGCAACTTCTTGGTTACTGTTTTACTTAAATCTATTTTTGTTAACAAGTACTTGTTACGCATCATTGTGCATGTAAACCTGACATCCCATGCTGTCTGAATAAAATAGTATTATCAAGAATTATCAAACAATTGCGTATCTTGCCTTGAATTGCTGTGTTGGCGTATTAAACTAAACTGTTTTTCATGCGTATGAGCGAAGCGAAGTAGCATGAAATTATTCTTTTGATGGGACTTGGTTTTGCCGGAGTTAATCAAGTGTGATCGGCTGACTGATAAGGTTTACGCACAAAACCCCCGGCCAATGAGGTTTTGTATAGAAAGGTGGTCGAACCACTTTTTGCGAAAGTGTGCTACAGTAATGTGGTTCCGCCCCCATCATGGAGCCATAAACCATTACATGGCACCACTACACTATAGAAACAACTTGGACACAAAATGCTCCAGAGCACAGTGTCCGAAACGTTGAGTTTCCCCCGGTTCTTTGCAGAGATTTGTCAAATGATGCTACCGGTATATCTTTTTAAGCGGTATCGCAAAATTGGACGGTACTCGCCTGTGTCCGTGTGTGGCACTCGCGAGCGGCGACGTGTTATTAGTCAGGTGGCTTAGATCTAATTTTCGTCAAGATCGTGACCGACTGGTCCAAAGCACCAAACTTGGCAGATATATTCTTATAGACCTAGAGAAGATATTTAGAAGGGGTGACACCTGAAATTCTTTTGGGAAGGGTGCCTAATTTGCATAAATCGTTAATCCCTGTCGTGTAATATATTTATTCCCATATTTGGGTATATTTCCATTTTTTATTTTTGTGAAAAGTGTATTTTGGGGATTCTAGTTACATATCTTTACTTAAATAACATTTTCCAAAGCATATAAGTGACTGAATAGTTATGAGGACATAGTAACGATCCAAAATGGCTACTATTATGCCCTAAAATTGCACACATTTACCTTGTCTCCAGATATCATCAATTAGTCTTGCCAAACATTAGCATTGATGAACTTCAAATTCACCAAGTAGCTTACTGGTACAGCTACCCTATTAAAACCTTATGCAAAATCATGTGAACAATGATAACATTGTGATATTAAGCTCAGAAAACAAAAACTGGGAAAAACGAGGTGTCCATAAATTAGGCTAACAAGTAGGTGAAGGGTTGCCTAACATGGAACACTGGAACAAGTTCAAGGAAATTCCCCTAATTATTGTTGAGAAAACGTTTTGGCGTAGACAAAATTATTGTAAACAACAATAATCTCTTATTTAGGGGGATTTTGTTGAACTTGTTTAAGTCCCCACGTTACCCTTCCCGTACTAGCCCAATTTACGGACACCACATTTTCTCCCCTTTTTTGGTCTTTTGGGCTAAACATCACGATGTTATCAATTTTCACTTGATTTCCCACTTATTTTTGTTAGGGTAACTATGCCAGTAAGTAACTTTGTTAAGTTGAAGCTCATCAATACCCACGTTCGGCGAGACTAGTTGATGATATCTGAGGAAAAGGTAAATGCGCGTAACTTTAGGGTAAAATAGTAGCAATTTTGGTTCTTGACTATGTCCTCCTAAGTATTCAGTCACTTATATGTTTTACAAAATGTTTTGAAGTAAGAATATGCAAGTAGAATCACCAAAATACACTTTTCAAAAAATAAAAATATAAAAATATACCCAAATATGGAAATAAATATATTACACGGCAGGGATTAACGATTTATGCAAATTAGGCACCCTTCCCAAAAGAATTTCAGGTGTCACCCCTTCTAAATATCTTCTCTAGGGCTATAAGAATCTATCTGCCAAGTTTGGTGCTTTGGACCAGTCGGTCACGATTCCGACCATATGCCACCTGACTATATTCAATGGAAATTAAAGAAAGATTATATGACCTCTATCTATTTTCTTTTCAATTTTACCATAATTTGCCTAGTAGATTTTTTTTATCTATATCCCCCTCCCCAAAACTATCCTTCAACGGTTGCCGATCTCTGGCCCAGTTCTAGCACCCATCTTTTGCCGATCGAGTAAACGAAACCTGGAAGCCACAAGTCCCAAATGCTTAATTCCCATAGACAAATACACGTACCGGCAAGGTCCCCTTGTTGTCCCATTACTATCATCGCAAAGATTCTTGTGTGTGTTTTCTTTGTAGATGCCCAAAACACTGAACTATGAATATCTTAATTAAAGGGAAAATACAACATTTGCAAACATCAAAAAATAAAACTACCAAATCATTTTGAAATACCTTGCTGGACTGTTAGTGAATGACAGTGTAAAGCATCCTATAAAATCATGGCACCTGGTATACTGTCATTTTCAAGAAAAGTGGTATTTTTGTATCAATTTCCAACGCTGGTCAGCCGACCAGCGTTGGAAAAAAAATGGCTTTTTTCAAATACTGGCCCCAATTGACCATCGCACTTGTTTGCAATCGATTACACACCTATGAACGGGTACAAGCCAGCTAGACTGCTTCCCTGACCTTACAATTCCCCAATGTATGTAAACTGCTCCTTCTTATATGGAGTCAGGGAACCAGACTACAGGAAAATGATTGTTTTTCTTGGTTTTTATAGCATTTTCGAACCCAAAACCTAAAAAAAAGTCAGTGTAACTATATTTGCTATATATTTCCAACCCCCCAATTCCATCCATTTCTGAAAATTACAGCAAAAGCAAATGATGTATATTCCCTTTAATTGCTGTTTAGGGTTGAACTTTTAAGTACACTTGGGCACGTCTTCGGGCCAAAACTTGAGTCTGGCACAAGGCAACTTTTACTGCGGGCTACTTGGCAACTTCTGTTAAAATGCTGTGCGCAAGTGTTTCAGCCGTGTTTTTGTTGTGAGTGGGTGGAGACCAATTCGGGCATAGTATCAATTTTCAGTTTTCCCCCATACACAATAATACACTCAACCAAAAACTACTCAAAAACTACTGGGCACATCTTGCTCAAATTACGACTGATCAGTACAGAAATTCCTTAGCAATCCAGCCATACTCTTTGTTTGGCCCAAAACAGTGATAATGTGTACAAAATAATGCAATTTATGACAAATGGTACCGGGAAAAAAATTGCACTTGCGTATACGTGCAAGGTGGTGAGTGTGAACCACAACTTCCACGTATACAAAAGTGCAACTGGTTTCGGTATCATTTGTCATAAATTGCATAAATTCGTACACATTATCACTGTTTTGGGCCAAATAAAGAGTATGGCTGGATTGCTAAGGACTTTCTGTACTGATTAGTCGTTATTTGAGCTCATAAAATGTTTGAGTTACACAAAAAAGTATTGGAAGGGGGACTTCCTTTTTTGGTTGAGTGTATCTTAGAAACAGCACAGCAACTTATTTGGAGCACAAACAGAAGACGAAAATTAAAGAGAAAAAAAATGAGTTTGTTGCTTTTATTGTATGACCATTCATTACCAATGCTACGGAATTATAATGATATAATTAACTTCAACAAATCTTGTAAATATCTCTAATCATATAATCGGAGTTTTGTCGTCCTATTACAATTGCTGGATTCTTAAATTCTTGGATGAAATAGACTGGTTGCAATATGTTTACGAATATGACAAAATTATTGCAAAGTACGCTGATTTAAAAGTGTTATCTTCATGAGCATTCAGCTACTGTACGAGATTGATACAAATTGACACGCATTGCTAAATGTATAAATGGTATACCCTGAAACTACGCATTGGCCGAAATAGAGATACAAAAAAGAGAATTATAAAAGTTCAAAGTTTGAAAGCCAAATAATCAAGTTGACTTTGATTCTTTGACGCCTGTACCCTAGTTGCAAGTCAATAACAACGTCCATCCGACTGCACAGGCCAGCTTTATTACACCAGCATCATATCTGGGAGTGTGTCAAACATCGTTGGTTCCTTGCCGTTGCTGAACATCTGCGGGTCGCGAAAAAAACAACAACATTTTATCACAAAACTGCAACCAAGATATTTTCAAACAATTTCAAAGGACAAAATATTAACAAAATAAATGTTATGTAGTTATCAGTAAACGAATATTGGAGGATGTCGTGTACAGGGACCATCAATAGAAATGGTGCTGGTCCGAGATACCTTTTGCGGCTCAGAAAAACTAGATGGTTACATCAACATTTTTGATTATCACTTTAATAATAATAATAATAATAATAATAATAATAAGCAATAATAAGTTAGGATTTATATAGCGCCCGTCCATAAAAGAAATCACGCTCCTATAGGTTCTTATAATACAAATCATGTTAATAATTTTTGATGTGAAATGCATATACTGCTTATTATTGTGCCAGATGTAATAACCAATCAAAATGGTGATTCAAAAAGCATTTTTCTTCGTATAGCCGCATTATAGGCTTCACGTATCCCATACGCATACATTTGTTTGTAATGATGTTCGTATCCTAAATGCGTTTACGGTACCGATACGATAAAGTCATTTAATGCGGTACTATACTCAAAGTGATCCTTACCGTTGGACAATAGTCAGGCACGGTGAAATATTCAGACGGGTTCTTGATGCCACTGACATAGTTGAAATATCCAGCAAGTTCCATATAAGACACTGGGAAATAGAAAAAAAAAACAATTGAAACGGTTTGAACATGAATTTATAGGTCTAATTTATGGGTTTGCAACAAACCTGTGTGCTTATTAAGTGCCAAGCTGTTCCAATGTACAGCCAAACAACCAACAACAACTTCCGGAGTATGTTTTTTTTTAACTTGAAAGAGTTATAACTTTTGTTTAACATGGGACATTATGTAGCAAGATATGGGGGCAGAGGGACCCTCCAATCGAACACCTCTTTTGTGTTGGGCATTGCGTTCCCGGAAACCCAGGAATTCTTTTCAGACATCTATAGGGGGATGATTGTGTTCCCCCCGGCCCTGTAGCGCCGATTGGACTAACTTAAGGGCTTACAAGAAACTTTGTCACGGTGGGGGTGGGGGGCAGGGGCGGGGGGGGGGGGGCTTAATTGGGGTGGGTTATAACAAACCAAACAACTTTGTGAAACAGCGATATCTCCCGTCTCTTTTAGTCTTATGTTCGTCCTGAAACGTTGGATCTTGTTATTGCGTAGTAACGAAAAGTTCAAACACCTTTTGTATTCTGCACTTGAATTTTTTTTCGCTCAGTAAGACTGGTAACTGTTTAACTCCGTATGTTTTCATGATTTACGAACATGACAACGATGTTTGAGTCGCTGTTGTGCCTGTCGGCAGCCAATAGGTATGACGTCTAAGGTGCATGTTCTTACCATCGCCTTCCACTCCAGACGTGAGGAAACTGCTGGGAAGACAGTCTCCCTGAGTCACCGACAGGGAGCCCTGGCCAGCCCCGCGTTCAGTCTTGTAAGCCACGTAAAACACGTCAATAGTCAGCTTATTGTCGCCCAAGTACATGGATTGGCCAAAGGTGGCGTTCTCTGAAATAAAATTTTGAAAAAAAGTTAATAGCGTTCTTAAAAGAGGGAGAACAGGGCTTAATTCTGGCGGGGGGGGGGGGGCTGCTATATGTGCGTTTTATTTTGAGGGGATGAAGGAGGCTTTAGTTTAGAGTAAATAAAGGATTAAGCCTATTTCTATACCGGGTGAGTAAAAAAAAAAGCGAAACCCAAATGTCGGGACTATTGTTAGTGACGTTCTGCATGTAGCACTTTCAAAATCTAGAATATGAAAGCCCAATTCATAAGCTTTCGTTTAGTACAAGAATCGTTCAAATAGGCCTACTTTAAAGTTACGGAATTTTAAACACAACGGCCGTTTTAAAGTTCTGTCCACAGATCACAAAAAAAGGTTTGCGTTCTTTCAGTTAAACGAAAAGAATTCAAAAACACATCCCAATGTGATTTGTTTACAATTTGCTGGGGAAAAAACACATACCTTTTTGTGATCCGTGTAGAACTTTAAACGGTGGTTGTGTTTAAAATTCCGTAACTTGAAAAGTATATGAGTAATTTAGATGTACTGAAAGAAAGCTTATGAATGGGGCTTTCATATCCTAGATTTTGAAAGTGCTACATGCAGAACTTCACTAAAACACTGTCCCGACCAAGGGCGGATCCAGGGGGGGGGGGGGCCAAAGGGGGCCATGCCTCCCCCCCCCCCAAAAAAAAACCCGAAACCAATTGTTTTTGTTTTTTTATGTGACGTCGCAAAAGAGGCAGGCAATGAGTACACCACCATCTTTTCCTCAAAAAACATTGGCTAAAGTGGTCAGAAATTGCCTCAGATCGCACCAGAGAGCATCGAGAATCAAAAAAATTTCGGGGCCCTTAAGCGGGCCCCGAACCCCGGCCCACGCCGTAATTTTTTGACCCACTTTTTGGGAGACACAATCTATTTTTTTTGCCCCCCCCCCCCCAAAAAAATTGTGTTCTGGATCCGCCATTGTTCCCGACATACGGGTTTCGTTACTCACCGGGAACACAATGGGAGATGGGTCCCGCTAGCCGAAGCTTCTCGCACCGTTGCATCTTTGGTTCAAGGCGATATTCAGCGCCCTGTGTATATGCCGGACGAAGAAAATAAATGCAATTCTTCAAGACTGCCGTTATATTTCAAAAATCTAGCTACATATAATACATATATTATATATTGAAGGTTCTTTTCCGATAAACATTGTAACATTAAATGCAAAACGATTTTCATGTTAGGTTTTTACTTTCATTATCGCTCTAAAACAAAAGAGTAATCTCGCCAAGAGAGAAACCCAATTTTAAAACCTGCATGCGTTTCCCAGACGCAAAAAATTCCAGTAAAAGTGATACAATGATATATTTTTTTTACGACAGATTTTCCTTACATCTTTGAAGTCATAAATGACTTGGAAATCCATGGTTCGCCCATCCTCGATACGGTCTCCTATCTTGGCAATGCGCTTATTGGTGTAATCGAATGCGAGTTTACAAGTCTCATAAATGGCGGAGCCTTTTCCTGCCCGATCCATGCCAACCTGACGACCTGAAATATAAATATCACAAAAATCTTGGGTTTCTAAAGAGGGTGAGTCAAAAAGAAGTTGACCCGAATGAATGATTTTCTTTTCTTAAGCAGCAATCAAATTTGAAACACCAATGACGTATAAATAGCATATTCTTCCACTCGTCTAAAAAAAGAAACAATTATTACTGAAATTAATCCATGCTGTCAGAGTTACGCACGTTTAGGCCAAAAAAAAAAGTCTCCGGTTTCTGGTATGCGCGCGCGTCGACGCAGCCATGCGCGTCGGCAAAATGAAAAAGTTTTTTTTTTCAATACAAGATGATGTCTCAAAACTGCCAAACTCACTGGTTTGACTGGAATTCTGCTGCTGCACAATTTTAACGTGTTTTTAGATGGGGTTATGATCGAGAATAAGCTTTATGTGGCCTCTCTGGACTCCCATATATTTGCACTAAGTTTAGTCGTGCACCATTTGCAGTCATCAGCCGACATTTGAAGCAAAAAAAAAAAAAAAACAGGTAAAAAAAAAAAAAAAAGCCGCGTCGCCGCACCACTTTTGGGGCAAGCTCCATACCAGAAACCGGAGACTTTTTTTTTTGGCCTTACTAAACGAACCCATTTTTATAGCTGTCCGTGGAATGCCATTGGAAGCTATTGAGCTAGCCGAGTGAGATTTACAGATTGCATAGCATTCGAATACAAATGAGATTTAAATCAAGACTGTAACATAATTTTCACCGTAAGATTTTGTGTTATGAATACGAGGAACACGTCATCTATTTTTTTTTTCTGAAATATTTATTGAGGTATGCTTTCCTTTGCAAGTTCTCCATTCATCGTGGTGGGAAAACGTCCATGTTTCATTGTATTTAATGGGTATTCATCAGTTCGTAAAACGGTAAATGATCAGTGATGGGCAGTTGAATCTTTTAATCTTCATTTAAAAAAAAATATTTTAAAATAGACGGTAATTTGGGAATGGAGTATCAAATTAAGTGAAATTTTCACAGTTACTAGTCAATATTATACAACACCTGAATAAATCCCCGTCGTCTGATTGGTGGATCGTTGATCACATGTCATTGAATTATTCGTACCAATGCACGGCGTGCGCGTGGCGCGCAGCGCGCAGTGCAATGGAGGTACTATTGCACTGTGATTAGAAGTACCATTGCACTGTCACTGCACATGTTGCCGATGGTGGCGCTGTGGTGTTTAAATTGGCAATAAAAGTTCTGAACTTATTGAACTGTTTGAGTTCTAAACTTATGGAAAAGTTTTAAATTGAGAAAAATTGAATATGATAACTCTGAACTCGTCAAACTTGTAAACAATTTTTAACTTGAATAAATTGGCTATTAAAAGTCAACCAATCAGATGACGAGGATTTATTCAGGTGTTAAAATATATAAAACAAATAATGAATGTTTCACGTTCGTGCAATAGAAAGAATAATTTCATTCGGTGACAGATGAAATTATTCTTACCATTGCAACATGAAATGTTCCATGGAACATTTCATCTGTCACCTCATGAAATTATTCTTACCATTGCACTCACAAACATTCATTATTTGTAAAACATATACTTGTATACCTTTTGTGTGTGTGTGTGAGAGAGAAATGGAGCGAGCCACATATTTTTAAAATATTTTTTTTTCTTATTCGGTCACTTCTATGCTGGTATCCATTGCCATAGTTACGCGTACCAGAATCGTTAACCATGGAGGACCATCTATTAATCACACAAATGCGATACTTACCCTCCGATATTTCGAATTGGTCTGGGTAACAGCAGGGCTTCTGCGCGTACGTTGTCGCCGCGACCACAAGAAGCAGACACACAACCGACTGAACACCCATGATTTCTTGGGGAAATATTAAAAGACAGTGAAGGGATAGGCAAAAATCAGTACGGAGACTTCAATAAAATTGCTCTGTTATCTAACGAGAGACGTTTCTTGTTCTGACAGTAGCCTATCGACGACCCCGTTCTTATAAACCATGTATGATGTGACCAAGCGTCACATGACTTGGGTAAACCATGGGTAAACACAATTAATGATATGGGGAATAGACCGTATCTCGTGATGTATTATGTAATGTCAGTGAGTCACATGTTAGTGACGTGTAAGTTTTCCACGAATGCTATTTTAGTACATTTGACGTAAGGCCGCGTGTCCGTCTGTGCTCTCATCAGGGGATCCGAGTGCAGTTTTGACAGTCCTTATATATATTACAAGTTACAGGATCATTTGCTTTTTATTTCATGCATTTTCGTTTCCAATATAAAACCGTGACCCGCCACAGAAATTCAATGTGCAAAACCTAACCCGTTTCAGCCCAGTGAAAAGGACACTTTTCGAAATAATACACGTTTCGTGCTATCATAATACAGGCCTAGCACTCTTTCATTTCCCCCGACTGATCGTTGGAAATTTCTTATTTTTTTTTCTATTCGAAATGACAAGAACCCAGACGGAATATATTCACGGGTTGTTTAGTACCAGTATTTGATAGTAATTCGAATAGGTGTACTTGATGATCCTTAACTTATGCCTTTAAATTTATTTGGTGTACATAATATGATGTACATTCATCGTCCATGTTTTATATTACTATATGCCTGCCGTCCAGTTTTTGCAAGCTTAAATCACGGACCATTTTCGATCAAGCGGTTTTATTCCTTTTCGTGGTGCTGGAGGGGATGGGGTTGAGGTGTTGGAGGGCCTGGAGGTAGTGGGGTGGGGGCACGGGTGAGGGCAATTAAGGGGACGGATCCCCCTTGCTGTTAGTCGAGACCGCGGCTAACATGCCTCCCCGCCGCTACTCTCCTCCAGAGAAATAAACTCCCAAAGAACCATAAAACCAGTGCAAAAATGCCACTATAAACATGGGCGTCGCCAGGATTTCTTTCTAGAGGGGGCAAAGCACATTTTCTACCCGAAATCCCTGTACTTTTCCAGCATATTATCGATTCATCATTGGGTTGGGGACATTCCCCCAACCCATTAAAGTAACAGCAATATGACTTCGCGCCTCTTTTTCTTTCCTCCCCCCTTTTTGTCTCCTTTTTTTTTATTTGGCTTTTCCGGGGGGGGGGGGGGGGACGTCCTTGACTGTAGATGCCTGAGAGATGAGGTATATACAATGTATAGCTTATTTGAAAACGGTTATCATGTCCGTCTGACTCATTCCTAATGGGGCAGGGTAGACCAAAGTCCACGAAAACGTTTTTGTTGTTGTTGCCCCTTGCACGTGGATGGCATAGCATGCGTAACATAATACGAGTCAACAAGGAATACTTTGGTCATAGAATATGATGAGATCCAGGTTTGGGGGGGGGGGGGGGGGCCTCGGGTTGGGGCTTGCAGTGTTATGCTCCAAATTGACCATCGGTCCCAACTTAAACTGGGGCCATCATAAAAAGTGTTACAACTTGGAACCATGGTCAAGTTTGAGGCGCAACAGCTGCGAGGCCCATGCGAACTGTCCCCGACATTTTGCAATTGGAAAGATGCTCAATTTCATCATGAAACTGAGGATCTTTCCAATTGCAAAATTTTCATGCACTTTGGGAATATTTTAAGATGGCGGTTATGTAATCCATGGGGGACTTAATATTTTTTAAGGCTACTTACTACAGGGTGTTTAAAAGAAGTAAGGCCCCAAAGCACACTCTTTTTTTTGTTTACAGCTTCATAAAAAAAATTCGTGGCAAATATCTATACACATTAAAGAGGGCATAATCCATTAGCTTTTCAACAACGAAAACTTCTTTCCAATCGGGTAAACATCTATCGAGTAATGGGCGAATGAAAACAAGTAGGCCTACCGCTTTTTAAATTTGGTCCACGGCGACTGATATTTTGACTTCCGCACTAAGAACAGGGGCCGAAACTTGCATTTGTGGAAAAGGCTAGCAAGTAGAGGGCAGAGACAGAGCAGCACAGTAAACATCTAAGAAGTTAACCAAACAGTCCTTTTCTGGATTACCATTACTTCCAAAAGGAATGACCATTGTTGCAACAAAAAAATGAGAAATACAAAAGAACAAAAATCATAAAGCAAGTGTTTCCTCGCCCAAAATCCATTACATTCCTGACAAATGACAACTGAGACCGTGGACAGAAGTTAAAAAAAAATATCGGCGCTTATTTTGAATTATGGCCATAAGTCAATAAATTTTTACCCGATTGGAAATATGTTTTCGTTATTGAAAAGCTAATGAAATAAACTCTCGAAATAAGTATCGATATTTGTGATGTACTTTTTTAAAAGCTATGAAAAATAGGGAGTTTAGAGGGTTCGTTTTTTTGGTAGTTGTGTGGGTTTTGAATCTGAATTACTTTAGCAATGTAATACATGATTGATGAGGTCTTTCATAGAATGAATGCTAGTTTAATTTGCCTTTAAACGCTAGTGTTCTGTTATTGTTGTACACAAAAACATGTAGACATGACAGCTTTCTACTTTTGTTTAATGCACGCAATGCAATCTATCTCGAACAGCCTTTTTTTTAAAGAAGGAAACTCCATAGGCATATTGAAAAGAAAACCGATAGCAGTGCTGCTTTCAATAATAACCACCTTTGTTTTTACTTAAAAATCCAGCTAAGAGCGAAAGTTGTTTTTTCTCTTCACACTCGCAAGCCTTGGGCCAAGGATACTCTGCTATAAGTTACTTTAATTTCATATAATCCATAATTTTATAGATTAAGTTTAAAATGAAGACTTTATTTCCAAAACATGCCATTTTGTTCCCTTTTGGAATCCCGCTCTCTCCTAGCTGCCCAAAGTCAGTTTTGTCGGGTTTTAAATCGTTAAACATAATTTAAGAAGACAATAAAGGAAAAATGGAGTTCAGAAACAGCTCTTATATTGTTTTGTATTCTTTATAAACTTTGATAAACGTGCAAATCCCCCCCCCCCTTTTTTTTTTAACTTGATGGATACATATCGCGTTTTTGGAAATAAAGTCTTCATATGTCTAGAAGAAATAACAGGTATTTTATACACAATTCACTTCCTTATACTACAGACAAAAAGAAACCAACATTAACATTTTCTATATATACATATATACAGTCCCAACACTGAGCAAGTTACTGGCAACAATTTCAGTTTCATATAAGCTTGAACATCTCCATACAATATATTATCTCTGTGTGTAATGTATGATAACACTGATCCATTTAAAGCATTAGGTACATGGAAGAAAATAAGATAAGAAAATATCTTATCTTTTCGTGATTATTGTGACCTTTTGTAGTAAATATTGTGATATTTTACATGAATATTGTGATCACAGGTAAATTAACTCCTGTATTTTATTTTTGACCTTATATTTGCACTTTTACAGGAAAAAAAATATATCATGTGCAACAAAGAAGTATCCCTTAAAAATTCGAACACTAAAAACAGATAGTGATTTCATTAAAAAAATGTGTTTCCTTAGTAAACTAAAACGGCACTGGAGAGCTATGGTATGGGGGACTTTAACTCTACCCTAAAATACCATGCTGTACTCAACATTCTCAACAAAAAATAGTCAAAATTCGACAAACCTTTCCCTCAAAAATCTTAATTCCCAACAATGTCTGCCAAAAGGTCCCCAATTTGTTTTCAGTAATCAGTATCCCTAAAACAAAATGGTACCCCTAATTTGTTATAAGTATATAACTGGCCGAATTCATCATTAAGTTCTATGATGAGATTTTACAGATTAAATATGATCTCATGATTCGATGTATATAATTTGATATAAGATAGCACAGATAGTTAAACATCTGTGCAATACCTTTCAGTTCCGACAATGTTCTTTACAAAGCTGCTGCAGGCAAAAATAACCTTGCAAAACAAATAAATAAAGTAACTGCGAATAAATGATGATTCCTTAAAACTTTTCTAATGGCAAAATATACTTTCAAGAAAGTCAAGCTTTTGAAGCACACTTCGTATAGAGCACACAATTGAATAGCACCTTAACTACAGTAGACAAAAACTACTTCGTTTCAATAAGTTTTATATACAGCTGAAAATTCTAAACAAATTTGTCATTTCTAACTTTTAGTGTCATGAGTCATTGCATCATCACTCACAACATGTATATTACATTTCATGCAGACTATAGCTCATCATTGCATGCGATAAAGCTACGTAGCTTTACAATAATATTCAGATAAGGGGATCGGAAGGTTGGAATGGAAGTACTATGAACTCCATTTGTCAGGTTTAACATGTACAAGGAACAGGTCAGATTTCTTTTGTTCAATAAATAATAATAATAGTATTTATAAAGTGCGCGTATCCACCAGGACTGGTGCTCAAGGCGCTACATCATTGTTACCCCTGCTCATTGGGCCCATGAAACATTCCAAATACCATCTCAGCTCCCCGGGGAGTATACAGCTCCATGCTGCCTGTTAGGCGCAAGGAAGCTAATTTAATCACAGTGACCATCTCTGCCCACACAGGTAACCCATTGGTGGAGAGAAGCAATGAGTGACAAAGTGCCTTGCCCATGGGCAAAGGCACCATGAACCCAGGCTGGACTCGAACCCACAACCTGCAGCTTTACACGCAGACACAAATCCAATGCTCTTAACCACGAGGCCACTGTGGCCACAGCACTTCAACCATTTTCCATTCTTCCTTGTTTACTGGTAAATACCCTGTACATGTACACAACAGTGGCTTTTGCTCTAATTTTCAGAAATGGATGGATTTGGAGGTCAGTATTTTAAAGCAAATATTGTTACACTGACCTTTTTAAAGTTTTGTGTTCATGGATGCTGGGAAAACCAAGAAAAAACTCTGAGCAATTTATAGACATCAGGGAGTGTCAGGTCAAGCTGGCTTGCACCCGTCCCCCTTAGTTAGTTTTGTTATTTAATATTTGAAAATGTAGTACATTACCTTTTAACTTATACAAATATTTTAATTTTCTATGAAATTTTCAAACAGGCATTAAGGATGTAATGAGAACTAGATCTTCAAAGTGGCATTACCTCAGCTCATCAACCAATTTGATTTTTGTTTCTCTTCAAGCAAAGTTAAACTTCCTTTTTCTTTATTGCAACTAAAAAAACCTTTTTCTATTTTTTTTTGTCAAATTTTTTTTATGATTATTTGATCATCCTTAGATTACTGAAAGTCCATACTTTTGTTGGCAACTGGAGTACAAAATTAACAAGACATGCAAAGACCACAAAATTAGTCACTGCATCGAGATTGATATATATGTAACTACAATTAATGGAACTGGGGGGGGGGGGAGGGCCCACTTGCCCAACAGTTTCACCCAAGTGCCCCTCTTGCAGACATAAATGTGCCCCCTGCAGCATAAATGTGCCCCCTCGCCATGAAAAACAACTGGCCTAAAAGTTTGGATAATTTGTTTTCAGAAACCATTTCCCATTGCAGCTTGGAACCAAATTAAAAATTGTTTCAGATTCATCAGGTTGGGAAAATGGGAGAAATCATTCCCACCATTTTAATTTGGTTTTTCAGACAGTAGGGCAATTCATTATGACAATTGGTTTCCAAATGAACATTTCAAGTGATCTACATTTTCAGACAGTTCCTCACAAACTGTCACACATTACACAATTACCTCATATCTATCCGGGGTGCGGTCTTCGTTCAAGACATCCTTCAAGCGCTGCCAGAAAACAGCCCTCTCATCGGCATTGGCTGGCCACTTGAGGTACGTCTTCTTCTTGATGGCACGATGGATATGATCATACTTGGACAACTTCTTTGGGGGAAGGTCTTCCAAGAGGACAAGTATCAGGGCATCTTGATAGTTGATGAACAACCTACTCATTGTCACACGCCTCTCAAAGCTGCACCAGTTGCTCTCCAGGTAGCTCTGGGATAAGACGCAAATGGTGCGGCGGCTGCTGTCCACCGACTCGATGATGTTGTCCACTATCTCCTTCCCCGGCTCAAAGTCGCGGCCGTGGTGGCAGAGTCTGAAGGGTTCCTCTCCCGTCTCAAGTTCCGGTATTAATTTCTCCGCCACCCATTCTTCATCAGCACCACTGTAGGAGATAAAGGCATCATAGTCAAACACCTTCTCATAGCCATTATGCCTCTTTGATCGCCGGTAGTTTGCTCTCACCACTAAGTAGATGTAGTACACCTTCCAACGGTATACAACCAAGATACAAGCCAAAAGAAGGAACGAAAAGCTTGCAACACCTATGCCGATCCAGTCCTTCAATGGTAACTTATGATCGCAGTTCAAATCTTCCGGGTGGAAGCTCATCAAGGGCTTGTTTCTCATGCCCGGGGGTGAAGCACACAGACACAAGCTCAGGTTACCGATCGTTACTTGAGTATCATCAATGAAGTCGCGAAACCATTCTTGTTCACAGCCGCAGGAGAACGGATTACCACAGATGTACAAGATCTTCAGTGTCTTCAGAATTGGGGTCAGCATGGTTTTGTTCACGACGTTGATGAGGTTCTTGTGTAGGTCGAGGTACTCAAGTTCCTTAAGACCATCCAACGCTTTGCCCGAGATTTCGGAGAGTTTGTTGTTGCTCAGATGCAATGTCTTGAGATGTCCCAAGTCATGGAAGGCACCAATGGGAACATTTTGGAAGCCATTGAAAGAAAGGTCAAGCTTTCTCAGAGAGACCAGCTTTCTCAAAAACATGCTGGGACTCTCCTCCTGAGGATTCGGCGGGTGCCACAAGTTGTCGAAGTGGTTATGGTCCAAGTACAATGTCTCAAGTCTTCCGAGTGAACTAAAGGTATCCTGATGGAAGTTATCCATGTTGTTATTGCTCAGATCCAAAAAGCGGAGTTCCAACAGACCTGCAAATGGTGAAGGCACAATGTCAATATTCGAAAGCCAAACCTTCTTGAGATTCAACTTCGTCAATTTAGAGAGGGTCTTGAATGAGTCCATCTTAAGACGAATGTGCCTGTCCTTCAGCAACTTGCTTCCGCTTAAGTCTAGGTCAGTAAGGTCTCCAAGATCCTGGAATTCGTCACCAGTTAGGGTCTGAGAAATCTTGTTCTTCGACAGATAGAGACGTTGTAAATTGATAAGTCCTTGGAAGGGACCACCTTGGGACAGTGATGCAATCAAGTTGTCATTGAGATTTAGAGTCAGAAGCTGTGTGTTATGTTTGAAAGTTCCCGGCTCTATTTCTTTCAGGGAATTGCTTCCCATGTACAGGGATTCCAGAGCAGTTAACCCAGCTAGAGCATTCAGGCTGATGGTGGTTATAGAGTTATTGTACAGCTGCAGAACTTTCAGATGAGCCAGATTAGGACCAAAGCTGTCATCATCCAACCCAGTTATGTCATTCAGAGATAGATCCAGTTCTTCGAGTGTGGAGTCTCCCAGACCAATAAACATTGAAGAGGTCAAGTTTTTTAGACTGAGGGAACGCAGATCCAGCTTGTGAATCTCAGCTGAACTCACAGCTGCACTCACGTTTGCCAAGAGGGAAGGTAGTGGAGGGAGTTTTGCAAACGAATGAGTCAAATCCAAAGTTCCTACTCCATGGAAAGGATCGAGAGTGTCTGTGTCAACGTTTTCAATGGAATTGTAGGACAGGTCAAGTACTTGCAATTGCGATCCTGCCAGGGCCTGGAAGTCATTTCTGCCAAGACTTGTGATGCCATTTGCAGCCAGGTTGAGCACCTTGAGTGACCTGAGAATGAGATGCGTACCAAAATCTGCTGTCTTGATCATGGTCTTCTCAAGCAGCAATGTAGTAAGAGTCCTGTTGATTGGTATCAGGAACTCTGGAAAGCCTCTCCTCAAGTTGTTGTTCTGCCAAGACAGGTCCAGTGTCTTCAGTTTAGTGAAGGAAGCAAAGGCATCTTCGGGTATCTTATTGATCTGGTTTTTGGATAGATACAGGTGCTCTAACTGCTTCTGGTCTGCAAAGTAGCCTCTTTCAAGCTTGGAGACACTATTGTGAGACAGGTTCAGGAGCCGGAGGTTGACGAGTCCTGTCAGAGAGGTGTCGATCTTGCTGATCCGGTTGTGGGACACCAGCAAGATCTGGGTCGTTTTCGGAATTCCAGATGGGATGTTCAAGAGACCCCGGTTCCGGCAGTCGACAAAAGTGGCATTGACTATCTTGCATGGGAATTTCGCCGACTGCCCATCATGAGTGATCTGTCTTAAAGACAGAAAATTGAAGAAAGATGCTGCCTGATGGGCAGAAGCAAGGAGAACAACAAGCACGGCCAAGCACTTCATGATAAGGGCGGTTAAGTTGTCTTTTCTTGAAAGCCAGGTGATGAACTCCGCAGAGAACTTACATGCTGTAAACGGGGAGAAAAATTGGTTCAATGACAATTGTGTTGTAACAGTCACAAAAGTTCTTAATATTGACAGAAAACAATGCAGGAGTTAAGCATCAATTAAGTATAATGATCTTAATGTTTAGAAAACAATTCAAGACATCATTCAAAAAAAGTAAAACTGTGCTGAGGGAAACTCCAATTATAATTAAAAAAAAAACCAGATCGATGCTGTGGTGTTTATGAAGGCTGGCCGTTTAAGACCTAAATTTGCAATTCTGTTGTGTTTTGTACATAATCACAGTGGCAGTACCGCAAAAATCTGTGCATTCAATCACCCCATGCAGTTTAAAACATTAAACTGCATGATGGAGTGCCTGCCGGGCCACACTTTGCCCTTAGGCTAAAAAAGAAAGTTTCTTGTCCAAGATGTTTGAAGAAAGGAAGGAGACGGCCCTTTTTACACCAAGATGGTTGATTTTCGCAGAGAGCAGATGGATTCTTCCACAATTTCTCGTCGATTTTGCTAATAATTGTGTGTCTAAAGAAGACATCACCCTTTCTTCCAGATTTTGAAATTGCATACATTTAGGTAAAATTTTTACTGAAACCAATCAAATAAAAGGCAAAATAGATTGTAAATGTATGATAAAAAAAACCCAAAGGAGGCAGGCGAGGAAGAGAAACTTGTCAAATTTTTTCCTTGGAATATGGCCTAATGGGCGACACCCGCAAACCATGCAGATTCCTTCTTTGAAAGATAATACATGGATAGACACAGTAACTGGGGCGCTAGAACTAATGTTTTCAATTTTTGTCTGTCATGTCTTTGGTCAGACGACCAACCAACTACAACAGAGTGAACTGACAAAAAAAAAAAAAAAAGGAGTCCCAGCGTCCCAGACAAAATTGTAGCCCGATGTCGGTCAAATTTAACCTGGCTTCATCAGTATAGGAACGGTTTAACCCACGGTACAGGGCCTTAAGACTAAACATGTGTATTATGTTTTATTCATTCCATTCAACAGCATTTTGTAATCCTTATCTTGTGTGAAGAGGGCAGATTTATGAGGGAAATTACGGGGTAAACAGTTAAAGACCACAACGACAACGACAACCAGAAAACGCCTAAAAAATCAAGATGGGAACTTTGAAAGCTCAATGCAATGAAAGTTCGATGCTGATTGGCTGATAACAACAATTTTTCTAGTTTTTCTATCAGCAAATCAGCATCAGGCTTCCATTGTACAGTGTCGGGCTTTCACGCGTGTTGTGAGAAGTACAACGTGCAGGTATCACGTCTTTGACTGCAAAAAAAAAGGTAGGAAAGTCAAAAAAAATTTGCAAGTGCATTTCACGATTACAACAAACAGTTAATCTGGAGAAAAAAAGACTGCTTTACTTAGCCTGCAAAAGTCACTTTGGAACAGAACTCGTCAAAAAAGACACTTAATTTGGTACTGGGCAGTCACCTGCAAAATTGAGTTTTGAACTGAAATCGTGAAAGAACAGTTGTCAGTGTCCTAAAGATAAGGATTACCCAGCATTTCAATAAAAGTCGACATCGGACTCAGTCTCAGCTCATCCCGCCCTTCCTTCTCAAATAGCTCAGCAGAGTATCCGTACGTACTTTTCTACGATACGGAGGAACCCGTTCAACACGCCACATAGCCCCATAAATGTGGCCAATTTACTGGACTACCTCCGTAAATAAAGGCCATACTTCCACCATGTACAAAAACATGTCGAACTTTGTCAAATTTTGATTTTCACATTTAGGCTTAGTTTGTAGTTTATTTTTGCTTTAGAAGCAAACTCGCCTCTTTATAGGCTAATCAGAAAGTGCTGTCTTTTTCAGATGTCTATTTTCGTGAAATTTCCAGATTCGTTTGCACACGTTTGCGTAACAAAATTTCAACATGAAATTTCACGAAAATTGGACATCTGAAAAAGGCAGTACTTTCTGATATAGCCTATAAAGGGGGTGAGTATGCTTCTAAAGCAAAAATAAACTACAAACTAAGCCTAAATGTGAAAATCAAAATTTGACAAAGTGCGACATGTTTTTGTACATGACGGGAAAGTGTGGCCTTATTTACGGAGGCAGTCCAGTAAATTGGCCACATTAATTTAATATGGGGCTACACGCCACAAAACAAACATGCATTGCAACAGCTTAATCCATGAATATAAGCCGTGAAAAAAATGAAATACTTACCACCACTTTGAGCCGTAGCTCTGGTAAATTTTAGATGTCACTTTACGAGTTGGAAACGCGCACTGATTTGGTAAAATTTAGATGAAATGGCGACAAACATTCGATCGGTTAACCGGTTGTTGGCGTTGGAAAATGTGCGAGCAAATTGTAGACCCTTTCATTCCAATATTGGTAGGTGGTTTGATCCATAGAGCAAGGACAACAGATGTTTGATCCTACTTTGTCAAAACGCGTTCATCCCATTAGGACAAATAGTCTCAAAGATAAAATTCAAAGTGTATTTTTGTATTCAGTAACACTTTGTCAATGTTTGTGTATCATCTGGTTTCATTGGAGAGTCAAAATTATTCTGTTTACGAGTCATCAACAATACATGTACCCCTCCGTTATAGTGGTACGACCCACTGGGAAAACCAAGGCAAGTTTGGGAATTCCCCGAATGAGAAATCGGCACTGCAGTGTTTGTTATTTGGTCGACAGAGGGCGCGGTTAATTGAATAAGGTCGATTTTGTTCAATCGTGATAAGCTCGAAACCACTGCTACCACCTAAACATGAAACTAAAAAATCACTTTGAGAGATAAGCAAATAAAAAAAAAAAAGCGGAACAAAAAACGTAGCTCAGGTAGTAAAGATGTAGGGCTTTGTCATACTGCAAACCCCACCCAACTATGAAAAATAAATGAGGCCTATATACCGTACCCCCCCCCCCCCGACAAAATGGATGATAAATACAGCTTTTATTTGAAATCACAAAAACACAAGCTTTGAATTGTGAAGCTAAGTTCAATTTATTAATTTCATCCAGCTACTGACTTCAAATGTCAAAAGAAATTCTGTTTAAAAATGAGAGAAAAAAAATATCATCAACAATAACAGCCTAGCGCTCACAAATAACAAGCAAACACAACAAATTATTTTACAGTATTGTGTAAGGGGAACATGGTACAAAAGACAATTTCCCAGTGAAAACATTCCCAGATACTAGATGACCTATCATACAAGTCAAAAAAACTCAAAACCTTTTTCAAAAGTAACTGCAATGTCCCATGCCAAAAACTGAAAAATTTCAACTGAAAAGCAAAATAAAGAGAAAGTTTTCCTTCAGATGCATGGGCTCAATTGGACAAGGAATTTACCCCCAATACATCCAAGTTTGTTTAAAAACAAATTCAAAAGCATAACCTGTTTATAGAAACCCTGCAGATTACGACAAATATTGTTCACAGATATGAGGACAATGCACATTCCGAACTGTCTAAGACAAAAAAAGTTGATGACATTGAGTCCAACAAGGACAAACAAGTGAAATAGTTTGACATCTGCTAAATTAAAAACATTTTAACACAGACAGTTTTAAAAGACAGCAATCCAATTGTGTGCCATTCGCTTAAGCAAAAGCATACTTAAAGGACATCGGCCGTGGATGGTACTTCGAGTGATTTATGATTTACACTTTTATACATTAACTGAATTTCAAACAAATACACACAATTTTTAATATTTAGGCTTTTACATAAGTGGGAATCGAATCCTGGACCTTCTGCTCCCTAGTGCAACATCTTGCCCATCAAGCAACAAACTGGCGGTTTTATCAGTGAAGGGAAAAAAACCAATATTAACACTTAAATCAACCCACTCACAATATTCTATCAGAAGTCACTAACGGCATATGCAAATTATGGACCACACTTGACTCTCGTTAATACAAACTAAGCAGGATCTGGCCATAATGTTTACTATATCAGATTTTTGAATTAAGTGGAGCATTGGTCCCATTCATTTTGCAAATAAATGCACAGTGGAGACTATTAAAGGTTTTTATGTTCACTGTAACCAGAATTTGTATTAAAGGGAATGTACACCATTGGCTTTTGCTGTAATTTTCAGAAATGAACTATTTGATGGGTTAGTATAACATATCAAATATTGTTACACTGTCATTTTTGAAGTTTTGTGTTCGAAAAGGTTGGAAAAACCAAGAAAAACAAAAATGTTCAAGTAGTCTGGTTCCCCTGACTCCACAAAAGATAAAATGGATCAATTTATAGATGATGGAAAATTGTAAGGCAAGGGAACCAGTCTAGCTGGCCTGCACCCGTTCATGAACATGTAACCGATAGCAAACAAAATTTGAACTGAAAAAATGGTAAATTTGGAGCAGTAGTTGAAAAATAGTTAGGTTTTTCCAATGCTGGTCGGCCGACCACCGTTGGAAATGTATACAAAAAATACAATTTTCTTGAAAATTACTTCACACCAGGTGCCATAATTTTACAAGATGCTTGAGACTGTCATTTACCAACATCCTAGTAAGGTATTTCGTAAAAACTTGGTAGTTTTATTTTTTGATGTTTGCAAATGTTGTATATTCCCTTTAACAGAGTTTGTATCAGAGTCAACTGTACATAAATTACTGACATGAATTTTTCATCAGGGTGTAATATTGACAAGTTTTATTTATCAATAAGCATTTTTGTATTTGCACAATGTAACAATATGTGCTCTCTACTGCATCTTCACACTTAATCAAAACCACTCCGATTTGCCAAAATCTAACACCGTTTGTTTTTCATGATTCCAATGGATTCACAACTGTATGGCCATAACCACTGCAACTTTTTGTGGGCTTGTGTCTCCAGCTGATTGATGCACAAATAATGTGATGTTGCATTGCTGTGGCGTTGGATTTTGGCAGAGTTCCTGATATAAAAACTGAGTAAAGGAGTGTTTTTTAAAAACCCATCTAATGAGCTCCGCACAATGGTATTTTCACCAATCATAACCGTGATTAATATCCTATATGCGTGCACACAATTCCGATACGAGTGCAAAGAAGTCTGACACACGGGGACGCGCATGTGACGTGTGGAGTTGGAACGTGCCATGCGGCACTGCAGAGGCACATGTGCCCTAGCCCACGAGCGTATGCCTGAAGGATCAGTACATTGGTGACATACCTACAAATACAGAGAAAACAATGCCTGGCCTATTTCAGATCAGTCTGCAAATTTTTTTAATCTGAACAAAACAGAGACACTCGCGGGGACAAAAACAGTTTTCTGTGAAATACTATTATTTGTAAGTCTAGGAAAATGCAAATTGAAGTGGTCTTTATTCGAAGATAATATTTACACAGTCAAAGAGAGAGTTAAATCACACATACCATCGGACTTTTCCAACCTAGACAAATTTTTCCGACAAAAATGGATATTTTTTTTATAGTCAAGTCAACTTTTGTACTATTTTAAAGTACATTCTAAGTTAGTGAAGAAATTAATAAATGTACACGAGACAGCTAAAAATTGGTTGTTAGTTCCAAGCAGATTTTGTCCCTACTTTCACAATCAGTAGCCTGTAGAATTTGCTAATTGAGTTTAATGTTATCGAGTATCAGTTGCTTTAGAAAATGCAAGAATTTTTTATTTATAAGTTTTCATGGCATAATTTGGTGAAATTGTGATGACTTGTGGATGGAGGGACTTTAATCGGATGCCTCCTCTCTAGAAATCTCGGCGGTGGTAGGCGCCGGGGTCGAAGAAGGAGGTCACGACGACGCGGTTGGCAAACTTGCGACCGGAGAGACCCTGTTGGGCGGCTTGGGATTCCATTAGGTTGCTGAACTCCACAAAAATCTAACGATAAATCAAAAGTGGGAAAATTAATGGAAGATCAAGGATTTTTCAAAGGGGATGGGGGTGGATTTGAGTTCTTTTTTGGGGGGGGGGGTGGATTTGAGTTCTTTTTTTTTGGGGGGGGGAGGGATAGGGTTGTTGAGGTGTAAAAGTCAGCACAGAGATCAAAGGCCTTAAAGGTAGAGTATATCATTTGTCATTTGCGCATTTTTGTCCCCGTATGAGGCAACAAAAGTGCTCAAAATCTAAAGACGGGTGCTTAACAACTAACCTGATGAAGTTTTAGCTTTGCTAATGCTAAATATGCCGAGAAGACAATATTCTAGGATCTCGATTTCAATTCAAAAGTTGCCGAGTCCTGTTTGGAAATGCGCCCGAAATCAGCATCCAGGACATGTTGTAATTCAGCCGATTGCAGCTACGCAATGTCACACACTAAATGAACAAATAATAGCAACTGCGGGCGCGTGTGCGCCATGTCAACGCTTGCGCGCACCTATGCATGGGCTCGCCAAATTACAAACCAACTACTAATGAAAATTTTTAAAAATGCGTCACTTGACACATCTTTGGAAATGGCCCTCTTTTATTGTTTTCTTCAAAATGACAGCAAGCCAGAAAGAATAGTTTCACAGGGAGTTTAGTGCCATTGCAATCTTTAAACCAAGTAAGTTTTTTCAACAATAATTTTGTCAGATACTCTTTGGCAAGCTTCAAATGATCTACTCTACCTTTAAGCAAGGAACCCACATTTCCAATTTTGTATAATAATATTTTAGGAAAGGTAATCTGAATTTCAGTAATGATGTTGGTCACATCAATGATGTTGGTCACAATACACCATTATCATGTTGCAGCCATTTGATTTTTTTTCCTTTCAGCTCAAAGTAACCAAAGGGAGGCTGGAAGGAAAAAAAGGTCTGGTTCCTTTTTGCACAAAAACATTATCATTCATTACTGCTATTGGATACAGGGAACATGACTAAAATGGTGGAAGCATGATAAAGGTCTATTGATGTTGGTCACATGGAAAGGGGAAAGGGGTGTTAAATGTGTCGCTGATTTGTTATTGGTTACCTTTCCGCATCCAGGGACGTCAAGGCCTTCGATGGGTCTGGGTATCTCAATGCTGCGCACGTTGCCATACTTGCCGCACTCATCGCGTACGTCATCAACAATATCTGCAAAGAGAAGCAAGTAACATGTATAAGAATTTACAAGACACCCATGATGCATGTCTATAAGGCTGTGTCAAAAATACTGCAAGTAACACTTGCGCGATCCCTCTGGCATCCTGCCAGTTCGTATACTGGACAGTCTGCAGTGTACCTAACCAAAATGGAATGTGTCATAACTAGCAACATGGATGAGCAATAAACTTAGTAACGGACTTCCAGACCTGCAGCTACATCTATTGTCAGCTGGTTTTCATGTTGCTGTATTGGGCAGAGACCTAGACGATAGCTCTAGAAAAGAGATCAGAAACCATTCAGTATCATCTCTTAGATTGTAGCCGTGACCAGGTTCATCAGACACAGGACCTCAGTCTGCTTACTCTTTTATTAGTCACAGGTCAATCTGTGACCTTTGCACTTTAATGACCTCATCATCATCCCTTAGATCGTCAGCTGTGACCATGTTGATCAGACTCAGGATCTCATTCTGTTGACGCTTTATGGGTCATGGGACAATCTGTGACCTTTGACCTTTAACGACCTACCTTCATATTCATCGTCATCCTTGAGATCGTCAGCGGTGACCATGTTCATCAGACACAGGATCTCCGTCTGTGGGCCAGCCGTGCCTGGCAGATTCAAGCCGGGGATGTTGAGCTGTACTGTCTGGGCAGCCTGTGCATACAGAAAGAGAAATTATACTCCTTAAATACACTCCAAATTAGGAATTTAGATTTCTAAAAATTATTGGCTGCTGCTCGTGGTGCAATGGATGCCATGCTCAAGTAAAATCTGTCTCGAGCCAAAACGGCCCATCAGGCCAGCGTTTATCTCCGGTTTCAGAGGCATGAAACTGACTGAGAATGTTTCTATTCCCCCTGGATGGGATGCCAGTCCATCACTTACTACCCAGCTACTGCCGGGAAGCACCCACTTATACTCCTGGGTGAAGAGAGGCAAGTTAGGGTGAAGTGGCTTGCTCAAGGACACAACATATGGCCAAGCAGCTGGACTCGAACCCGAGACCCTCTGATCATGAGTCATGAACCCTAACCACTAGGCAACTGCGTGCACACCTATCCACTCAATGATGAAATGAGCCAGCGTGTTGATTTTGAACAACCACGCACAAGCCAATTTGCATTGTTCATTACTGTTAAAAAATCTCCCAACTTTATAGTTGTGACGAAATACTCATTTTGCAGAAGCAGATAAGCTTTAATAAGGACACTGGAAGGCCACACAGGGCTGAGAATGGGGGAAACTGAAAAATCCAAGAAATAAATAATCGACAGAGGGTAAGGTGACTGGCCCGGAGCAATGTAGGGTCTATAGTATATGTTCGTATTTGACTAAAGGCACCCCTTAAAATAATCCTGACAAATCTCACCCCTGCACACAATTAAATATTAAATAAAGAAATATATGTTCAATTCGGGCGATTCACAATGCAGTGCGCCACCAAGAGTTTGCCACGGAGAGTTCATTTTTCCCAGTGCATTGTGGGAGATGGTCGACAAATTCGCAGCGCGGGACATTTGAAATTGTTAGTTTTTCCGGTCAGTAGTTTTGTAAGCGTATGATTCGAGTATCTGTTTGCCCTTTTGTTTTCTTTTTATCAATATGGTGTTTTTTGTAAGGCGGCAGAACGCTATGCCCGAATCTATAACAAATCAGCTCAAGTTGTCTATTGACACTCATTCAAACTGTTATGTTTTGTCGACCGTAAACTTGACAAATGGACTCTCCATGGCAAACTCTTGGTGGCGCACTGCATTGTGAATCACCCAAATTAGGAAGTATTGCTTTCATCAGCTGAGGTCCCTTCAGGATCTGAGTTTCTGGAAGCATGACACTGATTGGAACTGGTACAACTTAAAGGTGTTAGGTCTCACCATGGCTTGAGCGCTGGGATTCTTGGCTCCAACGCTGGCCCTCTGGACGATCAGTTTCTTCTCTCCAAGTTGCATGCCGTTCAGCCCCTCAATAGCCTGTCAGTACAAAATGACAAAATTGTATTAACGTGATCATGTGGATGATCAACTATAACAGGCAGTCTAAACCTTTACCATAAACTCTCTTGAGATCTTTCAAACTCTGCCTGAAAGTTTTAAAGATTTTGTAGGATAAAGGAAGGTTCACCCCAGCTAGTAATGATGCTTGGTGCCTTTGGAAAGTTAAAGACGCACTGGGCTCGAAATTCATATTGGAAAAGGTAAAAAAAAATTAATACAAACACTGCTGCGTCAGATGTAAACAAGTTGTTTTTTCCAACGTTTTCTCCATAAATGTAAGATAATATATGGTTTTTCTGTGACCCAAATCTTTGAAATCTTTAAAATGTGAATATTGTGTAAAATCTGGCCGAATGTGCACCTTTAATGACAATGAGTGTGCCACCGGTTGTGTGCATAATGAAGTACTTAAGAAGATCTAAAGGTTCAATTACAAATAATAATAATAATAACTGAACTTATAGAGCGCCAAATTGCCAAAGGATGCAAGGCGCTTATTATTACCCTGCTCACTGGGCCAATGAAACATTCCAAATACCATCTCAGCTCCCTGAGGAGTATACAGCTCGATGCTGCTATTTCGGCGCAAAGCAGCTAAATCAACCACAATAACCATCTCTGTCCTCACAGGTACCCATTTACTCCTGGGTGGAGAGACACAATTCGTGACAAAGTGCCTTGTCCAAGGGCACAGGCACCATAGCCGCAGGCTGGACTCGAACCCACAACCCACGGAATTACCCACAGACCACGAATTCAATGCTCCAGACCACGAGGCACTCCATGGCCTTAGGAATACAGGTTAAATTGCCACAATCACACACAAGATTTTGTAGGATCTTGAAGGATTCAGAACTATAAAACAAAGCTTTATGTTGGGGATGATATCGCTTTAAGGCACAAAGCAATGCACAGCGTTGGATTTTGGAGGATTTATGAGGCTTTCAAAAGAAAAATAATAAATGGTTCTGACCGATAGATGAAATGCCTTTATTAATTTGTGCCTGAAGATTTTAGTTTAAAACTGTAAATCTAAAGAACCAGTCATAAAAAAAAAAATTTACAAAATGATTTCATATTTTAGAAAACAAAGAAGCAAGTTCTTTCTTTCTGACCTGATCAGTGACTTCGGTCTTCACATACTCGCAGAAAGCGTAGCCTTTGGACATTGACGTGGCACTGTCTTTCACCAGGTTGAAGGCCTTCAAAACCCCAAATGATGACAGCAACTCCTTCACCTGTTGGTATGGAAGAGGGGGAGAAAAACGGGCAGACTCGGGTAAGTCTAGGCTTGGGAAGTCTCTGATTGGTCAGAGTGTTGGCTGGGCTCTTCCAAGGTCTTGGAAAAGGGGTGTTTAGGTTTTTCTTCTTCTTAAAAACACTGTTCAAAAGTTGAATGAGTGGACAAATTTATTTTGGCTATTAATGAGTCAGTTATCGTGACACGACATTATAAACAAACTCGCAAGAAACACAAAACTCAAGCACAAGAAAGAGCACAGCCATTTCAAAAAATAAACATCTTAAAATAACATTTTACGATCTACACATTCGTTGCCTCTTTTATTGATAGCAATGTAACAATTTTAAATATCATTTCCACTCATACACTGAATTGTTTTTAAAAATCTCAAAATGTTTAAAGTCAAGCATTTTGAACCAAGCAGGACTAACAAATTGCAGTTATGAAAAACGGGGAACTTATTTTGAGAAAAAATTAAAAGTCACCTAACTATTTCTCATTTTCAGCATATACAGGCAAATTTTAGTGGTAATCTGGCATCGCACTGCGCATAAACTTCAGACAGATTCAATCCATGATTTTTTTCTTTCTGACATGCACTTTAAACATCCAGGGACACTTGCGGGCGGCCATGTTTTCCCCCAAACATAGCCATATATACATATACAAACCCTCCAGGTGACTGAAAAAATGTACATCTTTCCAGGGCCGGCCAGCAACTACAACTTGCCTTTGGTCTCATGGAATCCATCATCATGCTTTTTAACCGGCAGACTAGGGGGGCCGACAGAGGCATGAACAGATTTGCAACGAGCGTGTGTGCGTGCGAATTGAAAGGCTTTTAAACGTGGCCCCGCTACGCTGGGGATTCAAAAAGACGTTGGGAAAAGAACGGGGGAAGAACAAAAAGAGAAAAACGGTGAGTGACATTTGTACTTGGAAAAGTATCCACAGCCCTCCAGTTTGTTTTTTTTAAATTCCGAATGTTTTATTTCACAATTTTAATACAATTTTATACAAAACACTACAATTTATGTTTTATTTTTATTACAAAGTCCTAATGTTATCCTCACAAGTCAGAAATACAACACTCATTCCTCTCAAATAATTTTTCTTCTCTGAATTTTGGATCCAAGAAGTTAGCCAAAGAGGCACGCCAATTTTTTTTAGGAAAAAAGCCCAATATTTTAGATTCTTCTTCAAAACATTCCTTTTTTGTTGCAAGATGCACTATCCTATGAAATTACCCATTGCTTGTAACTCTTACCTTTAATTCTTTGAAGATATTATTTTGGTACAGTTGCATTTCGCTAAACAAAAAAATAAATGCCTGAAAAGGAAAATTCTAGGGATAATGTTCTCGTAATTTGTTTTTCTTTGTTTCATAGAAACGATTCCTGTAAAGGAAACTTGGAAGGAGAGAAACAATGCAATTTTTACTCAAAACATTTCTGCTCCATGCCTGAAAACGAAAATTGGAAGGAAAAAGAGTTCTGATTTTTCGAACTTGAAGCTTTCAGACGAAAGTTGCAATCTAGGCTGCGAAAGAAAACATTTCAGGGAATACGCTTCACAAGTGATGATTCTCAACTTTTGCGCTGCAGACGAATGTACCTTCAAAAAAAAGCTGACCTCATCTAGGAATAAATCTTGCCAATTTCTAAACCCCATCAGACTAGACATTGATTTTAATTTTATTATGTAATTTTACTCCAAGTGTTACAAGCCTTCTTCTTTTTGAAACAATCTAATGGATTTGAATTAAAGCTATAGTCCATCATTTGCAGCCATCTGAAAAAGTAACTGGCGTATTATTGTTGAAAAACATACTTGGTTGAAAGATAGTAAGGGGACTAAACTCCCTGTGAAATGAATCTTTCTGGCAAGCTATCATTTTGAAGTAATCAACGAAAGAAGGCCTTTCCAACGGCTTAAACGTAGGAAAATTTTAATTAGTAGTTCGTTTTGTTATTCGGCGCAGCGCGCGCAAGCATTGGCACAACGCACAGGCGCGCGTGGTTGCTATAATTCTCCCGATCAGTGTGCGACATCGCGTATAGCTGCAATTCAAAACAATTCGAACATGATTCAGCAACTTTTGATTTGAAATTGAGATCCTAGAATGCTGTTTTTCTCAGAATAAACAGCTGAAGCTGAGCTGAAACTTCATCAGGTTAGTTGTTCAGTATCCTTCATTAGATTTTGAGCACATTTGTTGCTTCAAACGAACAAAATGCACAAATTACAAATGATGGACTATATCTTTAAACTAGCTTTAATTTACAAGATGAAATTTGTTTCAGAGATTTTTAATATTTTTTGTTTTAAATATATATTGGGTTTTGTCCTTTGCCGATGTATTTATAAACACTGTATACTCAGTGTTGTCTGAAGGCATGCTACGAACTGTTTTTTTTTCTTTGAGTATATGTAATTATAAAATACGTTGCTGGCAAGGGCAAAACCCAACTAAAAACAAAAACTTCTATTTATTTAAACACATTTCCAAATTCAGAATTTGATAAAGCACAGTTTGCTGTGCATAAATTTTAATAACATTTTTAAGAACTTTGTGAAAGGTCCTAAAAACCCAGGTCTTTGCTGTTATTGTTACATACTCTTGCCTTTAAAACCCTAATCGCCCTGAATCCTTCAAAATCCTCTTTGCCAAAGTGGAGGAATTTGGAGGATTGAGGTTACATGGCAAAAATGCGTTACTGATTTCGTAGAATGCACTTTGTCAAGGTCTTGGGCCAGACCTTGTGTTGTTTTTGCTCAGCCATGAATAAATATATGCCTGGATTACCGGTAGCTTGAAATCCTCCGTACTGCTCCAGGATGTCACTGGCCAAGCCTCAACATATTGACAGTCACTGCCACAGAATTTTGCAGGATTCAGGCAGTGGTCACCCCCATTCACGGACCATATTCAAGAAATAATGGAGGAATTTGCAGGATTGAAGCTATATGCTATTTTTCCATGAGGCCAATTTGAGGATTTTGCAGGATTGAGGCTACATCCTAGCAAAAAGGCCTAGGGAGTTGGGGTTGGGGTTAATCATTTCTATAAATTTTCTCCTTTTTTTTAAACATGCAAGTCCTTAAAAATAAGATTAGCCGAGAATGAGTAAAAAAGAAAAAAAGAAAAGAAGTTTTGTCTTCCAAAAAACCTATCCATTTGGAAAAACCACTGAGTAGCCATTTTCACAATTCACTCATCAGCTGAAACTTTGAGCCACCGCAGACAATATGCTTAAAATAGGAATCCTTTTACAACACAGGAAATTTCAGACATCTCCGCTAGAAATTCCAAGTCTAGTTTAACCGTCACACAGACTCTACGAATCTTTTGCTAAGGCACGGGGGAAAAAAAAAGAACTGACTTGGAGAAAAGGGAGAGAAATTGGGAGGAAACAACCAGACGCCGCAAAGTTGCCCGTCGCTCTATTTACGCGTCAACGTTTCAACCAAACCTACCTACCTGATTGGGGTAGAAACTTGGAGAACAGACAACAATAAACCACAGCATTTTAAAATTCTCACGAAAGCCAAAGGCTGTTAATAGGGCTGTGCATTTCGAAAAAAATTAGTATTTGATGATTCCATCTCGAGAATTATTAACCCTGTTTATCAGGACATGAGACCATTTTCTGCAGCAGCTTGAGATCAGCGCATTCTGGTCTCTACCTTCACAGGTACCCATTTATACTCCTGGGTGGAGAGAGGTAATTGTAGTAAAGTGTCTTGCCTGAGAACACAAGCACCATGTTCCCCGTCAGGGTTTGAACCCACGTACCACGGGACATGTGTTGAAAACCATAACCATTGGACCACAGCGCCCTATGGATTCAGGGCAGTAAGGGACCGTGACCATTCAGCCCTGGTAAAAAAAGGGTCCCCCCGGTACCTCGTCCGGTCCAGAGCTTGGTCCTGTCTGGTCCTACATGGTCCTGTCTGACCAGAAGTTTTGAAGTCAGTCAGGCGCATCAATTTATTGCCCTTCAGAGAACGTCCAGAGCAGAACAATAGCATATTTACCGGATTAAAGATAAAATCCTTCCAAACGCCTTTTTAATTTACGGTCCCATTGTGCGCAAAATTGCACGGCAGGGGTTTTGATCTGTGCCGACGAAAGTGTTCTATTGTTTCGCGCCGAGAGATGAAAACCACAAGCAGGTTTCTTCTGGAATACATTACATGTGTCAATACTTGTAAACAATAGACCCCAGGAAAGAGGAGTTCCTGATTAGCAACCGGACCAGCTCCTGGGCCGGTAGCTGGGATGGTACGAAAGGACTTCTTGGGAGGGGACGAGCTTACCGGGGGGCCCTTTTCATACCGGGGCTGAATGGTCACGGTCCCTAAAGTCCAACTTATGTTAGATTTTTGAAGATTCTGGAAATTTTTTTTCTTCAATGGTAATGGTGCCTGCCTTTTTTTTCTCACTTTTGATAGTTCGAAAGAGAGAACATTGAAGTTTTGAAAAGAATGAGTTGTATTATGTTGTTTTTGAGTTTGACAGAACCTACCTGGTCATCGGTCAAGTAGTTCGGCAGGCCTCCGATGAAGATCTTGTGGGGAGAATCCTGCACAACGGTGGAGACCACGCCTGTTGAGAAAAAATGGGAGAAAATCTTTCTCATCAGTACTGCCAAATCAATTAATGACTTTTTCTGAAGTGTTAGCAGTCTGACAAAAAAAACAGGGCTGCTTATAGATAAAACTTTCTGTTTCGACCAAACTTGCAAAAGTTTGCACACAATTACCTGATGTCAAATACGCTCCGCATATGCATGAAGTGTGAACCGGCTTTGCGACATTACTTATAATTCATGACTTTTTCCAGGTTCCACAAGTACAGTTCTAGTCAATGTACATCATTAATTAATATTTGTGTGTATATAAATTGAAGGTTTACTGACCTGGGACATGCAAGGATGGCGTCTCTGCCACACCGGGCATGGGTTGATAGTCCTTGGGCCGACGAATCTTCAGGCATTGGTTCTGGTACATGATACCGTCGAACGCCATGGCTTGGGTTGTCTCATCAACCGAACGGAACTAAACACAAAAATTGAAAATACCGAGGAAAACATCAGAAAGGGGAATACAGACAGTGACCACAACGAGTATTAGCTCAATTGATACCTGAAGGTTTAATCAATCTCGTGTCTGGCAGAAAAGCTCACAGTAGTAAAACAAATACACTGAAGAGATTACATTTTATAATAATAATAATTTTTCTTGAATAGTGAGTTACAGTTCTTAATCTTTTTTATTTATTGGCAGGATATAAGGCCCCCAAAAAAGTCTCAGGTTTCTGGTATGCGCGTGCGTCGCCGTAGCCATGCGCATCGGCAAAATAAAAAAGTTTTTTTTTTCAATGTAAGATGATGTCTCAAAACCGCCAAACTCACTGGTTTGACTGGAATCCTGCTGCTGCACAATTTTAACGTGCTTTTAGATAGGGTTACGATCGAGTATAAGCTTTATGTGGCCCCTCTGGACTCCCATAAATTTCGCACTAAATTTAGTCTGGCACCATTTGCAGTCATCAGCCGACATTTGAAAAAAAAAAAAAAAAAAAAAAAAAGAAGCCGCGTCACTGCACCACTTTTGGGGCAAGCTCCATACCAGAAACCGGAGACTTTTTTTTGGCCTAACAAATAATTGTTGACTGCTGTAATGTGGGATATGTGATATATGTGATATATATTTTTAACCCCCTCGGGTGCAGAGTTCGCCTCGGGTGATATTCACCCTTCGGGTGTTAAAAACGACATGTCTCACATCACAGCAGTCAATAATTGTAAACTATCCACCCTCAAGCCGTGTTATAGTTGTATATTAATTATAGAATGCCTCGCTTACCTCAAGGAAGGCGAAGTTCTTGTCATGGTTGACCTGTACAGCCAGGACGGGCTTCCCGGGGTTGGTGGACAGGCGCAGCTCCTGCATCTTGTTGTTGAAGAAGTCCACCATTTGGTCCTGAAAATAACAACATCCGAAAAGAATAACTGAATTTTCATCTTTTGGACGATGACACATTTGTCTCAGCATATGTGAGTTATTTTGGCAAAATGAGACAGAACTGGGCAGAGGTCGAAATGAGGGATTGCAGGTATAAGGAAAGGGATCATTACAGTGTTGTAGTACTCGTACTCGAGTACTACTCGAGTATATTTTGAGAGTACTCGTACTCCAATGTCAAAGTAATCGTACTCGTAATGATGGTACTCGTACTTGGGCAGCAAAGTACTCGTACTCAACATGTCGAAATTGTACTCGATCATCAAAGTGCTTGTACTCGAATAGCAGAACTCGGGAAAAAATGGTATAGCTTGACTTACCACGGCCTCAGTTTATCGATACTTCCAGTTTGAAATGGTTGATTGACTTGCGGAGAAATTGAAGTTTCCCGATTTTCCTCTGTGCACGTCCGGACAAACATTTAATAGCTAGCCGTGAGTGGGTCTGTATATCGGTCTGACTGGGCCTGGGCCAATTACGCACAATGAACCATATGCCGTGCGGCCGTATTCAGAAATAGAAGTACTCGTACTCGTACTCGGAAGCACAAGTACTCGTGCTCGTACTTGAAAGTACAAGTACTCGTACTCGGAGACCCGTTCTTGTACTCGGAAGTACAACAGGGGTGTGAGTGACCACTGATAAAAATAGCTGAAAACAGCTGGAAAAGGTGTAAAAAAGCTGAATTTTGGAAATCTCCTATACTTTTGTACACAGCAAGTGAGGGGAAAAAGCTGAAATCCAAAACAAAAAAGCTGAAATCAGCTAAAAAGCTGAGATTTCACACCCCTGGTACAAGTACTCCTACTAGGAGACCTGTTCTTGTACTCAGAAGTACAAGTACTCGTACTCGGTAACCTAAGTACTCGACAGTACTCGGTACTTGGAAAAAAGTACTCGACTACAACACTGGATTATTACAGCACTGTTTGTTGCACATCAATCGGACATTCAATTGACAAGTTACAGTTGTTTAAAGTTCACATTTATCGACATGTCAAAAAATTAAAATACTTTTACCTGACTTTTGTATTTGTGAAAATTGAAGATGCCAATTGCTTTTTCTTAGACCCTTTTATTCCACGAGTTTTATACTATTTCTTTAACCCTAACCACCCCAACTCCATCAAAATTCATCCCCCCATTTTGGTGGATTTTGGGGGACTTGGTCCAGGAGGCCTGGCGTGACTAAATATTCATGGAGTATGATGGACTTGGGCTTAATGGCCTGAAGCAGTGCTAGGTGTATCCAATTGATTTTGCCTAGCTTCCTGTACTGCTATTGTGATAAAAGCCATGTGTAGCAAGTCCATGAATGTCAACCAGTGCGTCAGTGGTGGATTCCATTATGTCATGTACAGTTTTGTATTGGACGCACAGTGATTGATGGATTTTGATGGACTTGGTCCAGTTCCTAGTAAAAGACGCTAGGGAGTTAGGGTTAAAAATAGTTATAATACACATACCTAGCAAAACGTACAAATACCAATAAATCTGTAAATTGATAAAAAAAAAAATCACCTGTACTCGTTTTTAAAAAAATTTTCTCCACAAAGGCCTGTGCCCAGTTCTGTCTCATTTTGCTAGAATGCCTCATAATTTCTCTTTCTTTGATTAGGCTAAAAAAAAAAAATTACTTCTGCTTCCAATTACATGGCATTTGAAAATAAGGTAGGTAGTTTGGTAGGGAAATGTATTTTTGTTTGGCTATTTTTGTGTGTGTACGATTATATGGAGGTGTCTGCGTGTAGTCAAGAGTAAAAGGTAGTAATTGATGATTTTCAAGGTTTTTTCCTCATCCCCCCCAAAAAAAATAAAAATGAGGGTAGTGGCTGTCAAGATAGGGAAGGTAGGGTAACCGGAAGCAGATTTTTTTTTTTTTGGCCTTATTTAAAAAGTGTCTTTTTACCCTCAACCTCACCTCCGTCACACCGAATGGGATATTTCCCACGTAGAGTCGTCGGGCCTGTCTGGTCATCTGATTGGCTACGATGGGCATGGCAGCGGCCGGTGTTGGCATCATGACCGGGGTTGGAACCACCGGCATGGCTTGCAGGCTGGGTATGGGTGGGACTGGACCAGTCCCTGCAGCTTGCACTGCGTCCGGACCTGAAACAAATAGACAAAGATGAGGTGACTCCATGAGCTCAGTTGGACATGTACTGCCATTCACAAGGCAAACCTAGTAAAGGCAGTTCAAGCCAGACAAAAATTTCTATTTAATAGATTCAGAATGGATATTTACTTTTAACCCTAACATACCTGAATCCATCAAAATCCACATCCCTGTTTTGGAGGATTTCGGCAGATTCAAGATACCTTCATACCTGAATCCATCAAAATCCACATCCCTGCTTTTGGAGGATTTTGGCAGACTCAGGATACCTCCATTTACTTTTACTTGAAAAAGTTGGGGGATTTTGATGAATTCAGGACATTACGCCTAGGGGTACTGCAGGATTTTGATGGACTCAGGATACCTCCATATTGAGCAGTTGGGGGACTTTGATGGATTCAGGACATTACGCCTAGGGGTACTGCAGGATTTTGATGGACTCAGGATACCTCCATATTGAGCAGTTGGGGGATTTTGATGAATTCAGGACATTACGCCTAGGGGTACTGCAGGATTTTGATGGACTCAGGATACCTCCATATTGAGCAGTTGGGAGACTTTGATGGATTCAGGATCTCAACAGTTAAACTCCTTGGCTATATGTTTGGTGTGTACGAGGTATATGTACTACACTGGTGGATTCTGATGGACTCTGGACACCAACAGTTTGCATGACAAAATTGGTGGATTTTGGCGGATTCAGGATACTTTCTAGTAAAAGTGCTCAAGGGGTTAGGGTTAGTTTAAACCTCCCTCTCTGGATGACAAAATCAAGCGACTGGTTTTAACAGTTGAGAATTCCCTTGTTAATTTGATATAGCCATGCTTTGACTGGAGTTGAGTGATATGCCAGCTGTACGTACCAGTTACCTCTTTTGTCTGTTGACTCACAATCACTCACGACAACACAGTACACTGTGTTTACAAAAATATGTCAACGAAGAGCGAAACTCAATTTTGAATTTACATGCACCGTAAAGCGATGTCATTTTCTGTACTTACATCCTTGCATAGCCTTGTACTCCTGTGGGGTGATGTGCTCAAAGCCTACGGGAGGGACATCCCAGTACTTGTGTGGCTTGCGACGACGTCTGTGTGCCACTGGAGAACGACTGCAAAATAAAACCGACACAAAATTTGAATGAAGCATCCAACAGGGTGGGTCTGTACTTGCCCATCTCTAGCGCGAGATTAGGTTCAATCTTGAGGTACACTGTGGACTCAATATTTAGTCAATGAAAAAAACAATTGTTTCAGTAAATTCCTTCTCATGTTGATTTTTCTCTACAGGGTGAGTAAAAAAAAAAACGAAACCCAAATGTCGGGACCATTGTTTTAGTAAATTTCTGCATGTAACACTTTCAAAATCTAGGATATGAAAGCTCAATTCATAAGCTTTCTTTTGGTACAAGAATCATTCAAATCACTCATGTACTTTTCAAGTTGCAGAGTTTTTAACACAACTGCCGTTTTAAGGTTCTGTCCACGGATCACAAAAAGTTCAGTGTTTTTTCAGCAAAACGACAACAAATCACGTAAGGATGTGTTTGAATTGTTTTCGTTTTGCTGAAAGAACGCACACCTCGTTTGTGGTCCATGGACAGAACTTTAAAATGGTGGGTGTGTTTAAACCTCCGTAACTTGAAAAGTACATGAGTGATTTGAATGATTCTTGTACTAAAAGAAAGCTTATGAATTGGGCTTTCATATCCTAGATTTTGAAAGTGCTACATGCATAACTTCACTAAAACAATGGTCGCGACATTTGGGTTTCGTTTTTCTTACTCGCCCTGTATCTCTTCTCAACTGAAAGCAAGGACATGGGGGGAGAGTGTTCAGGGATCGTGCTTTTCTATGAATCTGTACTAGGTAAGGGGTGCAGAAGAGTAAAATTGATCTTTGGTCTACCTGCGTCTGGCTTTCCTGTCCCGGTCTCTGCTTCGACTTCTGCTGCGGCGCCTTCGTTCACGGCTGTGGCTGCGACTCCGGCTACGTCTGCCCTCCCTACTCCGACTTCTCTTCCGACGATCTGAATCTTAGGAAGTTACAAAAAAAACCACGATTCATTTTGCTGTTTGATAACATTTTTCCTCTTGTCAAGTTGCTTCAGATAAAGATTAAAGTCACAAAATCCTGGCACAAGAAGCGCAAGGAACAATGTGGCATCCATCGCCTGTTTACCTAGTTTCTACCCCCAAAAACATACTCTCAGGGTAGGCCCTTTTATGCGGCATCTTACGGGGCAAATTTACATGCGTTGCTGTGTATGCAATGTCTATCCCTAGAACTGTGGCTGCTCCGCGTAGCTGAGCACCATAGACAGCATCACCAATGAATTTATTGACTACTACAAAACAACTACCAAGTACAAAAAAGTACATCAAAATGTAGTCTATTGCCAGAAAACCGCTGCACATTTTCCGCCTAAACTCTGTATGTTACTTCTTGACATACTCGCGTATATATTGCGCCTAAACATCCCGGGTGGATTCTGTCCCGATATTTGCAAAAAAAAGATGAAAAAATTCGCGTTCCGCACTGAGCAACATGGAGAAGATACACGTTGATGATCGCTTGCCATTGACTTGTGTGTGTCGGCAAGCATCAGATGGGCCAATCATAGTTTTTAGTGGGCCAATCGATTGGGCGCCACAATTGGGCGCCTCTACGGTGCCCAATCAGAGCGCACGGAGTTTTAGACTGTTTTCCCATTTTTGAAGACCGAAGGACGATGGGTCAGAAAACCAGACTAACTGTGATTGGCCTGTCTGATGCTACCCGTGTGTGCACGCGCACAAGTCAATCGTGAGCGATCTTCATGAACATGCAACTTCTCCGTTTTGACCAGGGCTCGATTTACCCGGTGCACGCATGCACCAGTGCATGTAGATTTTTGCTTGTGCACGTAGCTTTTTTACTGAGCATGCACGACGTGCATGTAACTTTGTTAGCCACCAAAATACTCATTTCATGCATATATTTACCAGTGAGTGAGAATAAGAATAAAGTTTGTTGAATACTTGACCAGATAGTGAACAAACGTGTTATTTCTTTTATAAATCCATAAATTATTCCTCGCACCATGCTCGCACAGTCGCAGCAGATTCAGAGTACGAGGTAAAATTCAAGATCTCGACGTACGTACGTCCTGCAACCTCCTCCGATCATGCATGTGATTTACCACGTGATACATGCTGCAGCTAATTTGGTATCGCACTGACGCTCCGGGCATTCCTTATGTCCGGTTCATAAGTGTGATTCCAAATTAGTAGCTGCGTTTATCACGTGGTCTCGTTATTGGCCAATCTGACGCCGCGCCACATGAAGCAGACGGGTAGCTCGGAGGGCTCCGATAATTTTGCACGCAAATGACCCCGGCTACTTGTCCAGGGTCATTTGTCAGGGTCACTTGTCAGGTTAAAATCTAATTTCTACACGTTCGTATGGGTCTTCATCGACGGCAAATTTCGTCGAAATGACACATCCTGAACACGCGGGAAGGCAAATTTAGATTTCTAGGCGAGTACTGAACATATGTACAAAATTATGTATGGCGGATCGATTTCGCCATGTTCGAAATGCCACAACAGCGTGGCGTTGTATACAACGCCACGTTCATGGGTCTAGGCTTGAGCACGATAGAGTAAAAAAGGCTATGTACTGTACTGTCTGTCGAAAGTTCGATAAATTTCAAAGAGAAAGAATGCCTTCAGAGAAGCAGACGGGTGTAAACTGTAAGTCAATTATGGTGCATGTGGGTTTTTCTTGGTGCATGTAGCTTTTTTGGTCTACATGCACCAGTGCATGCCACTTTTTTTTTGTAAATCGAGCCCTGGTTTTGACTTGAGTACGGAACGCAGATTTTTTTCCATCTTTTTTTTGCAAATTTCAGGACAGAATCCACCCTGGATGTTTGCGTGCAATATACGTGATTATGTCAAGAAGTACCATACAGAGTTTAGGGGAAAACTGTGCAGCGGTTAAATGACAACCCAATGATAAAATTTAGGGCTGGGTAACTCCAGCTTTTGACTGTGGAACATAGCGTTGTTATTGACGCCACGTTTACGGGTCTAGCTAGTAGCATTGAACCAGACTAAGATTTGTCACGGTAAAACAAGGGAAAACAAACAAAAACAGTCACTGCGCATGTTCAGTAGCTATCCAGCAAAATATCGTTTTTTATAAAAAGAAAGCCGGATCCGGCTAAATATCCACTGCCTCTTGAGCTTGTCGCCGACCATGTTCACCAAATCGTTTTCAAACTCCTTGATATTTTCGATATATAGCCAACTTAACTTACTCTTCCGATCGTCGTCGTCAGGGCCCGGCATTCTGAACTGTTAACACGTTATATTTTACAACAAATAAGAGAAAGATTTCTTCTTTATTTTGGAGGAAAAGTCAGCAACGTCTATCACGTCGACGTCGGAAACCGGACCACGCGCGATATACGGCCGCGCTGGTATGCGCGCCCGGTGAAAAATATATTACATGTAATAAGGGCAATGAAGGGAGCAAAATATCGGATACCAGTGATCTTTGTTACTAGTTACTATTAAACACAAGAGGGCGCTAGAGAAAGATAGCGGTCAAAAAGTTCCGTCTCCTTTTAAAAGGCGGTTTGTAATAATACTTAGATTTTTTGTTTTTAAGAATGAGGTGTAAGCTGATACTTTTTTTACGGTACCGACACAGAATTTGTGTTGAAAAGAGAAACCAGATGGGAATTTCCTTCTGAAACAAAACTGACTTTTTTTCGTCGGTAATTTTATTGTAAAATTAGGGGAGGGGGGAGGGGAGCTGGAGACATCGCTCTTTCGCGCTGAGCGCGAAAAAAAAATCAAAAAAAATCCAAAAAAAGACCAACAACTTCAAGCCCATTTCGAAATGATGGAGATCAGCTCTAGGATGAACGAGCTTTGTTCTTTTGTGCAAAGTTATTTTCCCATTCACCCCCCTCCTCACACCAAGTTGAAGAATTGGATTGGGCGGCTGCCGAGTCCGCGCTCCGTGATGAAATTCGGCTCAGACGGAACTTCTTTATATCACAAGCTACTCTCCAAATTTTCGCAAGTTGACCCCAGCATGATAATAAGGCATGTCGTGGCCGCTACAAGCGCATTCGCAAACTGAACACGTTTTAAGGTGAGGAAAATATCAGGAAATGTATAGAGAGGGGTCAAGCATTTTCATCGGATAACCTTGTGATGATCAAAGGAACACACTGAACATTATTTTGCCTTATAAAGTTGCTCCATCAATGCTATTTAACTTATAAATATTCGATTTCTTCCCTCCTTTAATACATTGAACACTTTATTCAATTTGTACGGAAAAACTTTTTTTTTCATTTTGGACGGTTTCGACCCTGTGAAAATACGTTTTAATTTTTTTTAGTAGTTTTTTTTGCGTCAATAATGCACAATACCTCTGAAATTATAACTGTCGGGCCGCAAATAATTCGAAATTTAAGGTCAATATTCCATGACTATAAACGTGGGCGGGTTTTTTTCTGCTTTGAAGTCTTTCTCAAAGGGAATAACTTCTGTATGCGAGAAAGCTGGCAATTTTAGAAAAGATTTTTTTCGGGATAAAACTCGAAAGTAGCACGGGGAGTTGAAAGCAAGTGGGAAGAGAAGGCGCATGGTATGAAAAAACTAATGAAAAAAACTCAGACTTGAGAAGATATATATTCCATGGTAAAGCATGGTGGAGCACCTCAAGTGCACGGGGAGACCTGGAAGATACAAAGACTATCAATGCTCTACAAAATCAAACACGAGCTGGTTGCCTGAGCACCTCACCTTAAACACAAGAAATAGCAGGGGGCACCAACACAAATTGTACAAACGACATGCAACAAAGGAAGCAGAAATCCCCCCCCCCCGAGAACCATTACAGAATGGTACAAGTTGCCAGCCAACTTCGTCAACTCTAGGACACACATGTACTTGCATTCAAGGATGCATCCAAGCACTTCATGGACAACTAAAAAAAAGGCAATTTACTAAGGTCATTTCCACATCCACTCCATGCGAGTCGATTAAGGTCAAAAGTTGGTGTGATATTCTTGGGTGAACTTTACCGACTCAACATGTACCAGAACCAGAAAGCCGAAAACGTATTATTGAACTAATGATTTCATTTGAATACGTGAAAGGAAAAATTCTGTTTATTTATTTGTTCGTCTGTTGATTTGTGTTTTTGTTTGTTTTGCAGGCCTATATGATTGTATTCATACAAAACTGTGAGGATGGGGCATATTTTATACATGTAGAACTTAATAAGGCAACATATGCAAGGTTGCACTTATAAAATACAAACAGCAATTTGAAAAACAAATGTGTGTGTGTTTTTTAAAATTATTTGAAGATTATTGGGTGTGACACGTGATGTCCGAGGAAAGTTTGTAAATAGCCGCCTCAGCGATTGTTTTTATCATTGGTCCAACAAAACGTTGTAGCGCCCTCGTGGCTCGTTCTTTATCACTGTGTGGACTTTGAACTGAAAACCGATGACATCGATCACAGTACCGAATCATCTATAGCAATGGTTCCTAGTTGGATCAGTCATTATCGCATGCTTCAACGTGACAGCACGAACCTGGCGCGGGGACCAGTGATAAACACAGTAAATATATCGATGACAAGCAATAAATTGGTTTTCGAGTCTGGCACCATGCATCCACTGCACGTTTTACTGAATGGATATCGTTGGTGTCGTCGGGTGCTCCGCATGACTGCCTTTGCCAACCTGACGTGGCTGTACATCGGTGTGGCTGTGTGGGTTGGACTAAAAAATGCCGGCAAAAACCACCACCAGCAACGCAAACCCAGGAAAAACAGTGATTTAGGGGTCGTTAAATCCGTCAAGAAGTTGCAGGTACCCTTAGAAGGTGTTCAAGACCGGAGTAAAAACAGGACAAACGCCATGTCGAAGTCAAACGAGTGGAAATCTTTGGCAGTGGAAGGAGGTGGCCGTTCGTCGTCGGGGTCTCTGTTGTCGAATTTCGGTGCGGTCAAAGCAGGCGGAATCAGTGCACTGCGAATTAGGACCCGGGTCGTGGCCCTTGCGGTGATCATGTTCATTTTATTCCTCATATTCTTACTTTTTCCTAGTCCGAAAGGGACAAGCGGGAACTTCAGCACAAACCACAGTGGCTTGGGGAAGAACTATTTTATGTCAGCCTTGGGAAGCAGTCCTTACAATAAAACTTATCCGATTACAGCGCCAGAGCGAACATTAATCGGAGTGCGATATCGAATCGGGTTGATTTCAGATTTAGACACGGATTCAAAATCCGACTCTCAAAAGAACACGTGGGTGGGTTATTATCTGAAAGGCTATTTGAGCATAAACTCGTTACACGACCAAGTCAGCTTACAACTCGACAAAGATCCCACTGCCTTGAAATCGCAGCTTTCCAGAGGAGGAAGGGGGATGGAACTTTCGGAGCTGGTGACGTTTAACGGCAAGCTGTACGCAGTGGACGATCGCACCGGGGTCATCTACGAGATCGTCGATAACGCTGTAATTCCGTGGACCATTCTGTCTGATGGAGACGGCCGAAATACTAAGGGTAAGCAGTCAGACGGGGGCATTTGCCAGTAGATCGATCTGACTATCTGACCATGGGCAGCAACACGTTTCTCTAGTGCCACACACAGTGTACAATTCCAGCCGCGTGTGTCGTACGGGCGTGCATGCATGTCAGACCTTTGTTGACACATGTCGGACATCAATGGATTGGATTAGTCAAAAGTAAAAACACCATGGGTACCGCTGGGGGGGGGGGGGTATCATCTCAATGAAGGTCTTTGCAATGACTGACGACAAAACATGAACCTGGGACTGAGAGTCATTTCCAATTTTACTTTTAGGAAATACTTAAAAAAAATTCATGACTCTCCATAGACTTTGTACACAATCCCTGAAGTGGCGTCTGATTGCAATATTCTTTCCATAGTACTCCTGGGTAGTTTTTGCTACTCGTACTCGAAAGCATTTGGTACTTGGAGATGAATACTGTATTTAATAATATTCAGATTGTTTCCATGTCTCAAATTAAATTAAAAATATTATTTGGAGCAGCTTAATGGTTATTTTTAAAACCTCGCAATTTAAATCCACAAGTTCAAAGAAAGCTGTGTATATTCCAAGTTACTTTATACACATTCAAAATTATTTCCACATAGAATTCCGACAAACCTATAGGCCTACAACAATATGCAATTTATATTTGGTTAAATGCAAGTAATTTTTCAGTGTATGCTACAATTATAGCCCAAGTATTAAATTGATGAGTTTATGTCAGTAGAAACTGTCATTAAGATGTGCAAAGAAAACATGGTTACATTGTATACGTCACACCATGTACCGACAGTGTAAATACTACATAAAATATTGCAGTACATTCTATGGAAAGTCATCAGGCAGACAATTTCAACATCATTACGTTATAGACATTACCATAAATGAAATGTCACTTTGTCACAGGTCGTACATGTAGACGCTTGTACCATTTGAGTTGTGCACTAATCGTCACTGTTTTGTGAAGTGACGTAGTGACGAAGTGACGCATCCGTCCAAAACCGAGATTTTCTGAAATCTGAGATTTTTGGATATTCTAACATTTTATGATGTCCTCTACGTGACAACCAAATTTCGAGACACAACATTCCATCGTTCGATAATTACGCTAATTGCACAAAGTGTTGAAAGTGCTACACGCTAAGTTTTGCGTTTTGACGAAGTGATGAATCTCTATGTGTCACAAAGTCTCATTGATTTTACACGTGTGCTATATTTAGAAATATGAAGCCTCCACGATTTGCGTTTTGACGAAGTGACACATCTGCGTTCTAAAATGTATACATTTTATATATGCGCACGCGCTGTGTACAAACATATGCCTCTTTTTTGTGAAGAAGTAGATTTTCCGTTTGACGAAGTGATGGATATCTTTAGTAAATAATATCTTCTAATTAAACGCGATTTTATGAACAGAGAGAGTTGTTTTTGGCTATTTAACTCCTGGGCTATTGTCTCAGACTCTCAGTTATATATTTTTCAATTCTGGTGGAGAAATCTACACAAAACTGCAAATTGAAAAATCCACCAACTTCAAACGCAGCTCAAATCTTGGTTTTCCATCTGTGTGCACAGATTCGTCACTTCGTCAAAACGGTGATGTAATGTACAAAAGTTTCTACATGTTGTATCAGGAAATCCTGACTAGACCGAGGGATAATACAGTCTAGTCCTAGATTGCTTTCTTCCTTTTTTTTCCAGTTCATGAAGATATCATTTGGGGCAGATACTGGCATGATAAAAGAAAGTTTAATGGAAATTGTCTTAAGATTCTTCTTTTAACCCTCCTCAATCCTCCAAAGTCCTCTGGGCAGTAATGGAGGATTTTGGAGGATTGAGGATGAATGCAACCTACAATTTTGGAGGATTGTGGAGGATTGAGGGCCCATGGACATTCAGTATCGGTTGATTTTGGAGGATTGAGGATGAATGGTGTTTGAAGAAGAGGAGGAATTTGGAGGATTGAGGATGAATGCATTTTGAGACTTTTTGAGAGGCAGGACTGTCTGACGATTTTGAAGGATTGAGGCGCTGGGTATCCTTCATTTGAACTAAGCAAGTGCAAAATTTTGTTGGACTTTGGAGGATTTTGGAGGATTGAGGATGGTTCCTAACTTCCTAGCAAAAAGGGACTAGGGGGTTAGGGTTAACAAACAGATGAATTCTAACTGTGAAAGTTTAAAACAAGCTTTTAAAATTTAAACAATCCACCTTATAATTTGAAAAAAAAATAAAATAATAATTAATAGAGTCCCATCTGTTGCACAAGGTATAAAACAAGTATTTTAAAATGAAAGTTCATGCACGACCACTTCCGTTTCAACAAGTACACGTATACTAATGCAGATGTTGAAAAAATAGACTTTGAAATTTGAACAACTGTGCCCTGATGGAAAAGTCCCATACGCTGGGCAAAGCAATATCTACTGGTAATGACACACAGGAGTGGCTGGATGCATTGAAGAGTTTTCATTTTTGTACCAATCATGCAATGGGGCTTAGAAATATTCTTAGTAACAGCATGTTTTACTGAATTAAACTAAAATGATATCTAAAACCATTCGCTTGAACCACAGCATTGTCATTCTATCAATTTAGGGTCCAAAGTTTGACATTTTTCCTGTCCCTGTTACCTTGGTACTTCGCAATTGGCCATTCAAGTATTAAGAATGACTTACTTCAAACAACGTTTATTTGTTAGTTAGGCACAACTTACAAGTAGTTTGCTATTCATAATCACTCTCTTGGAAGACAACTGCATTAGGGAGTGCATCAAAATTACAAGTCACAGTTGTCAGATTTTGCTAGGAAACCTTCTGAATCCTACAAACTCTAATATTCTGCAAGAAACGTGTGGCACTCGTCACCATGAGCTTGAATCTTGTACAATAATGTACCATGTAGGGACAATTTACAGCTGTCATGGAAAGTCATGGAATTTTTGTTGTTTTACCGTACAAGGAGGCACGGGAAGTTGATTTTGTCTTGGTAAAGTCGTGGAATTCCATTTCAGATTTTTAAACAACAAAACCAGTAGGTGGATTTTGGTGGGATTAGGCTAGCTGGGGTTAACCCTAACCCACCTCACTCCTCCAAAATCCTCCTGGCGGTTTTGGAGGATTCTAGAGGATTGAGGATGAATGGTGATTGAATCAAATGAGGATTCTGGAGGATTGAGGATGAATGGTGATTGAAGCACATGAGGATTTTGGAGGATTGAGGATGAATGGTGAATGAAACGCAAGAGGATTTTGGAGGATTGAGGATGAATGCATTTTGAGGCAGGACTGTCTGATGATTTTGAAGGATTTGGCGTTGGTTATCCTTCATTTAAACACGAGTGCAAAGTTTTGGGATGAGGAGGATTTTGGAGGATTGAGGATGAATGCATTTTGAGGCAGGACTGTCTGACAATTTTGAAAAATTTAGGCGGAGTTGAAAAATTTTGGAGGATTTTGGAGGATTGAGGATGGTTGTAAGCAACAAGGGCCTAGGGGGTTGATGGCTAGTATGTGAGTAATCAATATTGTGCATATGAGTATCAGTTTCAATAAAACCATTTTGGAAAAAAAATGCAGCAGCTGGAAAGAGGGAAACAACATACAAACAAACAAACAAACGAACAATGTTTTTACAAATTTTGGGCCAATTTTGCAGGAGAGACTGTCAATAGTGTTAGAGCAATGCAAATAACCTGCAGGTGTGCTTAATTGGGTGATCAATAGCAATTAACATATTGACATTTGATAAAACAAACCAACCGACCTCTGTTAATATCTGAGTGGGTATTTAAGTAGTAAAATTAATCCCGTCCTGAATAAATTCTGTTACCTTGGAATTTGGGAGTACATATGTACATATGCACAGCATTTATCACAGCATAGTAAAAAATAAAGTTTGTGTTGATGCCAAGCTTGTATGCATGACGCAGATTGTTTTTATCTTGAAATTAGAAACAGAAACTGCCTGGCCACGTCCACATGAATTAGCTTTTAAACCCCTTTGAGCTTGTCGATTGCAGTGGGCACATCTGCTTTTGTGTGGGCAGATGTGATGCAAATGTAGGCAAAAACCCTTTGTGGTGGAAATGTTTTATTCACAATTTTTCATCTAAAAGCAGAGATGAATATATTCTCAAGGACTGGTTGTTGAATATGGGGAGTTTGGATGTCTCTCTCTCTATTGCGGAAACACCGGATTTAGAGCTCAGTTGTTCAAATCGTAACTTTCACCAAGTGAAAGGTTTTCACTTTTTACAGATAACATTACAGATACTTGTACCCGGTATGCGTTTTTCCTAGCTCAGACGTACAGTTTGGACAATTCATCAGTGTGCATTATTATAGTTAAAATCATAAAGAGGACTTTAATTCTGATAAAATGTATCAGTTAGGCCAAAAAAAAAAAGTCTCCGGTTTCTGGTATGCGTGCGCGTCGCCGTAGCCATGCGCGTCGGCAAAATGAAAAAGTTTTTTTTTCAATACAAGATGATGTCTCAAAACTGCCAAACTCACTGGTTTGACTAGAATCCTGCTGCTGCACAATTTTAACTTGTTTTTAGATGGGGTTATGATCGAGAATAAGCTTTATGTGGCCTCTCTGGACTCCCATAAATTTGCACTAAGTTTAGTCGGGCACCATTTGCAGTCATCAGCCGACATTTGAAGCAAAAAAGTCAGGCAAAAAAAAAAAAAAACAGGTAAAAAGAAAAAAAAAGCCGCGTCGCCGCACCACTTTTGGGGCAAGCTCCATACCAGAAACCGGAGACTTTTTTTGTTTGGCCTTAGTTACTACAGTGATTCAAAAAAGAAATTATATATCCAACTTTTTCGCTGTGGTAGAAAATGGCTCAAAACACCATGGTGTGAAATGTTCTCAGAAAAAAATAGATTTTTTTGTATTGCGCCAATGCTTTAATTTTTCAATTGCAAGAAGCAGTTGAACGTTGTTAGAAATAAAGTATATTTCAATAAAATACAGGTAATGTGCTTCAAAATGATATCCATGTTTTTGTTGTGGCGGTTGGACTCTTGAACTTTCTGGCATTGTTGTTTGTACATGAAATTCCATGGACTTGCCCATAACTGACAAAATCATTGTTCCCTGTACATGTACGTGTGCATGTAAATACCTTGCACCAGTCTTGGCAAAAGACCAACGTTGCGAAGACTTCGATATTTTTTACACAACACAAACACAAAAGTTTGTGAAAACTAGGCAGTCTGCAATATGCTTCAACAGGTGTTGTTGATTGTGGAACGGTATGCCACCCCATGGGCATGGCTTCATTACTTTAGTACAGTTGTGCTTTCAAGTGAATTTGTATAGCTTGGCCATGACCATAACTGTTCGAAAAGAAAAAGTTGTGAAGGAAAAGGCGGGGCTACGGATAGACTAACAATGTCTCTGTACGCATGACTTGCCATATACCGGTGTTGTTTATTAAAGTGATGGCGAAGCAGGAGGGAGGGATTAATATGCATCACTGAGCTGCGATCCAAAAGCTGTAAGGGGGGGGGGGTAAAATGAGATTTGTTCAATAGGCGGGGTCTCTTGACTAAATAAACTGTTGAGTACCTGGTACATGGATATGTACACAGTAGCCTTTGTGAAATGGCTAAACGTTTTTGAGATCTTAAAATAATTGCTAAACATTTACAACAAGTATTGCAAAGTCATATCCCTACTTGATGCCCATTGGAAGTACCTGTAAGAAAGGACAAATGTGCCATTTGCTTTCTGCATGTTGGAAGATTCTGGAGGATTGGCTTTTTCTAAACACAAACACATTGGGATGGGATTATACATAGATTGACCCATCAAAGTTTGCAACAACAAAAACCCACTTTTGCCTATGGAATTAACACAACACTTCAAATTCCTTCAAGGTAATATTTTCTGTGGAGTATGGATAACACCTCAAATCTCTGCACAGATGTTTTATTTGGTTTAAGCTCAGGGCAAGCAGGGAGATTCGGTCACGCTTCACTGCTCTCCTCAGTGCTGTATTTGTGTGTGTGTGCATGCTCTGTTTGACACAGTTATTTAAACACTTCCTATCCCTTCACTTTAATATAAAAAATAACCTGCAGGGTTCTAAAGTGTTTTACATATTGCTCTGAATACTGACTTCCCACAAAGAGGGGGTTAAACGATTCATGAATGAAAAACTTCTTGTTTTTCTGATTTGTTGTCGTTCAGGTTTCAAAGGCGAATGGATGGCTGTACGAGAGCAGTCCCTGTTTGTCGGCGGCCTGGGCAAGGAATGGACGACAACGTCCGGGGAGCTGGTCAACCTGAATCCCCAGTGGGTCAAAGTGGTCAGTTCTCAGGGGGCTGTCCGGCATGTCAGCTGGGTGAAAAACTACAACGCCATGAGGAACGAGGCCGGATATCCCTATCCAGGTAAGGCTGTGTCCACATCTCTAATGTCTACGTCTTTGACATTTACAACTACATGGGTACCAGTGGTGAATCTGAGGATCTGAGGGAGGGGGGGCGGTTAGGTTAAAACCTCTCTTAGGTTGGAAGAAATCGGAAAAAAAATGAAGAAAGATGCCTCTTTGGTAGTTCCCCCCCCCCCCCATCCAAACCTGGACCCGTGCCTGGGTACATGCTGACAGTAGCCATAGCTAAAATGCCGGCTTCAAACACGACCTAATAGCTGATTTGGAGCAGTGAAATGAGCTGTCCAAAAAATGCACTGACACTGTGGACAGTGTGTTGAAAGGGCGGCCGACACGGTTCACAGGGACGCGTATTATTTTGCTGGCCAATGCCACCTCAAAAATCACACCAACCTTGACACCTGACAATGATTCAAACCGCTGCAAACTGCTCACTGACCGGATTGACCGGAAATATGCAAATCAACATAAATAGCTGGCCTAACGATTCGGTCTAAAGCAAGACCTCTTTCAAAGGCAAAGGGCAACCTTGAATACAATGGCGCTCAGTCATCCGATACCTCAGGAGTGCAATTAAGGTATCAGTGGAGAGCTATTAATAAATCATTCTTTTGGATGCAACCACACCGACCTTTTTTTGACACACCTTGCTCTACAAAAGACAAACCATTTTTATCTGTCACAAACAGTCAAGAATTATTCCCCTTCCCCTTACATGCCTTTGAGGCAGGCTAATCACCAACAGTCAGATCATATCCCATAGGCACAGTGACCAGTTACATTCCATCAACAGACAAAAGCTGGTAACTGCTAGTCACAGCTGGCTTATCAATCTCCTACAGCCAAGGCGTAGCTGTATTAAGTTTCATAACAATCAAAACCAGTCAATCCTTCTTTATGTCAGAAGGGCGCGCTCAACTGTTACAAACAGCCACTTGATATGTTTTGACTGCTGGGTTGGCCTTGTTGAAATTGCCAGCCAGAGAGGGTGGGTTGATACACTGTTCACAACGATTGAGAATGGCACAAAGACACCATGGACTATTCTAGAGTTTGTGGTTGCTGGCATAAGGATTGGTCCGAATCACCTGATAAATCAAAAGTGTACTTAATGTGGAGAAGTCAAATTTGAATTTGTAAATGCAATAAAAGAGCTTGAAATACATGGACATTAGTTGTTGTTTTTTTTTGGGGGGGGGAGATATGGTTTCATGCTCATGCCGGGTACCAGCATAGATGTACTTAATGTGCTGTCGTCATGGTTGATATAAGGGTACCAGCAGAAAACACTTCCTTCCTGTTTCATCCTTCTAGGTTACATGATCCATGAGTCTGGAGTGTGGAGCGACGTCCACCAGCGCTGGTTCTTCATGCCCCGTCGTGCCAGCACCGAGCGCTACACCGAAGCCGACGATGAACACCGGGCGACCAATCTCCTCATCTCATGCAGCTTGGACTTCTCGGACGTCCGCATCAACCGCATCGGCGTCCTCAACAAGATCCGCGGCTTCTCGTCGTTCAAGTTTGTGCCGGGTACCGGCGACACAGTGATAGTGGCATTGAAGACGGAAGAGGACCGGGGAAAGATCGCCACGTACTACACCGTGTTTAACATCAATGGAAAGACGCTGGTTCCCGACACCAAATTCGCGGATATCAAATATGAGGGGATTGAGTTTATTTGAATGTCTCTTGCAAATCGTGCTTTTTCTTAAACCCCGTTTGAAACTGCTTCTCTTAAAACGCGCCAAACCAAAGTATTCGTAAGATTTGAAAGTGTGAAACAGTTCGAGTACACGTCAAATTTGTCGAGAGGTCGAATGTTGCAGTTGTTTGGACTGACTTCACAATCGAGGCAATGAAAAAATATGCATACAGTTCACCTATCTTAAACTAAAATCTATTTGGATCGATTAAAGTCACGCTTAATACTTTTTGACTCAGTGTGACTCCAAAATGAAAGTTAGCGCGATATAAATTAGAAAATTTAAGGTTAAGCTTCATCCCTTGAATTGGCCTGAACTCATTTCGGCAAACTGGGCAAGGAACTGTGCATAAATATGACGTTAAAAATTTTTTCCTCATTGAAGGTTGTGACAATCATACATTTTTGGGCCCGTAGTGTAATCACGCTGTTGTACAATTGCAAAAAAAAAAAAACCAGGAGTGCCTTATTAGCTGTAGTGCCTTTTGTCTTTGTATTATAAAGTGCAATGGAGAAGTTTTTGTTTGGCAAAATTAAGACAGACTTTCTAAAGTATTCTGTATTCCAATTGAGAGTGAAAATGTTAAAAAAAAGTTTAGAAGACAGATTTGCTGAAGTAACATATAATTAGCTTGAAGTTATTGGGAGATAGATGGATAGGAAAGAAAAAGAGAGAAACCAAAAAAAAGCTGCAAACTTTTAGAAATGCGGTACTGCATTACTGTTAATAATAACAATAATGGAGATTTTTTGATGCGCCATGTCTGTCACATAATGACACTCCTGGCGCAGTAGTATTACCCTGCTCATTGGGCCAATGAAACATTCCAAATACCATCTCAGCTCCCTGGGGAGTATACAGCTCAATGCTGCCATTTCCACCAAAGCAGCTAAAATCATTCACAATAACCATCTCTGCCCTCACAGGTACCCATTTACTCCTGGGTGGGGAGAAGCAATGAGTGACAAAGTGCCTTGCCCAAAGGCACACGCACCATGGCCGCAGAATTACCCACAGACCATGAATCCTTTGCTCCAGACCACGAGGGCAGTGCACTCCAATAGCATGACATGCATTTTCTTCATGCGATGGGGGGGGGGGGGGGGGGGGGGGGGGGGGCGGGGGGGGGGGGGGGGGAATAGTACTGCGTTGCATAACTAATGAGGGCACATGGCAACGTGAAAATCCCGAAGAAAATAGTGAAAAGAACCCAAACTTGATTTATAGGAAGTACAGTACTTTCCCACCAAATTTGATAAGTGTATGAAAGTGAGTTGTTTATAATTTTGTTTTTACCATTAATGTATAGTGTTCTCTTTAGGTTTTATGTTGTAGCATAATCAGTGTGAAAAACTTGTAAATTGATAAAAACAAAGTTTATTGAAGTATAGATATTATTCTTACGCATTTGCATTTATATGGTCGTATATTTATGTGCTGCAAAATCTTTTAACTTTTTTCCTGAAACTTTAAGTTAAAATAAAGTATTTGACATGAAATATCTTGTTGTCCCATATATTTGGTAGGGAACCTGTGCGTAAAGTTTGCCTCTTTAGTATTCTTTCTGACTCGACTAAACTTGACTTTGAAAATCAAACTTGACCTGGGGTATCTACCGGTATTCTAACGTGTCTATTTAAATGTACCGATGAGGTTGTTGACATTTATAGCATTAAGTAAACAGTACAGAGGCAGTGGACAATTTGTCTGTTTCTGTAGTGTTTGGTTTTGGGGACTGGTCCTGACGACGACACAACGTTTGTAACAAGTTACTTGCTATCAGTCAAGTAGTTTGATAGCGAGATAGCCATGGCTAATTGAATTAGAAGTTGTCCGCTTGATATGTACGTGTTGCTGTTGTTTGATCTCGGATAAGTTTTTTTGTCGGTGGTGGAACGGATACTCGAAGGATTCCATGCAGTGTCCTCTATCCGGGTTTCATATCTGATCTGGCAGACTAAAAATACAATTTTAAGAAATCAGACCACTTTGCGTTTTGTTTTTACAACGACCAATACATTTTTTTCAATGCATAATAGAGTGTCAGTTCTTTGACTGTTGCAAGGTCTGAACTAGACTTTATTCAAGACTGGATTTTAGATGTGTGTCTCTCCCCCATGCCAGCCATAAAAAAATTTGCCGTTAGGCCAAAAAAAAAAGCCTTTTTTTTTTTTGGCCTTACTGGGTGTTATCAACACAATTCACTTACACGGTTATTCTCAAATTGAAACTGACAAAAGGCAACTGCCAGTACGGACATTGACAGTAAGCTCGTGCGAGTGGATAGTTTAGTTTGCGCCCTCTTTGTGGGACTTTGTGAGAAAGTGAGAATAACAAATTACAAATCTGTCTTGAACTAAGACTAGGTCACAGGAGGTGGCATGGCATCTCGCCGTGCAGATGGAAGTAATTTGACAACTGCTGGACTGTGTACAAGTCTATTTATTACACATTTTGAGCATTGATTAAAAAAAATCCTCAAGGGGCTTTGTATTCTAGTCATGCCCATATTTAAGAGGTAGAGTTTGAACCAGTCCTCTTTGCAGTCACACATTTAACTTTTGAAGCGCATCTGTAGCTGTATATTTTGGTACGCGTTGTACATATTTTGTAAAAATGAAATGTGCTATTTATAAGTTACCCAGTGCAGTTATGGTGTGAGATTGTTTCTTGTAAGAAAAAATAAGGGCCAAAGGTGATGATATTTAACAACGGTTTTTGTGAGTTGCATTACGTAGGTTATCTTGTTTAACTTTCTTTGTGCCAAAGACTTATGTAGATCCCTGTGGCAACTTGTCCAATATTTAACATTTAGCAACACGGTAGATCAACGTAATTACGATTCTCTGCTAAACATTTTCATAGAAAATTCTGTTTTGGCTTGTGTTAAGAACAATGCATCATTTTAATGAAGGCATTTGTTTCTGTGGCACCTAACTTCATTATTGTGAGTAGTCTTGTGAGTCACTGGAAATCTGTTAAATATGAGTTCAACAGTTTATAAGACAGTGTTTCTTATACGACTCAATGTTCTATTTAAAAAAAAATTGGGAAACAGTATTTCTTATACGACTCAATGTTCTATTTAACAAAAAATTGGGAAAGTATATGTTTGGATGTTGTGCATGAAATATACCGATCCCTGAAGAAAGATAGTCCTAATTTTACTTTGCATTGGAGTCAGGAAGATGGCCATATCCAAACTAATGAGTGCGACCTTAATAACAGGGTTCCAACTTCCCAGCACTTTATGAAAACAAAATTCCCCGAGTTTTCCCTGAGAAATTTTCAAAATTCTATGAGAAATGTTTTCACTTTTAACAAGGTTGCTGGGAAGTCAAGAGGTGGTGTAGGTGTAGCACAGCCAATTGTTTTTGTCTGGAGAGGTGTGTAATATTCACACTGTACAAACAATGAAAAAAAAAAAAGCCACCCTAAGGCCAAACAAAAAAAGTCTCCGGTTTCTGGTATGGAGCTTGTCCAAAAAGTGGTGCGGCGACGCGGCTTTTTTTTTTTTTTTACCCGACTTTTTTGCTTCAAATGTCGGCTGATGACTGCAAATGGTGCCCGACTAAACTTAATGCAATATATGGGAGTCCAGAGAGGCCACACAAAGCTTATTCTCGATCATAACCCCATCTAAAAACACGTTGAAATTGCGCAGCAGCAGAATTCCAGTCAAACCAGTGAGTTTGGCGGTTTTGAGACATCATCTTTCATTGACATTTTTTTTTCATTTTGCCGACGCACATGGCTACGGCGACGCGTGCGCATACCAGAAACCGGAGACTTTTTTTTTGGCCTAACCAGTAAGTCAATGGACATAACTTGGACACACATGGCACAAGATGCGCACATGCCAAACTGGTGAAAACCCTTCCCTTTCTGGGTCACTGTCAAATTCCCCAGTTTTTTTTGGTCTTTTCCCCATAGAGCTGTATAATATATACAGCTCTATGGTTTTCCCCAAATGGAAACTCATTGTCAAGGTTTTCCCTGGTTTCCAGAGTCGCCGGGAACCTTGTAATAAGAGGCCATTACTGGGGTGTTTCCATGCAAATAACCCACAGACCCAATGTTACTTCAACCAATAGGGTTGCAGAAATGTGCGCGCCTGAACTTGAAACATGCATGCAAGCGTGGCAGTGCATTTGTATACGTATGTTCTCATGTTCTCCAGTTTTGTGCATGAACTCTGTAATTATATCTCATATCAGTACATACCTTTACATCATACTTGTATTGTCTGCATTTCCATATGAACATGCAAATGGATACTTTTACCTTACACATTCCAGAGATGTTTCGTTCCAATTTGTTTCTTGCTTTTGTTTTTAATTTTATAAACACCTGAAAATAAAGACATGTTAGGAGTGCAAATGTCTTGATACAGAGCTTGGTTTTATGCAGTGTGTGTGTGTGAAGTGTTCATTTAAGGATGGCCTTATTGGGGGGCGGGAGGAGTACGTTGGTTTTAGTGAAATTGTTTTTTTTGGGGGGGATGCATGTACCTTTGCAACCCATCACAGCTAACATTCCCACCCTCACAAATCCCCACCCAAACAAATGTCCAACCCCACCCCACGTGGAGCAACTGTGACCAATAAACATTTCATCATCCCTGTGGGCAAATAGCTTTCATCATGCAGTTACAATCCTTGTATTGACTAATATCCAACTTTGTCACTACTAAATAAAGCCAAGCCCAATTCATTTCAAATTTTTCAGATATAAAGTTGTGGACGAAGTATTCGCTTGCTTGAGCAGCAAGGGCAGTGGGAAGTTATATATGTATATACATATGACTCTTTTGTTGTGTGTGGTCTTATCTTAAGCTTTTTATAGAAACGGGACTAGGTCTCGTCCCAAGGACGACTACAAATAACTCTGGTAAACTGATTATTGGGTCATCTTTATCTCAATCTTTTTTAACCTTGGCTGCAAAGTATCACGCCACCCTTATATTAAGACAATATTAAGATATTTTGGTCTCATGCAGTCAACCCAATCAAACACTCCCCCCCCCCCCAAAAAAACCCCACACCCCCCCCCCAAAAAAAAAACCAGGGGCAGATTCTTTGGTTTTGATATCAACAAGAGCTTAGGCTGCATCCGAATCAGCTGTCTAGAGCTAGGTCTAGGTCTGCGCCCATTGAAAATACGCGGGGACGCGCTGACAATAGACGTAGCCGTAGCTCTGGAAGCCCGTTTCGGACACGGCCTAACTTCGTAGTCTGAAAACAGACAAAAAATGGCGCCCCTTTCAAGTCTGATACCGCCCAGCGTATAGATTGTCAGGTTGACATATGACACGGGGGTAAATAATTTCAACATTTAGTGCATACCAATACACAAATGTAGACCGCTGCATTAAGTGTGACGCAGGAGTGTGCAGGAGAAGTAGGCCAAGCAAACTGTAGAACAGGCAGCACAGCCAAGACACAGAGCAACCAATAAGATTTGTCCTTTGAAAACAATATAGGTAGAGTAACAAGCAATGGCAGCCATTTTGAAAATTGCTTGTTATTCTACCTATATTTTTTCAAAAGACAAATCTGCGATGGCCATATAGCTAAATATCTTTCTTATTTAGACATACTCTGTGTGCCAAATTCAATGCTTGTATCATCAAAGGCACAATTTGCCCAATTACTGCCCCTATCTGCCTCACTAACTTACCAGCTAAACAATACCAAATGACTGCAGTTGGTTCAGACACGAAAATCAACTTCTCTCAACAAAACCATCTTTTTGTGTCAACAATAGAAATTAATATAGTTTATTCTGTACAGCTGAAATTCTGGCAAACCTTGCAATGGAGATGAACATGCATACATATCACAGTCAATTTAACTGTTGTCACTTCAATTAAAAACGCACTGAAAATAACCGAGTTTTTCACAAAACATTTTGCAGTAAACATGGTAAACTGTGTACTCCCTAATTTCCTGGTTGGATGCAGATGTTTCTTGAATCTTTTTGAAGTCCAACATCGTGAAGTAATCAAATGGTATTGTTATACCATGTGCTTGGATACTGTCATTTCATTGGTCGAGAACGGCCACATGTCCAGTCTGTAAAAACACATGTACATTGTACAATGGTTAACCTCATATACAATGCGCCTTGCACGCACCCGTGTAATAGGCCCAAGACAAGTCAATTCTTAAAAATAATCTTCATACCCTCTAGATCAATAATCACAGCACAACAAAGACACATGTCATTCTGAAGCTGGGAACATTCCACGTCAAAACAAATCTACAACAAGTTGTCATAAAATTTAATATTCTATTCCAAAGTTCAATAAAAACGGTTGTCAGTTTGCAGTTCATCAATCTTTCCCCTCGTAGAATTTGGATAAGAAATCTGTCTTGGGCGGTTTCTCCGACTCTCTGAAGTACCGCATGACATGGGTTCGCTGCTTCCAAACGCAGATGGTTTCCTCTAATTCCATCTTGCCCTGAAACAAAACAATACGAAAAAACCCCCCAAAATTTCAGTACCATAACATTTAAATGAACTAGTCAAATAAACTGTGACATCGGCATCCCTGTGAAAGTTCATCCGCTGTTAGTTGTGACTGGACTTGTGAATTGACCCGTGACTAACATGTGAAACAACTTGTGATTGACTCATGATGGTTTCAACTACACTACTCAAATTTTCAAATCCTAAACTTTGCCATTAAAACCACAAATACATTAAAATAAAATGTATGATTTTTTATTATGATATTTCTGTTTCAATCAATGTATTCCACTTTTTTTGTACTTTTCTAAATATTCACAAGATACATGTGAAGATGTGAAGGACAAGTTGAAAGTCAAACTCTTATAATGTGATTATTACAAACATCTAAATAAACATGATGATTCCGCCACAAACCAGTTCCCCTGCAATTATTATTTAGTACTGCCATAATTTAATCTCAAACTAACAAGAGGCATGAAAATGCATACAGCGTGCCACTGATTTTGTTATCGGCGTTGTTCAAATAGCCGACTTTCATCGAAAGGTTGACCCTTGTACTGATCTCGGGGGAAGATCCTGGACCGAATTCTTTGCCATAAAAGGACAACAAACTTAGAACGAGAGATTAATTATTGTCAGCTTGAAATTTTGGGTGGGATAAATTAATGGTCGGGTCATTTGACGTGCGTCTGTGAACAAATCATGTGTAAGATAATGCTGAAAAATGGAGGAAATAATAGAAAATGAAAAATACTGTATGTAAGCAATTGGGGAGGGGGGGGGGGTAAGACTTGAAAAATTGTACAAACCTTGATAACGAGCAGATCTATGGCCCGGGGATCCTTAACATGGGCGTTCTTCATGAACTCTTCTCGTAGCTTCACACGGCACTGCTTCACCGTCAGGTCCAGCTGGAATTGTCGCACTGTTGAGAAACAATATTAAAAAACCTCAGTTAGGCAAAAAAAAAATAATATTCGGTCTCTGTTCAGACCAAAGTTCCGGAACTGACGTGGGGACGCGGCTTTTTTTTCGGCTTTTTTTTTTTTTCTTCAAGCTTGGATTGTACAGACAAGGTGGGGTACTATTTTGCTATTTGGTGTCCTCATGTACATTGGTGTCCTCCATAATTTGCCTTGGTGCTCCCGATCATTTGCCTTTGTGCAATTTCCCATTCCTTGGTGCTCTTTGGTAAAAAAAATTGAGGAGGTGCGGCAATAGAGGGCGCTGTTGGAGCTACCGCGGAACATTTTGGAAAAAATGTTGCATGATTAAAATCGACGCGCGCGCTGACCAGAGACCAACTTATCTTGTTTTTTTTGGCCTTAAGTTCATTGAAAGGGATAACTTTTAGTTTTCCAAGTGAAGGAGGGCCTCTTCCCTCAAACCGCTAGCTGCTTTATTACAATGACTTGGATCTTATTATACATTTTGTTTTAGCCAATCGGATGCATTTTGCGATTATCAGAAGCAAGAGGTTGTTAGGGTTAAACAAAGCCCTCTGTTTTAAAAGTGCCACGTTTTTTCCCCAGTAACTGAGACCTACAAATAAATGACAGTGTTGCATAATTGTGTTACCAAAACTCTTCCCTACATTTGTGAGTGTGTGTGTTATTGGTTAACTAAACAATTAAAAAAGGTTAATCAACAGAATACGGCTAAAGGTACCTAAAGTAAACAAAGGAAGTATAACAGACCGACGGACAAACAGAACTTTTACAGCTTTATCGTACACACAAAATTTGTTTCGGCCTAACATAAAAGTAGGCTAATGACCTTAACATACAATCATGTTTCCAAAAATTTGCTACGTTTGAAGGACAACCTGTATGACATTAAACCAGACAGCCTTTGGATTTGACCTCCACGGGGGGTCCCAGGGCGGGCATATTTAATCTGCTGACTCTTCCAAGATAACCGTGATACATCTGGGTCATTACCAGAGAGCAAAGTCTTCTTTAACACTATTTATAACATTAAAAAGGCCACCCAGTAGTGGAAAAGACCAAGTGCCCTTCATGCAGAAACCGTTTCGATACTGTCCAAGTTTACAACTAGTAGGTGTAATGACATTAATAGCAGTGTTTGCAAAAGCCACAGTGTGCGATAACAATTGAGCCATCTTGCAGTACGTGACTCATCAGGCACGCTGCTGTGCACGCGCTCAACATGTGTGCTAGGATTCCATCAATCCAATGTACATAGTTCATAATTCAGCTGTGTTTGCCTTAGTTTGTCAGGCCACATCTCATACCCGTGTTGTCATATTTATACAATGCTTTTCATGGATCTTCAAAGTCACTTAGGCATCCTTGGAAGTCGGAGTCCAACTGACTACCTCGGAAGCACATGTTCAAGCAAAAACTGAGAGCTCAAATGCAAAAAGACAAAATCAGCCCTATTTTATGCCTGAGCCATGTTAAAAAAAACCCCCAAATTCTCCTAATTTCTAGGCAATGATTTGGTCTTACATGTAAGTGTTTAATCAACCCCTGAAGTCCGAGTTCCCATCAAAATCCCTAACTGAGTTTTCCTTCGAACCAGGGTTTTAGGGGTGTCCACTGTCTTGGCACCTTTTGGACATGCTGTGGGCTATTCATTGTTTGGCAGCCCTATTGTTTTCACGCAAATGTACATTGTACTATTAGTAAATATGACAAAATGGAATTTCAGCAACTTGGACACCCTCTTTTCAAAAAAAAATTCTACCACTTGCAAGAGAGTGCAAAGCTGATGTGAGTTAATCTTAAAACATAAGACCGAATGGCACATGCCCCCCCCACCCCCACCCCCCCCAAAAAAAAAAGATAGGAAAAGAGCAACCCAATACCATGGAGCGCTGTGGTCCAATGGTTACGGTGTTCGACTCACGTGCCATGGTACGTGGGTTCGAACCATGACGGGGAAAATGGTGCTTATGCTCTTGGGCAAGACACTTTACTAGAATTGCCTCTCTCCACCCAGGAGTATAAATGGGTACCTGTGACGGGAGCCCCATAATGTGGCCAGTTTACTGGACTGCCTCCGTAAACATAGGCCACACAGCCACCATCTTGGAAACTGACTCGGCGAAATTTTGAAAGTGATTTCCACATTGCGACTGCAGACCCAGTTCATTTATGCTTTAAAAATACACTTACCCTCTTAATAACAAAATTAGAACCTGCTGGCTTTCTATAAGTTGTATTTTTGGGAAAGAATTCCATATACGAAGTTCACTCAACACCCTGTGTACAAACCCTATGAGATTGGACTGAAAAATTCTAAGTGTTTTCTAAGAAAATGCTTGTACATGTATTTTCTCACTGCTCAAATTGACTTTGATGTCATGAAATTGCTATCTGGGGGCTTGTTAGTCAATACAGAGGAAAATTAGTGAACTTCTTATATGGAAATCTTTCCTATTTTTGTAAAAATTATGCCAATAATAATTGTCGTTCATTAACCCTAACCGCCCTGAATCCTCCAAAATCCTTTTTGCAAATTGGAGGAATTTGCAGGATTGAGGTTACATGGCAAAAGTGCGTTGCTGATTTCGGAGTACGCACTATGTCAAGGTCTTGGGCCGGACCATGTGTTGTTTATGCTCAGCCGTGCATAAATTTTGTCCTTGATTATACTTGTTGACATCCTCCGCACTGCTCCAGAATGTCACTGCCTCTGCCTCAGCCTATTGACAGACATAGCCGGAGGATTTTGCAGGATTCAGGCAGTGGTCATCCCTCCATGGACCATATTCAAGAAATAAAGGAGGAATTTGCAGGATTGAGGCTAGGCCTATAGTATATGCTATTTTTCCATGAGGCCAATTGGAGGATTATGCAGGACTGAGGCTACATCCTAGCAAAAAGGCCTAGGGAGTTAGGGTTAATAATATGTCGTTCAATCAAAGAAAGCCTCTCTGACATGTCTGACTTGTTCAAAGTTTACTAAGTAAGATTAAGAAAAATGGTGGGCCCAAATATCCACTGCTATGGCAGCCAAACTTTTATGTTGTTATGTATAGGCCTATGTTCCGAGCATTCAAAGGATAGGCCTAGTGCAGATTTTTCTAGCTAACGAAATGTTAAACAGCGCCCTCTTCCACTGAACTTCTCAAGCACAGCAGTTCCAAATCAAAATCCATCCATGCAAACGCATTCGTTAACTGCTCCCAACCTTACCCAAATCGCTTAATCTTACCCGTTTCTGGTATTTCTCGATACCAGGCTTTGTAAAGCTGAATAACCCTTCTTCTGGCTGCCTCTGGGTTGTTGGTTATCACTTTTACTTGCTTCGCGATCGCAGCCGCTCTAGCCATGTGAGACGCCATGTTGATTTGTGACAGTAAAAACAGAAATCGCTCACAATTTTTGGATCTGCACCTGCGCAGTACGAACCACTTTGCGATTTTTCGAAACCATTTCTTCGGCTTCGCCTTCGGCTTCGGCTTAAAGCTTTATCGCCGACTTCCTTATCAGTGGGAAGCAAACCAAATGCCTTCCAAATTATTATTATATTATTATTATTATTAAATGGAAATATTTTAATCTTTGGCCTTATTATAAATAGTTGCAAATGAGTATACTGGATAGAGTATGCACCAAAATTGTCTGAGTCCTCGAAGGTGGGAGCTTAAAAAAAAATATCTCCTAAAGCCGAAGCAAAGACGAAGCCGGGATTTTGATAAGGCCCAATACGCGGAGTGATCGATAACATAAAAAGGTTCGAGAGCGGAGCGAGTAATGAATATGCATGAGACGTCACTAGAAGCTCATGAGTAATAACGGTACGTATTCGCGTTGAGTGGAGTACTCCTCTTTCTACTGTCGCGCCACCACCCTCTAGTGTCGTCCTACTTACCGATGATCATCACAGGTAGCAGACCAACTTCCATAGACCCCAATGGTAAATGCTCCCACTTCAAAAATTCGGGAAAATACTCACAACTCTCCAAGGTGTTCGAGACACACATCAAATTAAAGCTTATTTCATCATCTTTCATTTTTTTTTTCAATTTTCGGGGGGTCAACTGATGACTTTTAGGAGAAATTTCCATCTGAAGATGATCACCCCTGAAAATAGTCCTGAAGCCCATCGCCATTTTGAAAAACGATGCCTACACTCCATTGCAAAATAGAGCGCTTTTAGGGTCAAAATTACATCAAAATTACACAGAACTGCAAGCTCCCAGTCCTGTGCACGGCTTCCACCCATATTTTTTACAAACCCTCAAGTTCATGGCCCACAGCATGCTCAAATACCGAAGATTTTGAGGGCATGCAAATCGTGATTCGGCCGGCGCAGGCAATTTCGGACCGATTTACTGGTCTCTACACCCTTAACAAGTCCTCTTTCTACTGTCGCGCCACCACCCTCTCGTGTCGCCCCACTTACCAATGATCATCACATTTCACAAGTCCTTTTTCTACTGTCGCGCCGCCACCCTCTACTGTTGCCCCACTTATAGCTTACCGATGATCATCTCATGATCATCGGTAAGTGGGGCAACAGTAGAGGGTGGCGGCGCGACAGTAGAAAGAGGACTTGTGAAATGTGATGATTATCGGTAAGTGGGGCGACACGAGAGGGTGGTGGCGCGACAGTAGAAAGAGGACTTGTTAAATGTGATGATCATCGGTAAGTGGGGCGACACTAAAGGGTGGTGGCGCGACAGTAGAAAGAGGAGTACTCCACTCAACGCGAATACGTACCGTGATACGCATGAGCTTCTAGTGACGTCATATCATGCATATTCATTACTCGCTCCGCTCTCGAACCTTTTTATGCTACCGGAGTGATCACTATATTTAACTTTGTGGCCATATCCACGAAAAATGGCGGCGACTTGAACAAGTTTTGAACGGAGACTGGAGAAAGTGTTCTTACTTGTTCTTCTGGGGAAAGTCAGGTATGATATTTGATTGTTTAAAAAGAACAAGGAGATATATATTTAGAACGAACGTGATTTGTGAGTCTTTTAGGAGCTGACTGACTCGTGTTCTTTCAGTGTTGAACTTGATGAACCTTTGAACGCAGTGGCTATTGTTACGGCAGCCGTAATGCATTTCCCATTTTCTATCGTTACGGTAGACTGCAACCTGGCAACTTTTATAAAAAAACATGACAAGAAAATATAAAATTAGAAGGAAAAAAGTGAATTTGAACTTTATGAAATTCGGACTTTATTTCCCTTTTAAAAAAAATCCTCCAAAGCCTCAGGTTAGAAAAGGAAAAAAATTCGAGTGCAAAACTGAGATCCGAACCCGCAACCTCGCGGTGCAAAATCCTACCCTCTATCGGCTGAGCTGGCGCACTGCTCGATAAAACGTGTGGAAACAAATAATTATATACCTGCGTGCGTACCAAAAAAATATCGTAGAGGGCGCTAAACAACGAGTGCCGTAACGATAGCCACTTCGAATTTTGAAAGCTTAAACATTTGCAAATTGCAGCGCGCGGTACCGGGTGGCCGCGGGGCGGGTTCGCCGTGGCCTTGATGTAGGGTCGGACGTATGTTTTTTTGGGGGGGGGGGGGGCTGAATTTTTGGGACTTATCGGATCTGCCATCACTCAGTATTATTAAACTTAAAGTGAAATGAATGTGCTTGTAAAAACTGAAAGTACTAATACTGGGGCCTAGGAGAAACGGAGAAAATCTGAACTAGTTTAATACTAGTTTAAATCACGATTTTAGCACCGATTTGGGTCACCGAATGACCGATTATTATCCTGGTGTCATGGGTTTTCGTTCGGTGAACTTTAAGTTGCAGTCTTACGTTTCGAAAGATCGTCCGCCATTTACAGCGATATTGTATACGAGATGTACATCATGCACCATTTTATGTTTTCGATCCGTTCATTGAGCGGCAGTTTTTACATTAGTATGGCGCGCAAAATGTTTTTAAAAAAATATAAAAATAATGTTTCCACACTGTCAATCACTATGGACTAACAAATAAAGTTGTTCTTTAAATAATATATGATTCCTCATTTTTTTCCTGTATTTTGTTCTTCTTTATTTTACTTTAAAGTGGTATACATTAATTATTTTCACATTAAATAGAATTGTTTTTACTCAACATAATTATATACATCTGTTTATATTTATAAAACACACAGAATGCAAAGTGAATGCTTAAAAATGCGTTCATTTTTAGGGTCGTCACCTTGAAGAAAAAAACCTGAAAAAAGAGAAAGTCATTTTTTGGTCAAAATGCTGTTGCAAATCTTGATTAAACTAGAGGAAAGGAAAATTGCTTTAGGTCACAGAAGTCATTTGAGAGTGATTAAAAAAAGCTTGAGAACTAAAGACATTTAGGGGTCATAAAGTAAACATTTACTGTTTTTTTTACCTTGGCGTAGTCATCAGTAGTCAAAGTAACTTTGACCTTACTTATCGCTTTTTTAACATTCGGACATGATCTGGCGACTGTCACCAGATCATGTCCGAATATTAAAAAGGCGATAAAGTAGGGTCAAAGTTACTTGGACCAAGTCATCAGTAAGTTTATAGTGAAAAAAATGAATTCTTTCCTGCGACAGTTTTTTTATGTCATGTGTGTAAATCATTTCACAAGAATAATTCAGGCAGCCTGAAAAGTAGCTTTTTGTAAAATGTTGTCTCCAAATGGCAGTTATTGTAAACGAGACACCATAGATTATAACAGAAATCAAATTGGGAATCTTGCAGTGCTGTAACCCTAACCTTCCTCAATCCTCCAAAGTCCTCTGGGCGGTTTTGGAGGATTTTGGAGGATTGAGGCTGAATGCATTTTGAGAGGCAGGGCTGTTGGAGGATTTTGAAGGATTGAGGCTGTGGGTATCCTTCATTTGAATATACTGTAAGTGCCAATTTTTGAGCATTTTGGAGGATTAAGGATGGTTCCTAGCAAAAAGGGCCTTGGGGTCAGGGTTAAAGTTTACCTAAAAAAATGGTTGCATCGTATTATTTACAAAAATATTACAAGTAGTGGTGAAAGTCATTGTGGAACTCTGAAGTCATAGTATTCACTGTAAACATTACTGCTCTGTGTTTTTAACAGTTTTTAAGTCGCCATGGATAGTCCCGACGACAACACCACAGTGTTCCGAATGATGGGGGAGTTTAAGAACTACATTGCCAAAGATATAGGTAAGGTTAAAGGGAATATACAACATTTGCAAACATCGAAAAATAAAACTACCAAGTTTTTACGAAATACCTTACTAGGATGTTGGTAAATGACAGTCTAAAGCATCCTGTAAAATAATGGCACCTGGTGTGAAGTCATTTTCAAGAAAATGGTATTTTTGTATACATTTCCAACGGTGGTCGGCCGACCACCGGGTGCAGGCCAGCTAGAGTGGTTCCCTTTACCTTACAATTTTCCGGCATCTATAAATTGATCCATTTTATCTTTAGTGGAGTCAAGGAACCAGACTACTTGAACATTTTGTGTTTTTCTTGGTTTTTCCAGCATTTTCGAACACAAAACTTCAAACATGTCAGTTAAAACAATATTTGATCTATAATACTAACCCCTCAAATAGTTCATTTCTGAAAATTACAGCAAAAGCCAATGATGTACATTCCCTTTAAACACTGCTGGGTAATTCCAGCATTATGGAAAAAAAATGCAGTGTCTGTGACAGAGCCAATTAACCATGATATCTAATTAATGATTCAGAGAAATGATCCCAAACTCCTAGTCTGTAATCTCCTTGACCATTACTAGATGACGGATGTACAAGATTTGAAAAATGTTATTCTCAGATTTATTCACTAAGCTCTTAAAATACAAAAAAAAGTCGATTTGTAATGTCCATGACGCTGCTTTTCCTTGCACTTAGGTTTCAATTTGGGGTAATCGAATGACAACTCACAATTGTAAAAATTGTAAAAAGAATCACAAGAATTCTCTATTGGTAACGAGCGATAATTTGTGTTTTGCAGAGAGGCACAAGAAGGACCAACAGAGTCGTGAGCGGGAGGGGGCGTTGCTGTCCGCCCAGAGTCGCATCGCCAAACTGGAGGCGGAGATGGATGGCCTGAAAGCCACCCACAAGCGCTCCAGGATGGAGTTTGAGAGAGACGTGGAAAAAGAACGAAACAATCGAGAGGTTCGGATTTTTTTTAGTGATTTGTGACCATCAAACCACAGCAATGTGGTTCTTGGGTTTTGGTGTAGTACAGCTACAATATATTGTCTAATTTACTGGTGTCCATTGTGCGCATCTGTTTAGTGAACCCTTTTAACCCTTACCATCCCAAATCCTCCAAAATCCTTTTTGCAAATTGGAGGAATTTGCAGGATTGAGGTTAATAATATCGGAGTCTTATATAGCGCACTTATCTACCAACTATTAGGTACTCAAGGCGCTGGAGATATGTCTATTATTAAAGAAAGGTAAATAAAGTTTATGAGAAATGTGAGACCCATTAAGCAGCACCTTATAAGGGTTTACAAGGTGCTGCGGCACATATTGCAGCCACTGCCAGAAACACCGGGGCAAACCCCTTCTCTTAACAATAAGTGTTACTGGGTTCTTTAACGTGCACACAACACCCAGGACCTACGGCTTTACTTCCCATCCGAAGGACGAAGTAATAATGGTAAAGTGCCTTGCTCAAGAGCACAAGCACCATGTTCCCACGGTCAGGATTTGAATCCATGTACCACGGCACACGAGTCGAACACCGTAACCATTGGACCACAGCACCCCACAGGTTACATGGCAAAAGTGTGTTGCTGATTTTGGAGGACGCACTGTGTCAAGGTCTTGGGCCGGACCGTGTGTTGTTTATGCTCAGCCGTGCATAAATTTAGTCCTTGATTATACTTGACATCCCCCGCACTGCTCCAGGATGTCACTGCCTCTGCCTCAGCCTATTGACTGTCATAGCTGGAGGATTTTGCAGGATTGAGGCAGCGGTCACCCCTCCATGGACCATATTGAAGAAATAACGGAGGAATTTGCAGGATTGAGGCTATATGCTATTCTTCCATGACGCCAAATGGAGGCTTTTGCAGGATTGAGGCTACATCCTAGCAAAAAGGCCTAGGGAGTTAGGGTTATTAATATTTTTAAAATCTTCATTTAAATGTCGAGTTTGTCTTTCTCTGTTTGTGATAAAAATTCTCTGGATGCATCTTTTCCTCAGACCATCTGATTTCCTTATATTTTTTTTTTACATCTCCTGTATCTATAAAAATTGGAAAACACTGCAGAGTCTTGTAAATCCTGGAATATTCTCTTTTTGTTGTTGTGAACTCCCATTTGCATGCCTGAATTCAAAATTTCACTGTCTGTCTCAGGAAGAGTTGTCCAAGGTGGGAGAGCTGAAGAGACAGCTGGAGTTTGCCGTCAAGCAGGAGCAACGATCCCGCAAGGAGCTTGACGAGACGCGGCGAGCCAAGATGGACATGAAGGCCAACTACGAGGCTGGCATCCAGGACCTGAGACAGCAGAAACTCAAACTGGAGACCACTCTGCAAGATGTAAGTGTCTTGCCCGCACTTTCCACCTCTAAGAACAAAGTTTGAATCCCATCAAGGAGCCAAACCTTTCAGAAATAGTGTTTAGAATTTGGGAGATTCACGGCCCAGGCGAGTCAGGTTGGCATTTTGACCCCCCGGCCCCCGCTTTCCTCTTCTATGACTTGAATTTGAATCCCACCCAATTATTCAAACCTTTCAGATCCAGATATATAATTCATTAACCCTAACCCTCCTCAATTTTCCAAAATTCTCCTGCCGCTTTTGGATGATTTTAAAGGATTGAGGATGAATGGCAAAGATGTTTCGTTTTTTTTGTGGAGGATGCATTACGTCAAGCCAGTAGGCCATATCCTGCATTGGTTATGTTCAGCCATGCATAAATCAGCCCTGTGTTTTTCTCGTATTTCATCCGCACTGCTTCTTAACGTCATTCACACTGCCTCAAACCATAGCAGTAATTGACAGAGGATTTCGGAGGATTGAGGCAGTGGTCACCCTCCACAGACTAACTTCAAGAAATAACGTATGATTTTGGAGGATTGAGGCTGAGTCCAATTTTTTTTTTGGCAATTGGAGGATTTTGCAGGATTGAGGTTGCATCCTAGCCAGAGGGTCTAGGGGGTTAGGGTTAAGTCGCATTATTCGGAAGCTTTCCACTTGCGCGACCCAGGTTCCATTCACACCCAGGCCAAATAGATTTGTTTGTTTTTCAGTCCCTGCCATTGGTCTGTTTGCTAGATTACTTTAGTCTGTGCCAAAGTCTAACGCTGCCCAAAAACTTCCCCGGGATTAAAGGTTTTAAGGAATTCATTCCATGTTTCCTTTTCTTTTTACAGCTTCAGATGTCAAGTCGCTCGCATATTTCAAGATTGACCAATGAAATAACAAAGTGAGTACAAAATTCCATGATCAATTATTATGTAACTTTATCGCTCCTTGACATGCACCCCCCCCCCCCCCAAAAAAAGAAGGCTTTTCTGAGTGAAGAACTTGTATCTTAAAAGATGTTTGTCTTCCTTTTGGGAAATCTAGGAAGAATGCGGACATCAAGCTGTTGCAGACGGATGTTGAGGAAGCGAAGACTCGACTACAGCATCAAATGAGGTAAGAACAATTTAATTCCAGTCTGAACTATTGGCAAGCATGTTTTTGTGGGGTTTTTTTGGGGGGGGGGGGGGAGGGGGAGATGAATATATTTTTTGAAAGTAACCCTTTTTTGAAAAGTATAAACTGGGGTGGGGTTTGGAGCTTCATAGAATTTGGTTGCTTTCCTCCAGTAGAGAAATTTGCTTTGAAAACTGCAGTATATAATGCCATTAATTTTTTTGTCATTGTTTCTTACAGACGGGGGATTGACGCGTCTAGTAATCTGAGAGCAATGGAGGAATATCGCATGGAACTCATGAACGCACAACAAAAAGTCAAGGTAAGGTGAACATGTGAAAAAGAAGTCATTAAAAGATCCGTGTGCAGTTTTGAACCTCTGCATATTACTCATATGCAACAGTTCTGTTAAGGTTGTTGTCTTTAGTGAGTTTTTTGGCATGGTTCCTGGGAAATTGACAGAATTTTCAAATACAGCACAAGTCGAAACACTAATCAGATTTTGTGTATCGGGATTAAGAGTGACAATGGAACAAGTTTGTCATAATTCATTTGAACAGCTTGTCACTTGACTTGTTATAAGACTGGACGACTGTTGATTTACATGAAATCAGGGTTCCCACATTCATGGAAAAGGTTGAAAATCTGGATAATCTTAGATTTTTAAGCTATCATGGAAAAGCATGGAAACTTCAAGGAATTTTATTTCACAAGGAGTCATGGAAAGTTGATTTTCCAAGAAAAAAAATCATGAAATTGTCATCCTGCACAACCTATACATGATGATGTGTAACATTAACCCTAACCGAACTCAACCCATCAAAGTTCAACAGCAGGTTTTGTTTGAATCTGTTGGGATAGGTACAGTACCCCTAAACTGATGGTCTTTTATGCTGGGGTTGGCATACCTCCAGAAACTAAGTTCAACAGTGTGCGTGCACAATTTCCCATGTGGGTGTTGGAATTTGCCAGAATGGGTATGGTTCCTAGTAAATCAGGCTGGGGAGTTAGGGTTAATACCGCAGTCTTCCAGATTATATTCCAGTTTACTATGCTTCCTTCCGAGTAACATCGCGGAACCATGTTACTCCTCTACATTATCAGTTACATTGGTTGCCTATACAATCTCGCATACACTTTAAAATCCTTCTGTTGACCTTCAAGGCTCTTCATGATCTTTCTCGGCCAGATACATTATAGATATGTTGAAAGTTAAGGTCCATTCCAAGTATTCCCTGCGATCCAATGGGCGGTTGCTTGTAGATTATCCATCTGGGAGAATGCAAAAGACTATGGGGGATCGTGCATTTGCACAAGCCGCTCCCAGCTTATGGAACCAGCTACCGCCTGAAATTCAGTCTGTTCAGTCTCTAACAGTTTTTAAGACTAAGCTTAAGACTTTTCTTTTTACAAAGGCATTCGTATAAGGTTTTACTATTATCTATTTTAAATGTAGGTCTTGTTTTTATAATTTTAAGTTTCATTGCTATGACAGTGTTTTCTAAAATATCTAGTGTTTTTTTACATTTAAGATTAATGTTTAATTCGAATTTGTATTTTTAATATCTTAGCTAAACAAATGTTGTAATGCGCATTTGAACATTTCATGGTATATGCGCATAATAAATGCAATTTTATTATTATTATTATTATTATTATTATTATGCATACATGCTCTTTATAATTATTTTGTGCATGTGCAAAGCACCATTGTGATGCTTTTGTGGTATTCGGGGGGGGGGGGGGGGGAGGGGTCTTGTGTTCAACTGGAAGGCTGAAAGGGAGTGGCGTCCTTTGCCTTGTGATGGCTGGCCTGTAAATTGTAAACAGGCTCTTGAGATGTCAAAACATTGTACGAATTGGTCATAAAAAACATATTTTGTCCTGGAAAATTAATGGAAAAGTTGTTGAATTTAATTTGAATATATTTCTGTTGGAAACCATATAAAATTGACCAGAGGATGTGACAGCAATTCAAGACATTTCCAGATTTCCTTAACTTGGAAAAGTTCCAAATGATGAAAAATGGGGTATTCCCCACTCGGGTATTTACCGATAAACTCTAGATTGTTAAGTGTCCAGACAAGAGATGGTGAATGATTTATGACACATCAAATACAAGGTTTATAGCATGTCTAAAGTAGTTGAGTGCAACAACAGGTTGCTTGAATCTTGCTTAAAGCAATTTCAATTTGTTCAGTCCCAAAAAGGATTACAATCTTTGTCAGTTTCAACAGTCTTGTGTCATTTCTGGGACAGGAACTAGAACACAAAGTCAGGGAGCAGGAGGACGCGGCTACCGTAGCCAAAGCCGTACAGAACGATGCGACCAGGCTTGTGGATCTGGAGAGGGAGAATAAACAACTACAGGATCAGATCACATATTACAGGTCGGTTGATGGCAAATCCTTGGGTTGGTCTCCGTACAGAAACAGTAGATTATGATCTTTTGGCATAGACTTATCCAAGTCTCGAGGGGAGTGTGTGGCCTATTGGTTAGGGTTCGTGACTCATGATCAGAGGGTCCGGGGTTCGAATCCAGCCGCTGGTCATATATTGTGTCCTTGGGCAAGGCACTTCACCCCCACTTGCCCCTCTCCACCCAGGAGTATAAATGGGTACCGGCATTAGCTGGGGAGTAACCTGCGATGGACTAGCATCCCATCCAGGGGGAGTAGAAATATTCTCAGTCGTTTCATGCTACTGAAACCGGAGATAAACACCGGCCTGATGAGCCACATTGGCTCGGGACAGACTTTACTACTTACTTTATCCAATGGCCAGGCTTAGGAGCAATTTGTACGGTGGAACTACGCTCATGCAAAGGTGGTGCATGTGAACTCGGTGCTTCTTCGGTCAATAGGGTGTTCAAAATCACAGGTGCAACTGTAATAAAGAACAAATGCAGCGTACCTATTGCAGTGTGACATTGGGGAGATGCATGTAATGTTGCCAAAAAGTACAAAGTCGGCTGTCTAACATTTAAAAGTCTGGTTGACTTGAATAAAGAATTTAACATAAGCTTACCCAAACTATGGAGTGCACTCGCTTGAATTAAAGAAACTGTCGTGCATTTCAAAGGGTTTTACTTCGTTTCATTTAAAATGCTAACCTTTGTTTATCCATTGGCCAGGGAAGTAAACGAGAACAACGCCCTCTTGAAGGAGAAGGCTTCTGGTCTGGAATCCAAGCTGGAACGTACCGAGCAGAGGCTGACAGAAATGGCACAGCTGCAGGTGGAAAATGAGGTACCTGGAGAGGGTGGAGCCAATGCAAATAGCTCATTTGAATATATTCAAATTCCCTTCAAATCAAATAGTGATGTTTACAGTTGCTGAAAAAAAGGAATTTTGCAGTTGCAATTACGCATGCATCTGCACGTTATTACCATCATAGTATTAATTATTGTCACTATTTGTGAGTAGCAAACAATGATTTAAATACCTTTTTTGAATGAATTCCCAGGACATTAATGTTGGCTTTTCTCCCACTTTTTCAGGATTTGCGAATCAAGCTGACAAGATGGGAAAGCATGGACACAGATGCTAGTAACAGACCAAGGTGGGTGAATAATCCCAAATTCAGGAAAATGAGTAAGGCCAAAAAAGAAAAGTCTCCGGTTTCTGGTATGGAGCTTGCCCAAAAAGTGGTGCGGCGACGCGGCTTTTAATTTTTTTTTACCTGATTTTTTTGCTTCAAATGTCGGCTGATGACTGCAAATGGTGCCCGACTAAACTTAGTGCAAATATATGGGAGTCCAGAGAGGCCACATCAAGCTTATTCTCGACCATAACCCAATCTAAAAACACGTTAAAATTGTGCAGCAGCAGGATTCCAGTCAAACCAGTGAGTTTGGCGGTTTTGAGACATCATCTTTCATTGAAATTTTTTTTTTCATTTTGCCGACGCGCATGGCTACAGCGACGCGCGCGCATACCAGAAACCGGAGACTTTTTTTTTTTGGCCTAATGTGATGAAAACAGTTTATCGAGGAATATTGCACTAAAATCAGTCTATTTCATTAACAGTCGTCAAATTTGTAATGTCCTTGACCAAAAAATGACTGTCATGTGCTAGACTGCTAGTATTAATTTATGGAAAAATCTTGCAAGTGTTATTTTTTTTGCTGTGAAATCTACCACAGTTTTTCTAGAATGGTTGATGAATTTTGTTGCTGATAAAAAAAATCACATATATTTGTATGAGTAGTTGAAAGATAAAAAAGTATAAAAAGTCAAAAAAGTATGAGTGTAAAAAAAAATATGAGTGGCAAAAGTGTGGTTTAACCTTTATGTTTAAAAGTGGTATTATATTCAGCCTTCTATTTACATGGGATCCATAGCCTAGCCCATGAAAATAAAACTAATACTAATAAAAACAATAATAGAATTGTTATTTCTTCATTAGTTCTCCATCTCAGTTGTCGGCCAAAATTGCCAATCTGCAGCAGGGCCAAGTGGCTCTCCTGGAGAAACAGGGAGTCTTCCTATCAAAGTAAGAAACCAACTTCCTCCAAGTCAGTTCAGCTTTATTGCCAGTGTAGATAATAATACCTAAATTAGTTTCCACTTGCAGAACTATACCAGCATTCAAAATAATTTGAAGTTGGGTTCCAAATTCTTTGAGAACTTCAAACATGTTGACATCTAGAGGCAACCTATAAAATAGCTTAGTTCCTGCTGTGACATTAATCAATTGAAAAGGCAGTCGATTTCCTCAAACGTCTTTGCACACCTATGAGAACGTGTCTCGAACGCTGAATTCAGGGCTGATTCAAAACATGATTCAGCAACTTTTGATTTGAAATCGAGATCCTAGAATGTTGTTTTTCTCGAAATGTACAGCTGAAGCTGAGCTGAAACTTCATCAGGTTTGTTGTTCAGCACCCTTCTTTAGATTTTGAGCACTTTTGTTGCTTCAAACGAACAAAATGCACAAATTACAAATGATGGACTATACCTTTAATGCCTGAAGTAGATTGGAATTTCAAAGTAATTCTTTATTCAATTTATTTGAATAATTTGCATTCCATGCTCCCAGCTCTCATTCCTTTGAGCAAGCCTACAATGTCTCCCAAGACAAGATAGCCTCCACCATGCAGGAGTTACTCAAGCTTCGAGAGGATAAGAAGCAACAGGAGGACCTGGTCAAACGGCTGCAGAGGAGACTACTCCTGCTCACAAAGGTTGTGTTCAATATCTCACTGCATTAATTTGAAATGGTAAACAACAGTTGCATTAAACAAGACTACCTGGTGAAACGGCTGCAGAGGAAACTACTCCTGCTTACAAAGGTTGTGTTCAATATCTCACTGCATTAATTTGAAATGGTAAACAACAGTTGCATTAAATAAGACTACCTGGAATCCCCTTTCAGGCATTACCTGCTTCTGATGCAAATATGACATGGCAAACTTCACCTTCCACCTAGTTGGCCTTGGTTAGAATCCCACCAAGGACTGCATGTGGATTGATTTTGGAGTACCCGCTTGATACCGAGGATTCCCAAGAACATCATTGCAGGGATTTCCTCTCTGCCTGACGACAGAACATTTCTTCATCATCACCATAATCATCTCTCTCTCTCTCTCTAGATATCTTTAGACTTCTCAGCTACAATAATGCCTTTGTACTTAAGTCTTGGTTTCATTTCCATAAAGAATTAGAATAAATAGCATCAACATAGGCATTGTAAATGCATGTCCTGCTTGGCTAATCGCGATGGCTCTATAAAAAGGGGTCAGATGTTCATTTGGTATGTTAGGGACATTCATGAGACTCTTGGTCCTTGATAAATGTGTGATTAAGGCACTTACTTTACACAAAGTGGGGAAAGCTATATTGCAGAAGGCAAATGTTAAAATTTGATAAAGATAGCGATGTGCTGAAATGAACCATCATTTACAAGTGGTTCTATGTTTCTTAAGGTTTTCACAGAATTTAAGTGGTCTTACTATTTTTTTCTATTATTCTCAACCTTTTCAACTTGAACTGACACCTTGCAGCTCATTTGCAAAGAGCAGGTTACACATAATCAAAATGAACTGAATATGACAAAAAATGCTTGATAGATATTTGAATTTGCACTGGTTGTTATTTTTTTTAGGAGAGAGACGGGATGCGACAGATCCTGAATTCCTACGACAGCGAGGTGACCAGCATGGGATATGAACCGCAATGCAACGCTCGCCTGAAACAAGCTGAGTCCAACCTGCAGACCTGCCACCGACAGATCGAGATTCTTGAGGTAAATGACAACATTTTTAACTATTATAAGATGGAATTTTGCGTCGGGGTGATATAAATCAAATTAGGTTTTGCCCTTCACCAACGTTTTTAAACACTGTATACTCAGTGTGTTACCTTCCGAGTGAAAGTTGGAAAAAATCACTCGGGTGGGACTTGAACCCACGACCTCCTGCTTTCTAGTGCAGTGTTTAAAAACGTTGGTGAAGGGCAAAACCTAATTTGATTAACATTTTTAACTTCATTTTCCTTCGAAATTGTGTGGAGTCATGCTGGCGCCTTGATACTTCCGTCCACCTTTACAATTCCATTTGAAATACAACCTATGCTGATTCTAGTCTATGAAAGCGTCTCTGATATGTGTGCTGATCATGCCAACACTGCGTCTTGACCTCCAGATTCTGACCATTCAGCGGCGCCTTCTCCGTCTTGACCTGAAAATTCTGACCATTCAGGGGGTGCCTTCTCTGTCTTGACCTCCAGATTCTGACCATTCAGCGGGCCCCTTCTATCCTGCTACGGTAACCCGATGTTGTTTGATAAAAACATGGCAGCTACCGACCAATCAACAGCATTGCCCGAATTTCTGCTCCGATTGATGTCACAATTTCTTAAGTCGGCTCTGATTTGCTAGTGCGTGAGGTCGCAATAAGTTTTGCCTGCTCAGATATATGAGACGTTGAAGTGTGGCTCTGCACACAAGACGTCTGATCCTCCGTCTATGGTGATTCCAGTCCCTGCCTGATTTCATGATTTTTTCTTCGGAATATCATTCACGTTTTTGCCCCCTTCCTTAAAAACTGAACATAATTTTATCATCTGTTCTCGTAGCTTTTCCTCAGGTTTTCAAGCTACAGTACCTTGTATGATTTGTAGGAACCATCAGTTTCAGTATCAGAAATAATGTCAAACATTCAAAGACAATATTGCTTCAGTTTTTGCACTAAACTGAAACATGCCATACTGTCACAAAGAGGTGATGTTTAATGGTTGATTGGTTCACGTCTAAAAAAAAATTCGTAATTCTTTTCTGATAACATTTCTTGATAAACTTGCCAACTTTTTGTGTATTTTTTTTCTGCCATTTTTGCAGTATGACATCAAAGCAGCTGTGGAAGAAGCCAGCAAATCCCGACTAGAAAACAAGCAGGTAAACATTTCCTTTACCAATAAATGTACAATATTATCGTTATTAAAGTAATTTATTATTAGTATTACGGGCATGGAACTTTTTCATAAGATCTGCTGATTTCCTCGTTTTTTACTTCTCATGAAAACCATTACAAATTGAAAAAACACTGTAAAAAATTTTGTGTTTGGAGTTTTCTCGTTTTTTCTAAAATTCCCAGTTGCATGCCTGGTATTAGTAGTAATTTTTTTAAAGTGACTTTTTGGTTAAAATCATTCCAGCTGGAAACTTGGCTCGCCCAGATGCAGAGTGAGCTGTCCCTGGCTAAGACGACCCCGCCCATCCCACCACAATCCCTGAACTCGATCACAGACGATGCTTCAGGAGGCGATGGCAAAGAGGTCCAGACACTGAAGACGAGAATCACGGAGCTGGAAGAAGAGAACGGCAGGCTGGCCGAGAGGAACGAGAACCTGGATGTACTGCTGGAACGCCGGGCACTGAAGGTGATTTGTTATTGGATGATGTGCAGGGACAATAGAGGGTGCTGTCTACATGACTTACAATAGCCAAGAAGGGGCACATATGTAGTTGGCCCATTCAAATCCTGGCATGCAACGTTTTTTTGGATCCACTGACTTCCTCGTTTTTTTTACTTCTCATGAATTGAAAAATTTCCTCGTTTTTTTCTAAATTCCCAGTTGCATGCCTGAAATTAGGACAATGCATGTTATTCTGAGCACAGCCTTAAAAGGACACTTTCGTCCCGAGTGCACCCAATTGGGCTGGAAATACGTACAGAGAAAGGAAAAAAACTGTTACTGCGTAGTGTTTCATGAACATTTTGAAAAGAAACTTGCATGTGTTCCTGGATTTACGACCAGTGCTCCAGCGACTCGATTTCTGGTGAACAAAAGCTTGTACCTTGACATTCCTTTGCTTTGCATTGTCACGAAAAACAGAAAATTTCCATGATAAGTTGTGTAAACATTTTTATTCTAATTTTTTCTCTGTCACCTTTTTAAAATTTCTTCTAAGTTGAACAAAGAAATTGATTGGCGTGGGGTTTGAACCTGCGACCTCCAGATTGTCGTTCAGGACCTCTACCAACTTAGCTATCCAGCCCTACGTTGGCGGTTCCCCAATTTGTCAATGTCTTTGATCAAGGTGCTGATTGGAAGCCATCAACCCATATATGCCATATAGCCAGGGATCATGCACCCTGAACAAAGACATCGCCAAATGGGGAACGGCCAAGAGAGGATAGCTCAGTTGGTAAAGCACCAGAACAAGCAATCCCGAGGTTGCAGGTTCAAACCCAGCTCCAGTAATTTTTTGTGTGTAAATACATATTTGAGCCCAAAAGGCACATTCTCTCAAAAGTGCTTAAACAATTCCTATTTTGGAAGCCCTTTAACAATTCCTATTTTGTTCCTGTTTGTTCTCCCCCTCCCCCTCCCCTATAGGGTGATTATGACCCCACCAAAACCAAGATCATCAGTTTCGCCCAGAACCCGGCTGCCTTGGCGCGTCAGGAGAGAGCCGCCGAGACCAAACACCTCAAGGAGGAAGTGGAGAGACTGAGGAACAGGGTGCAGGTCTTGAAGGAGGGCGGGGCCGGGGAAGATGTCACGCAGGTCGTCATGGAGAAGATGAAGGAGTCCACTACTCAGGAGGTCGAAGGTGAACTGTCACAACAATGCAATTATTAAAAAAACCAGTATCAGTTTACCTTTTGGTGACAATAGCAGACAGAATTTGCCAAAACCATATGCCCATAGTTGTACAGTTGCAAACATTTCCATCCTTAAGCCCGGTTCATACTTCACGCGAAAACAAGCGCAAGGGGAAATTCATGTCGTCAACAATGGTGGACATGCTTCGAACGTTTTGTTGACGTCACAAATTTCGCTTTCGCTTTCGCTTTCGCTTTCACGTGAAGTGTGAACCGGGCTTTAGGGGTTTGAGCAACACACGATCTGATCATACAGATTGTCAACCATTTAAAACTTGTTTACATTCGTTAACGTAATTTCTTGTATTTAATGAAATTTGAATACTCCAAACATTCACAACATTTAGGGTCTTCAAGATCTTATCATACAATTCATAAATCATTTTATAACTTGTCTATTTTTTTTTTTTTTAAGTTTATTTTATTTTGTATGTATGAAATTTGAGTACTTTAAAAAGTCATAACCTTATCCTCACGTAGGAAATGCTCTACAGATACAGCATTGCACAGTGGAAACAAAAATGGTTGCTATAAGCTTTCCGTTCCAAACAAATTTGGTAATGTGTAGTTTTAGGTCATTAGTGCTCAAGATTGTATCCCAACTTGTTGATAACATTTTTTTTAAATGTAAGGTTTGTACAATGTACAACATTAATTTGTCAATAGTTGAGAGAATACAGTTCTGCTTTAATTTTAATATTGAAATAAATTACTCAAAATGAGGTACTCATCCACCTATCAAATTAATCCCTTCGCAGATCTTAAGAAACAATTGTCTGAGTCAGAGCTGCGCAACCAACGACTCAAAGAGGTCTTCCAGAAAAAGATCCAGGAGTTCCGGGAGGCGTGTTACCGGCTAACAGGGTACCAGATGAACATATCCAGCGACAACCAGTACAGACTCATGTCCATGTATGCCGAGCAGGAGACCGATGTGCTGCTTTTTCAGGTACATTTTACTGAGGGCATCTAGATCACTAACTGTTACATGTTGTAATTTATTTTTAGCAATAAAACTAAGACCCGTTTCAGACTGGTGTTCTAGAGGTGCATCGAACCAAACTGTTGTGGAGATTTGAATTGGGCACAATTTGATGAGCACAGTTTGTTGATAGAAACAGTCGTTATGAATAACTCCAAAGTCTAGTCCGTGGAAAATTAAAAAGATAATTTGGGTGAGCTCCTTACACTTTTTCGTTTGGAGGGTCTCTGGAATGAGCACAGTCGATATCAGAATTATTATTTCAATAATCGATATATCAGAAATCCAATATCGAGAATATTCGATATGATCGATTATCCCATGTAAAAGTTAAAGACCATAAAGATGACACTTTGATTAAAAAAACAAAAACAAAGTCCCAATTTTCCATGGCTTTCTCTGGAGCATACTGCTCAAACTTTTAAAACATCTCAGCACTGACAGTTTGTCTGGAACGGGTGGTTTCTTGTGAGGTTTTGTATTGGGGAGATCGCGAATTCCAGCGAACGCAGAGCACAAAACGACGCCTCTTGGCATTTCGCGTTGTGCTCTGCGTTCGCTGGAAGTGGCAGTCTCCCCCAATGTAAAACCTCACAGGAGACCGCCCGTTCTGGACAAACTGCAATGTTTTTTTTTTGAGTCTCAAGCACAAGTTGCCGCCAAGTTTTATTTCATTATACAGCAAATGTTAAACACAAAGTAAAAGCACAAACGGGATTCATTTTGACGATTAATCTGACGCATTTTCAATATTTTTGATTTCATTCCTCAATATCAAAAATTTCGACATTTAGATATGATTAAAAATTGCTATCGGCGATATTGATATCAAACTTATATCGAATAGTTGAGTTATATCTATATATCGATGGTGCTTACTCTGGAACACTAGACTGAATAGGTCATAAGGATTTTGTCAACTGCCCATGGCATTACTGAGCAAGTTTGAGGGAGGACTATGGTTAATTATAGTTGGACTATCTTTACTCGAGCGCAGAGTAGTTGGACTATCCTAGTTGATTATTTTGGAACCGGAGCCCGGGGCATGTTCCATCGCTGGTTACCAATAGCTGCCGGCATCAAAATGCACAGCAGGAAGCTAGAATCAGGAAGTTTTTTCTTAAATTTCCATTTTTAAATTTTTTTTATTGAAGGCAACATCATCCGGCGAGATGCAGCTTCTCGAGAACGACTTCTCCTCCACCCTGACAGACTTCATCAGCTCGTTCCTCCACCAACAGGACAGTATCCCAGCATTCCTTAGTAGCGTGACCCTTGACCTGTACAGCCGACAGACCATGGTTGGTTGAACCAAGCGAGACATTGACGTCTCTCCGATGATGAACGCTAACAATTTACAAATATCTTGCGGATTTTGGCCATTTTCCCAAACTGTGGTTTCAACTGCAGCTCCACCTTATCCTTGCCTCCAGAATCATTTGGGAGCAGTTAATGTTTAAACCAAATTGAAAGTGGCCTGCACAAGTACCCCCTCAACGATTACAAAAGGAGAGTTGGGGGAGACCACTGGGAGAGACATTTGAACTCATAACTGATGTTGCCCGACGCTCGTGCGACGATGTTACAGGTTTGTGCTCATTCAGAATTAAAAAAAGTTGTGCGCCACACGAACGCCAACCAGTACACACACGTTGTGTGTCCTGTCAACTGGCGCTTGAGAGTGGTCAAACAGCGCCCTCTTGTGTTTGCGCATGGAGACTATACTAAAACACACTTGATCTCGCTACTTCTGGTTGGAGTTCTTAATGAAATGAGAAGAATAGGCACTGTTGATGAAATTTAAACGTCTTACAATTATTTAAATGGAATTTTGAAGGGAAAACTAAAAAAACATTAAAGGTATATTTGTATTAAGGCACCAATAACTAAAATCTGTATTGGTCATTCTATAAATTTGGGGTCCCAATTTTCTGTCCCTGTTACATCTGACATCTCTGATTTTATAATTCGGATGAACTCCTACATGCAGTCGTTCTCCAAGAGTGATTATGAATAGCAAACAACCTACCCAACAAATAAATAATTTGAAGTCATTCTTGACAATACTTGAATGGTAAATTACAAAGGACCAAGGTAACAGATACAGGAAAAAATATCACACTTGGGATGCTAAATTTATAGAATGATGCATATACTATTCAATGCATTATGACAGAACTAGTACTGTTACAGTTTTCATGCCTGTTATGTTGTAAAGGCACAAGGCACATTTTTGTTTTACAAAGAAACCTCTGTTTTAGAAATTAGTTTGATGACGGAAACAATTCAAAAGCCACAAAGGCAAAGGCCGAAGCATTTTGTACCAAAGATTCTCTCACATTGCAAAGGCGCATATTTCACATTTCACAATACCCTTACAGAACTTAAAATAATTACTAGAGATAACTAATGCTAACTATCTTTTCTCTGTGTTCTTATGTTTGCCAGTAAAGTTAATATTTAATACAACTCTCTGTCATTCAGGGTTCTGCTTCTTTAGGGTCTGTGTTTTAATTCAGAAGGAAAATAACCAAACAGTGTTTTTTCTAAGCCCAAAATCAAAAATGGATGGATTTTCTGCAACGTGTTTTTAGTGTGAGTACCCAATTCATACCATTTGTATTTGCAAAGGTTTTGTGAATATTGGCTTTTGCCCTTCACCAACGTATTTTTATAAACACTGTAAGGGTGAGTAAAAACCCGAAACCCAAATGTCAGGACTATTGTTTTAGTGAAATTCTGCATGTAGCACTTTCAAAATCTAGGATATGAAAGCCCAATTCATACGCTTTTGTTGGTACAAGAATCTTTCAAATCACTCATGTACTTTTCAAGTTACGGAATTTTTTAACACAACCACCGTTTTAAAGTTCTGTCCACGGATCACAAAAAGGTGTCCGTTCTTTCAGCAAAACGAAAAACAATTTACACACAGCCCTATGTGATGTTTTTTCTATTGCCGAAAGAACACTTACCTTTTTGTGATCTGTGGACAGCACTTTAAAACGGTGGTTGTGTTTAAAATTCCGTAACTTGTTAAAAAAAAAAGCTTATGAATTGGGCTTTCATATCCTAGATTTTGAAAGTGCTACATTCAGAACTTCACTAAAACAATAGTCCTGACATTTGGTTCTTTTTTTTACTGACCCTCTATACTAAGTGTTGTCCAAGAACTTGTGAGGAATAAAACTTACAAGGTTACTCCAGTGTGACTCGAACCCACGACCTCCTGCTTACTAGTGCAGAATATTGAATTTACATGTCCCTGACGTAAATTCCATCTTATAAAAAAAGCTTTTGATGTTGTCATCTTTCTTGAGTGAAAGTTGGTCACATCCATAAAAAAAAAATCTTGATGGCGGGAAAAAATTAAAAAGTCAAATGTTAGGAGAACTATACAAACAAATTGAATTTTTCCTCAGAAGTGGTTGAATCGAACTTTGTAAGAAACACCAATTTAACAATCGAAATCATATTGAACATGTGGCTTAGATGAAAGTATTTAAGAACTGATTTGGTTTTAACCAGAAAAATAAGAAAACTCTTCTTGGAAAGTAACAATTGTTATTTTGACTGCAAATATATCAACTGATGATTCATGATTTCTTGTTGCGCTGTTGCTGGCATCACTGAACAAGGAAATTAGTTTCCCTGAATGTACAAGGTTAATTAAAACCGCGAAACGTTGCTCTGAAAACTCATCAAACTGTAACAAGATTGTAATATCTTATTCATGGAAAAGCCGTTTCGCAGGATGGTTTTGCAGGTATTTGCAAACCTCGACATTGCTTTCAGCTTCGGATGAAAGGAAATATCAGACCCTGACTTTGACTCTAGATAGGCTTACTGTCTTAATCAAGAACAGCATTACCTACAAAATGAAGCCATAAATATATAATACTTACCATTTGGTTCTAGAATGCTTGTTTTTTTTTCTTGCATCGGAGATGAAGGCAAGGTCATGCATGGATGAAGCCGATGCTAGAAATGTAACCGTGGTTTAGGAAATGGCCAAGGATCTCATCAGCTGATCCAATCTTTAGAGACTCATTGAATTAGTGTGGAGTTCCGGATCGTGATTGCCAATTATGCTAATTTGTCTCGGAGGATTAAATTGCTGCTTTGCCTTATCGTGTAGAGATTGGCCCATCTCGTGTTCTGATTAGGGACAGTAATAGGGGTTGTGTAGTAATGCAAAACTTGACTTTTTAGTGATCAAGCCTCGGAGGAAATTTCCTCATGAGGAAATACTAGGGAAGATTTTGGTGAATTGTGAACTCACAATTCACCAAAACCTTTCCCAATTTTCAGATTTGTTTAATTATATGGGTGCTCAAGAATTGTCTACTTTTATTTCTAAAGAATCCATCTGTGTACAACCGCGCATGACATAAACAGTGACAGGCCACGTCACAGTGAGGTTAGATCCATAAAAGGTAAAAGAGATAAGATTTTATACGAGTTCAAATTTCACATGACACCATTATCTGTTCATTCGACAATACATGTAGTTACCCAACTCATTTCAGAGGCTCATAAAAGAAACAAAATGCGTATCTGTACCGCAGAGCAGAAATGTGGAGTTACTTTTCTATAGTATACTATAGGTTTCCAAGTTGTACCAGTATTTTGTAATCTGCGGAAACATTGGACGACGTAGCGACAATGAGGGTGAAAAAGAAAAGGTTAAACAAAAAAGGTTTTCAACAACCAGTATATTTTAAATCGTGAGGTAGGAATTCCTAAATTTGGGCACTGCACTGACTTTATGACTTAGCTGCCATGTCGGCTTTCAGCTTCAGGAATAAATAACTGTCTTTCTGAATTAAAACGCACAAACTGATGCCACTTTTGATAGTTCTCTGTTTAGAAAGTCAAAACATCTGACAATTACCCTCCAGGGCCTCAACCAAGATTGTAAATTGCAATTAAAGGAGCAGAGTTTAAATCCAGTGCAGGAAAAAAACTGCATGCAGACGTCCTAGGCCTAATCAACAAGCCTGTCCTGTGGCCATGATTTGGACACAACAAAATCAGTCTTAATTTACGGGGCCGATCTCGCGGTGCAGTGAGCAGTGATTGCAATCAACGGCTCGGCTGCGGACAAGACCCAATTTATGACAGAGCCGATCGCGTCAAGAATTAACACAGCTTGGTAATCGCGCGGTCGAATTCCCCGTCATGTTCATTTTGAGTAAAGCTCTGGTTGATTGCGTCATTTTTAATCAGGTCTTGGAGCTGTGAATTGAACATCACACACGTACAGTACACGTACACAAGAACACTGGCTTTGGAGATACCGTCTGCCAGTCGCACGCGCTGCTCATCATGCGCTGCTCATCACGCGCGCACCGCACGGCCTATCAAAGTTCGTGACTGGATTACATATGAATATTCATATCTCGTTGCTCAACTCCATTGGTGCTTGCGGCGCCAGACAGGTGTCCTGCCACGCGCGGGTACTTTGTGTTGTGGCATTGTGTCATGTAATAAACAGGCTCGACAACCGATGAAGACAATATGACAGTCGTTTGGGCGATCGTAGTGGCGCTAAGTAGTGGCCGCCTTTGAAATAGCCTTGACTTTTAAGCGTCTAGTGAATAACTGTGGATTTTTAAGAGGACACGGCTCTTACATACAAGCAATTCAAGTGAGCTTCGTAACTGGACTTCGACTGAAATGGCTGAGGTTCTTGCTTAAATGTTGCCGATGGATTTTCTACGGTGAGAGTGAGGTGACAAAAACCTGAGTAACTGGACTGATTTACGTCATGCATTGATGGAATTTTCGGTAACGAGTTTTTGATGTCTACGAGTCACTAATCAGTGTTCTCTACGACGTGAGTGTAGCGTTCCGTAACTTGTTGAGATTTCATTGTACGATGAAGCATTTTACACCTTTGATGACGCACGGATGTCTTAAAAGTCCATTTTGCGTATTTTCGAAGCTGTGGTTTCCGCAAAGATTGTAATTAAAGAGATTTTGTTCTTGTTGATGACACGAGAAATACAGCTGAAGAGCTGTCAATTCGAACATTTTTGTTGGGTGTCTTCCCTCTTAAACCGCGGAGATCGAGAAACAACGTCATTCTGAATCCATTTCGAACAACGTGATCTGGTTGATTGTCGATCAAATCAAGCACAGCCTTTGCGCCAGCAATGGAACACCCATTGCCAATTGGATCACTCTGCTCTTCTGCATCGTGAATCACTTAGTAGAGCTGACCTTGGCGTTCTTCCCCAACACTTCATAATAAGTGCCCGTGTCGTGAACTCCCCCTACAGTAGTTTCATCCGTGCAGAGCAGCTCCACAAACCTCATTATTTAGTCACAACGGCAACTGTCAATGGTCCTGAAAAGTCTTATTCCTTTTCACGCGCGTTGCTGCAACTGGAGCAGAAAGCAACTGTTAACATCGCCGCGAATGTGAATTGGGTTTTCAGTCCCTATCTGACTCGGTGGCTTTCCCCTGGAGTATCCCTCGGGGATTTGCCTCCCACCTCTTTAAACTGAGCAATTCCTCATCGTCTTCTCTCTCCCTCTGGGTTTCTTCAGGCTTTCGAGCTGCATTGCCCATGCACTTGTGAGGAATCTTTGGTTTTATCACCAGAAAGAAATATAATTAGACTAGCACTCGTAAATCTAACAAAATGTGTGACGACAGCGTGTTGGTGCTCGAGAGCGAGCTCAACACCCCGGCCAAGAACTGCTACCGCCTGGTGGTGCTCGGTTCCTCCAAGGTGGGCAAGACGTCCATCCTCAAACGGTTCCTGAACGGTCAGTTCGAGGAGCAGTACACGCCTACCATCGAGGACTTCCACCGGAAGATTTACAAGATCAAGGGCGAGGTGTACCGGCTGGACATCTTGGACACCTCGGGGAATAACCCTTTTCCGGCCATGAGCAGGTTGTCGATCTTGACAGGTAGGTCAAAAATAATCTTTGGAAAATATTAATTGGGTTTTTGTTTGGTACAGAAAGTAATCGTAAGGTGCTTAGCCTATCCTTAGTCTAGCATTCATCGCCAATGTCCAAGATATCGACCTCAGGAAGCTAGAACATTTTCAGAAATTCTGTCGTGATGAACAATCCTATGGCTATAATTTCGTTTTCCCTAATTTTGCTATTTCTGTAATTCCAATCAACATTGACTCCGCTTGCTACTTACATCGTGTCATAACGAAGTGACATTCATCTTTAAAAAATTCAATATTTTTCCTAATGACAATGTTTCAAATGTACAAGCGTAAATTGTCGTGCGTTTTGGGAATCTGGGGTATGTGAGCTGACATTATTTAGGACAGATTACGTAAAATGTAAACGTCTCACTTTCCTATGAAGACCCTCAACCATGTTGTTTTAATTTTATATAAGATCGACTTTCATCTCAGCCTGACCCTGCAATTTTATCCGAATAAGCTGTGATTTGATTAGTACCAAAGTTAAGCCCGGGTGTCCTTCCTCCTACGAGTGTACTACTCGTGCACATTATGGGCTATACAAAAGTAGTATCCCTTTAACAGAAAAAAAAAATCAATCGGGAACTCCAAGGTCAAGGAAAAGACATCTCGAGTAATTGCGATCAGTGATTCGGAATAAAAGCCATAGCATTGCCATATCTACCCCGAGTGCGTAGACGTTAGATTGCCGTATAGAAATACAAAATGTAGTTCGTCCTTCTGACGTATTTACCTTTTAAAATCAAGGACGACAAAAACGATTCTCATTTTAGAATTGTTTCTGTGTGAAACCATATCTCGGGTGATGGACTTTGGAACAAAAAGAATCAGGCCTCATTCGGGAGAAAAGCTTTTATGCACTGTAAAATGACCTCGTCACGTTTCTTTAAGGCTCGTTTATTCGATTAGTCTCCTTGCAGCGAGACACATCCCATTCCAGGTTTTACCATACCAAATTTTATTCTCAGCAGCAAGTTTTTACCTCACATGAACATTTTATTGTGTTATCTTAATTCTTCTAAGCTTGAACGATAAAACATCGTAATAACTGGTACCTTTTTCTACCTAAAGTTATGAGTTGATACTATACCTGTTTTACAACTTATGGGTAAGGTAGCTTCGAGCGAAACAGTTATAGCTAACCATAGTTCGACTAACTTCACTCGAACGCAGGATGGTTGGACTACTCTAGTCCAAACTCGTCCCCAGGGATCACTTTGTTTTGTTTTCAACCTCGTTTCCTATATTAATCCCTGGGTTAAATTGCTTCCTGTAATCTGATTCGCCACAGCAATAGCAAGTAATGGATTTACATCATATATACTTGGTGTGTTTATTACCAGTTTGCATATTTTAACATCCACTGTGATTTACTACGTCTACTCCAGCTTGCCCGAACTTGCTCTTATGTTAAAAAAGGCTGGATCCCATCCCGTGATTATGTTGACCTATTTCATAGGCACCATTCCCTTGGGGTACCATACTTGACAAAGATGTTTTCGTGATATAGTCTGGTGTGGTCATATTTCTTGAGGACTGCGAAGGTGCTAATCCGAAATGAACATTGGTGCACGTCACCGTGACAGGTCGTTCACGATTAATGTGTCGGGGCAATAACCGTGAATTCTCCAACCCATATCGAAGATGAGGCACTAACACTCCTAGGGCCTATGCTTAAAAGTGTGCTTTGGGGCCAAGGGGGGAAAATGCGAATAAACAAGGAAAACAAATTCCCTGATAATGGATACGTGCATTTTAATTTCATAACTTTGGTCATAGTTCATGAAAAATGTTAATTTCCTGTATTTTCATATTGCTTAATACCACTTTCAAGTGTTTGTTGTTGTTGATGTTAAAGTTGGCGTTGTTAGTGATCGATGGTGTTTTTCTGTCTGTTTTTTTCCCGATGGCATTTTAGCTTGCGCGTTATGCGTTGTGACGGGCTCTACCAAACCTAATTTTACTAAGAGCTTTTTTTTTGTTACACACCCACACACAATGGATGACAGAATAGATGTTTGCAGTCAAGCTGCGAGAACATAAAACCAATGAATTCCCAACGAGTATATTTTTGGAGCCTCATTGTGACATGCAATCAGTTTGTTTAATCCCCAGAAAAAAAATGAATCTTTACCCGAGTTGTAGCTTCGAATGGTGCCCTAAGCACACCGAACTAAACGATATTTTGCAGGTGGCTTAGATCTGCAACCAATCTTGCGCCCCTCGTGGGATCAGAGCAGCGTCTGCTTCGCGCTCAACCGCTCTTGCGGGTTGATTGCAGCATCAAGTCGCGCACGCAGGCAGTAAAAAGCACAACCTCTCTCCGCAAGAACGATCCCGCGATTGCATCGAAGGCCAAGGTCCCCGCACGCCGAGAGATCTGATGGCAATCGCAGAGTGTATACTCTATCTTGGTTGTTAATTAGAGATGAGCCGACAGTATCGCTACCTGAGTATTGAAATTGTGTTGATAGTAGGAGATGCGTTTTCCGACTTTGTGACGTCAATTTACTGAGGAGCTTGAGGTGAAGGCTATATATACGTCTGTACTGATAACCATAACGTAAATATGGATGCGGCAATATAGCTCTGACCATAGAGGCATGCTCTGACATAGTGGTAGAAATTTGAAAATGAAAAAAAAACCCGGTGACTTATTATAACCATGTCTTTCTATGAAAATCACGTGTGTGAGGAATATGAAAACCATGTAGGCAGATATAACTGGCCAGTCATATACAACGTATTGACCAAACATCATAACGATCGATGTCCAATTCTGCCGTTTTCATGAGAGGGATAAATATTTTATTTGTCTATGTCCTCGTCCTCCTTTTTTATAAGGACAGTAATATCAAACATCTGTGACCCATACCCATGTCATAATTCCCTGACTTTTTCTTTCAATAATTGCTACGAGCGCGGTTAGTCATACATCGTTAGTTTTGCATTAATAAAGTTAGGCAGAGTTGGTGTTTAACATCATTCTCGCTTATTGCGCGGGCCGAGTTAATGAAAGGCATAAAGGCGTTCTCTAGCCAATATCAGGTGTCTATTCTGTAATTACATTTCCACTTGTTAAACAAGCTTTCTTTGTGGATTCCAAGTCGATGGTGCTCACCCGGTCTTTCACCCATCCAATATTTGCGCAGCCAGACGGAAATATCGATAAATTGGAAGGGCGGCAGGTGTTTTTGATATGGTAGCCTCCACAAGAACCTTGGCTGATACATTTCGAAGGGATGCATGTCTCAAGGAGAATACAAGGTAACCTGGGTGCCTTTTCCCATCCTAAATTAACTTAGTCGATGGTGGATTCAATTTTTGAGCGATCTCGGTGAGTAGTAATTTACTTTTAATGGGAACTGCTGTAGACTGACGTGAATATTTAGGTTTAAAGGGAATGTACATCATTGGCTTTTGCTGTAATTTTCAGAAATGAAGTATTTGAGGGATCAGTAGTATAATAGATCAAATATTGTTACACTGATAAGTTTGAAGTTTTGTGTTCGAAAATGCTGGACTAAAACCAAGAAAAACAAAAGTGTTCAAGTTGTCTGGTTCCTTGACTCCACTTAAAGGGAATATACAACATTTGCAAACATCGAAAATAAAACTACCAAGTTTTTGCGAAATACCTTAATAGGATGTTGGTAAATGACATTCTAAAGCATCCTGTAAAATTATGGCACCTGGTATACTGTCATTTTCAAGAAAAGTGGTATTTTTGTATCAATTTCCAACGCTGATCGGCCGATCAGCGTTGGAAACAACTGGCTTTTTTTCAAATACTGGCCCCAATTGACCATTGCACTTGTTTGCAATCGATTACAAACCTATGAACGGGTACGAGCCAGCTAGACTGGTTCCCTGACCTTACAATTCCCCAATGTATGTAAACTGCTCTGTTTCTTCTTATATGGAGTCAGGGAACCAGACTATAGGAAAATGATCGTTTTTCTTGATTTTTATAGCATTTTCGAACCCAAAACCTCCAAAAAGTCATTGTAACTATATTTGCTTTATATTTCCAACCCCCCAATTCCATCCATTTCTGAAAATTACAGCAAAAGCAAATGATGTATATTCCCTTTAAGATGAAATTGATCAATTTATGAGATGCCGGAAAATTGTAAGGTAAGGGAACCAGTCTAGCTGGCCTGCACCTGTTCATGAACATGTAATAGCAAACAAAATTTGGACTGGAAAAAAATGGTTAATTTGGAGCAGTAGTTGAAAAATAGTTGGGTTTTTCCAACAATGGTCGGCCGACCACCGTTGGGAATTTATACAAAAATCCCATTTTTCTTGAAAATGGCTTTACGCCAGGTGCCATAATTTTACAGGATGCTTTAGACTGTCATTCACCAACGTCCTAGTAAGGTTTTTCGTAAAAAATTGGTAGTTTTGTTTTTCGATGATTGCAAATGTTGTATATTCCCTTTAATCATTACTTGAACTGGGACTTTCTTTCGTCTTTGGTACAAAGCATTCAGGCATTCATTTAGCAGGAATGCAAAGGCTAACTAGGACAAACTTAAATTACAGCAAAGCCTATTCCTGGCCATAATGATTATTTTTTAGAAAGTGTTAATCAAGCTTGCGCATATCCAGCAACCAATATAGAAGCAATCCGTTTCAGTTTTACAAAAAGCAACATTTAACATTCACGAAATATTTATGGGCTTGTTAACTTTACGCATTGTCTTTCCACGTATACGAGCTCTTACACAGGTCTGGTGCCCATACCTCGGTGCACTCTAATAGAGTATCATATTATATAACGGCTGCATAATTGGGGCTGATACCGGCACCTTGCGTGCAATTATCGCCCATTTTGCTGCAAGTCATCCGTAAGTCTTGTAATTGCGTATCGGCTTTATCCCACGGTTCGTATCAAGTTCACGTATCGTGGCGACGAGCCAGGCCTCGGTAGACTGAAGAGACCTGCGCCATGAGGATATATCGGGATGCCTTATCTTATTACATGTGCATGAAGACATAGGCAACGCCCTGAAAGCGTCGGAAACTTGTTAGTGGTCAATGTCCGCCATGATAAATAAGATTTGTAACTTTGCATGGCTGGTAGTGTAAAGTATTGTTAGGGTTTGTGGTAACACCATGTGGAAGAAAGTCTTTTGAGAAGATGTGTGGTTCTAAAAAGAACCGGTTAGTTGTGAAACTCGACGTTCTGATCAGTTTGCTCTGGTCGACTTCAGGAGAAAGCCGGACAGTCAGCATCCACAACTCCATGCCTCAGCAATCATCCAGCCTTGTAAATGCAGCACCATCCACTCTGTCCGGCTTTCTCCTGGAGACGATCAGAGCACACCAACCGGAACGTCGAGATTCACGACTAACCGGTTCTCTTAAGAACCAGACAATCTTCTCAAATGACATTCTTCCACACGGTGTTACCGCAAAACCTCACTAGTCGGCCGTGATGGTTTTACCTTCTCTGTTTTCCCGTCCCACCGTCCTATCAACGAACGCTGCTGAACCCCAATTTCTTTGATCCCCGTTAGGTTGGTCACTACATTTGAATTATGTCCAGTTCGTCCTTGACGGGTACACCCCAGTAAATCCGTCGGCAGAGCTCATGAATAAAAGTTATACACTCAAATTATTCTATATTAGAGAGTTCTTAGAGCCGTGGAATTGGGGGATTGAAGACATTCTGGCCCTGACCTCTGGCCTGGACTTAGGGCTTCCAATTCCGAGCATTTTGGATGCAATTGGGTCGGAAAGTGGCACTATTTACTAATTAAGCCATGTTGTGGAGGGATCTTTTTTTTTTCAAAGTGGCTAATTTTCCAGTTTAAGAAACATAATTCCTTTTAGGGGTGTATGGTCTTCTTTGGGTGAGAATTTCTCCAAAACGTCAATGGTCAACCCACCAAAAAAAATGAAAAGAAAATGAAAGAGGACATGTTGATCATCATTTTCTGTGCAGTCCGAACACCTAGTACCTGTGAGAGTTTTAAGTATTTTAAAAAGAATTTTGAAGTATGGGGATTTATCACTGGTGTCTATGGGAATTTCTTTTTTTATACTAGGGTGCACCCTGACTAGCGCAGCAAGGCCACCGCGACAGAAGACGGCGCTATCAACAAGATGAATCAAATCCAGTCTCTGGAACTTTGGCAGCGCTACTCAGGAGATTCCGAGCATACCTAATACGCGCTGTTTTCAAGCTAATGCGCGCGTACCTGTGAGGTATAATGCTCGGAATTTCCTGGGTAGCGCTGTCAACATTCCCAATACTGGATCTGATTGTTGACAGCAACCTCTACTGCCGCGGTGGCTTCACCGCCCTCGTCAGAGACCAGCTTCATGTTATAGGAAGTAATTTCCAAATCTAATCCTGGACAATGGCTATCGATACAATTTGTTTTGTTAAATGACCCGGGTCAACACTTCCTTGTGCGCATGACGTGTGCGTGGAATGAGTACGATCGTGGCGGTAATTTACCCACGATGCTTTGTGAAGACTTGGTTTCCTTCACAACATGCCATAAAAGCGGTCACCAGCGCCATTGGGGCATTGGGTACCAGTGAATATTCTCTGAAGTAGTCTAGTACATGTATCAGCCTCAATCAATGGCGTATCATTAGTTTTTGTCCACATTTCTGCTACAGTTTCACGACACATGCCTATCTGGTCCAGCCCCAATTAATGCGCGTTAAAGCGAAACTTCACTCGATTGGGTTTTCGTAATGAAACTGATGATGAAAGCCAGCCCAAGCTATTAAGAAGACGATGCGATGCGATCGCCGATAAAACTGTGTCAGATGGCATTTTCTCACTCAACGGGTTTTAAGTGTCATTTTTTTACCCAATGGGACAACGCACGGTTTGGAATCTAGGGCAGCATTTTGGAAGCAATATAGACTTAACATTAGTCAGCAATCAAAGATCTTATCGAACACTTAAAATTTTTACTGAATAACAGATTGAAAAAATATTGAAACGTACTTGGTACAAATATTATAACAACATTAATGGAATTCACTTCGGTCCAAAATGTTGTTTTAACAATCAAGAATTTTTTTGGGGTTGAATTTTTTGATTTTTGTTTTTTTCACTGATAAACTTCGTAAGGGTGGCGGGCTTTGGTGTGCGTTTACCAAACTGGTCCGAAAACGCGACTGTGCCTCTGTATTGATAGACCGTGACATAATATCCCATCAATTGCTAGGACAAAACTTGCCTGGGAATATTGAGATAATAGTACATGTACATAATTTCAGAATAATAATATCGTCAATTAGACTGTCACAAATTAGTATCATATTGTGTGTTTCATGTTATAAATTGAACTTAACATATTATATATCACCTCCGCCGAGGAGGTTATGTTTTCAACGGATTCTGTTGGTTGGT